CTGTCTGCATTTCGATGCCCCCAGTGTCAGGTCCCGCTCTCTCCATTCTTCCTCTGAAGATTGAACTATCGTTTGACTCGTGCGCCCCCAACGTGGCATCAAGCCTCAAGGCACAGACTGCCACTGACCTGATCACATCTGACCCATTGTCGCACGGGATTCATACGTAGTCCACGTGTGTGGGCACGGAAACTTAGGTCGATGAGTCTACTGCTTGTAGTTTGCACTACACAGCGGTGTGTATGGCCCCCAATCTGCAAGCTCACCATGCCCGCACGGCACTGTGGGTTCTGCCCTTGAAAGATGCTGGCGAGAAGACAGAGTCAGCTCTTTGCTCGTACGATTAGTATAAACGCATTCTGGGAAATCATCCGTTTCGGTCACGTTGTCTCGGAGCTGCATCCTGGATTCGGTGCCAGAGGGTTGGCTAATACGATCCAATTGGGGAATCCGGTTCTCTTTTTTGTGCATACGACGTGCGTCTTTTGTGGTTGCATGCATTATTGAAGCTGAATGATTGCCCTACTGGGTGAATGTGGTGTATTGGACCCTGGATTGCGCCGTAAGATTGTCACAAGGGAGGTCTCGTCAAGAACATCACATTTCAATTGGGACAGATTGACGAGGACCTTCCCGAGCAATGACAAGCGTCTATTGGAAGTGACGAGTCTACTATTAATTAGAATGAAATGGTTAACAGGGCTACTAGATGCTTTCCTAATGGCGTCCTTCTCACAACCAATGCAGAACCCCTGCTCTGAACCTCTCTATGGTTTCTCATTCGTTCAAGCCTAGCTTTGCTATTACCTTGTCTTTATCTGGCAATCGACCGGCGCAAATGCCAGAGCTTCAGAAGGCTGTTCAGCCACAGCAGCGTACAGACAGCGAACAGACTCAGACCCTGGCAGGGCTTTCGATAAAGGTGGAGGAGGGTGGTGGGCCAAGCGGGCGACGCCAGCAGGGATGGCATCGCACTGTGACGGACGGGGACACCCCATTCCGCAAGGACGATCCTCAGGGTTCCGCACTCGCCTTTGGACCCTGGTCTTTGATCTTTTATCGCCGCATCGCGAGTCCCAGGTTGGTTACCTGCGTACATTGGCGGAAGACAGACCCTCGCCCGTCCCCAGCGGGAGAGGCAGGCGGGCCGGCGAGGCTTAGGGTACTGGCTGTCCTTGCGCACAGATGTCAACGCCTCTGGGTCTATCATTTTTGATTTTTTTGAGACGAACTTATACTGAGGCAGATGGCGCCTGACTGACTCGAGGAAGAGCGAGTGACAGTCGGTCGCTGTCCGCGCCACTTTTGTGACATACTCGTACCGCGTCGTACGCCTCATGAGCATCTCGGCCGAAAGTGGACACACAATTCGACCCGCGCCGCGCTGACAAGATGGATGGTAGCTAGCTTGGGGGAGGACGGCAGCAACAAACTGTCAGCCCGTCCATGTCGAGGCGGACGGCTATCTCGCGAGCTGAACTAATCGCGCTCTAGTTACACAGTAGCAACGTGATTCAGCGCCGCATGTCTTGAACTAATGACCGGTGAGACACTATAGACAGAGATCGTGAGTAAAATAGGGCATGGCTTGCTGCAGTCTACCGTGCCGACGACGTCAGTAGTCCCCGACCACATGTTCAGTCGGTGAGCATTCTTTGCATGCTGCTACCCGTCGCCGTGCTTGCTCGTGGCCGGCACGAGGGCATCGCATTGAGGAGACTAGGCCAGCTACTCCGTAGTGGGTGAGCTTTCCCTCGCTTGCTGCGCGTCGCTGGTCATTCAGCCAGGTCATGCACAACTGAAAGACCGACCAGGGGACGGATTGGGCCAACTGTCGGCACGGCTTTTGCAGGATGCCGACTCGTCAAAATGACAAGTCCCATGACAGTCGAGTCGACCATGGGATCCCCCCCGCAACACTCAACTGTGATTGACTGAGCAGTGGCCAATGGCTTCTTTTCGCACGGGATTATCAAGGCGATTGGGCCTTGAGGTAAATTGAACCTGACCAGAGGTCCAAAGCCCAGATGCGCGGCCGCGGAGCGCATTTGATCATTGGTCTTGGAATCGGAAATGAGGCCAATCCACAGATTGCAACCCCCCACGTCTTCAATCCAGAAGCTTTGCGTTGCATCGATCTCTGCTTTGCTTCTTGCTGCTGTGAGTCGTGGCTGGACTCCCTCTCCTCTTCGTTTCTTGTTGAGGAGAAATCTATCCGTACTACTGTAATACTAGCCCACAGTGCAGTAGTATTTTGACTTAACGAGTCACGACAGGGGTCTTTCTTCCGCACACCCTCCCTCCGCGCGCCCCCAGTCTTCGTCCAAGGCTAGTCACGACGCCAAGGGTGGAGACCACGGCAAGCGAGATCTGCGCGTTAGTACCATTGATCTTCAGGTGTCACGTCGTATCCCCGAGGTGCTTCTTGATCCTTCACAAGAAATCCGCGCAGACGAGGGTAGGGGAAACAGAAAAGGCCTTTTACGATCACAATGCTGCTCAACGTCGCCCCTGGCTGATTGTGGCATGCCCATGCACACTCTGCAGGAACCTGCAGCTCTAGATATTACGTGGGACAGAACGAAACGAAACAATATGCATGGCCAAGAAAACTGAGTGGGCATTTGGATTACCCTGCGAAGAATCACTCATAATGCTGGGTATAATCACAGCTAGCCACCTGGCACTGATCCAGACTGAAGTCAAAAGCGAATCTATAGCGAATTCGTGCTGAGCTCTCACGATCAAGGAACTGATGTTTTCTTTGTAGCTCGGGCTAGGGCCTGGGCTGTTCTGTCATGTTGTGTGGTAGCATCTTGACAGCAAAACTTCACCTTGCCGATCAACGTGCACTCACAATAAGCCCACGAAATGTAACACCAGCTGCTCACTGTCTTAATGCAGACAAATTCACGCAAGTCGCATTGGTTAGTTGACTGTTGCTTTAGCACATCTTAATGATCGCCACATGCGTGATGAAGGTCTCGAGTCTTGCTCGTGCGATAGATCACATCCTCGGTCCGGTGGTGCGCCATCTCGACAAATGCGGGTGATGGTGATCCGGCTAAGCGGCCATCAGTAGCATCATGGGCTTTCCGTCCACATCAAAAGATCCCCTGTGCCTCTCAAGCCCTCCCATAAGGTAAGAAAACACTTCTCGCACACGACGAGATGTTGCTGGTCACACATTGACTCAAATATCATGGTCTTCGGTCCTAAGAAGCGTCTCTCCACTAGGGTTGCCAAAAACGGAAAGCCTGCAATGGACTGGAGATGGTGGTGGGAGCCCTTGTAAGTGGCCATTGAGAGGAGATCCTCCTACTCCCACTCCGCAGGACGGACAAAGGATGATGGGAATTCCCACTTGGCCGTGGTGCGATGCCCTCCGTGGAATATGGAGTTTCGAGAATTGGCTATGCGGCCGACTCCGCCCGACGTTCTAGCCTCCCAACTAGGTGCAGGAATAGAAGTCAGGTTGAACCTGGTAGAGATTGATGACTGATGAACTATTCATCATGGAGGAGTGCGGGCTGCTGGCCTGTGTCTCGCGATTTGCGCTGGACATGGCCTCGGTCGCGAGCATGAAAACTCCACTTCACAAGCATCCTGTGTACCCGAGCGGGAAAGGGTCCTTTACACGACTCCTCTGTCCTTGGCCGTGAACCTGCGTGAGTCACGAGAACGCCAAGTGAGGGTATTTCTCTTGTCAAGTGCACGCTCTCCACCGCCACTTGCACGGTCCCGGTATGGGCAAAGCGGGCACGTTTCGCCCCAAGGCAAGGCAGACATTCTCGTCGGAAGCCACATGGTATCTATCGTAAGTGAGGACAACCTCGTGGTGGTGGACCAAGTGTGCAGGCTTGCTGCTGGTTACTCAGGAAACCACTGTTGCGCCAGTATACGTACTTGTACATGTACGCATGGTTGCATATAAAAGCAACCAAGCCTGTGCAGACGGTAGAAGTCAGAACGTCCGGGCGGAGCTCAGTGTCCATGTTCCCCGTGGTGAGTGATCTGTCTATCGTGCGCAAGCCCTTCGGGTGTCGTGCTTCCCCGCTGCGGTGTGCGGCGGGCGATAGATAAGGTCCCATATTCCCTGTCAGACAGGTGAATGCAGGAGGGCTGGTCTGGCCCAAGCGTCGGTGTTAATCATGGGCGGCGTGATGAAAACCAGATGTGCTTGGCTTGGCTTCCACGCTAGGCTAGGCTGGGCGCATGTTGAGAGGTGTGCGTCTGAAAGATCGAGGCGGGACGGCTGTGGCCTCGAGTCCTCGACAGACTCGGCTCTGGAGGTGGTGGATGAGGAGGAGGAGGAGGGGAGGGAGGGGCGGGCGCTCGCTCCTGCCGTCGGTCGTGTGCCAAAAGTGGGACGGCATCGGAGGTTGAGCATGTGGAGGCCAGAGATGCTGCTGATTGGTGCGAGAACCTGCTGCATAGAAACCTCCCCTGTGACCTTGTCCCGTCCACAGCAACGCCAACCAATGCCAACCAATGCCATCACCAAAGCGCCCATCACGGCGCTTAAACATCTGCACTCCAGCCATATTTGACGCTCGCAGCTATTTCTGGCGCCTGGCTAGGCCTCGTTGGGCGGCCTCGAGCGAATCACGCCCAGCCCTTCTTCGATGTGGCGGTCGTCCTCGGCATCTCGTCCGCACTTGGCCTATCATGCACGACTAGAACAGGCCTCGACGAGGGTCGGCAGGGTCGACATGGCGGTCTAGCAGCGCTGCTCCTGGCCTCTGACTGTTCTCATGCTGCTTGATGCAGTGCTTGGTTACCAGGAAGAGTAGCATCAGTAACATCAGTAGCCAACCGCGCCCCAGGTCTTCCCCGTCACCCCTAATGCGTGCCCAAGAATGGCTGCTGGGATACCTCGCTACTGCTGGTGCTTCATGCAGCAGTGACTTCTGCGAGGTAGTTAGTGTCCGTCACATCACACCCGTCCTGCTCGCCCCCAGCGCTACCTGCACGCTGCAGACGCATCCTTGGACGTTCGAAACAGCTCATCCGCACATAACTCCCACTAACCGCCCTCGAGTCTCATGGTTTCTCCTCCTCTCGAGCTTTGCGATCTTGACCAAAACATTACGACGCTGCAAGCAGGACTTTCAGCGTGCTACGGTGACGATTCATATTTCGTGCCTCACAGTATACTTGGAAAGAGAAACGCCACACCAACAGATCCGAAAGAAGGGGTCCAACTACCGGCAACAGCCGTGAGGCGCCAACTCTAAATCCCAAGGCACTGGGTGCGTTGGTCAAGGAAACAGAACACCTCGTTGGGAATCATTGCTACCAGACGCCTGGACCGCGGCCATGGTAAGTCCCGCCCAAGCTCGACTAGCAACATTCCAGTCTCATACTGACCCCTACACAGGAGTACACATATGCCCAGCCTGGCTACGGCCAGACATGTCAGGAAATGCGACAGAAGCCCGCCCCCAGAGACACCTTTTTCAGTTTAAAGCAGGAAGCCATTGATCAGCGGCCAATTTCAGTTGCCACTGAGTTTGTCGATACTGATTGGGATGAGGAGGTTATGAGCGACGTGGAGGACAACTCGCCGCGCATCAGTCTGCAATCTGTAAGTCGAGAAATGCTTCGTCCGTGCGCGAGGTGGCGCTGACACTCACCTCTCAGGCTGGCCAGCCAAGCTTCACCACGCAGTCGTCATGGGATGAGGTTCCTACACCAAGATCTAGCCAGGATGCGTACATGGCATCGCACAAGACGATCGAGGGGCCTCGGGGACCACATCTGTTCGGCAACTCCATCGAGGATGACTTCAACGAGCACGATATGATTTTGACAATGTCCCCAATGACGCCAAAAGCTCCGAGTCATGGAGCCGATTTCTTCTACACGTCTTCCGAGAAGCCGCCTCCTTTGCGGAACAGCCCCTTCCAGTACACCAGCAAGGAACTGGACACATCGAACCTGGTTGAATGGACACCGGAAATGGTGGCGCAGTCCATGCTCAATGCTGGCATTGAGGTTCCAGTGGCTGATCGCTTCATTGAGAACGATATCAACGGAGCCATCCTCATCACCCTCAAATTTGAGGATCTACGCGAGCTCGACATCTCTTCGTTTGGTATTCGGACTCGCGTGTGGCACCAGATCCAAGCCCTCCACGACAGTCGACCTGCATCTCCCAGGGCCCCCACGCCTATCGAGGACGCGCCCAGTCGTGAGGCTCGAAGGGAGCTCAGGGACCAGGACCGCACCGAGCTGTCTCGCGGTGCGAGCAGGCGGCGCGTGCGCAAGCAACCCTCGGCAAACGACAGTATCGCTCCTGGCGAGTCTGTCTCTATCATCGGGATTGAGCAGGTTATTCCCAAGCCTCATGTCTGTTCCAAGGGCGAGAACTGCTCCAAGTTCCGGAAGCAGGCACGCCTGATTGAGCGATTCCAGAAGATGAACCCAAACGTCGACGTCCATGCTGCCGCTGGTACTGTCATGATCGCAGGCGACGCAGGAAACCCCGAGACAGCCCAGGCCATTGACCCCGATGAGTTCCTTCGCCCAATGTCGGATGCTGTCCCTTCTGTCGTCGCGTCGTCCGATGTCATGGGCACCCACGGCATGGCACCTCTGCAGTATCTGCACGAGGCTACCTTGCGCAGCGTGCAGGAGCGTGACCCCCAGGACAATGTGCGACACTTTTTGCATTTCCAAAAGGCTGACGCCAATGAGGTGCCCCCTACGCCCCCTTACGAGATGGGCAACAACGGCGCACCTCACCACGGCCTTCGGCGGCTACCAAAGTTGACGATCCCCGGCACGAACACATCGCAGTCCCCTAACCGCCCTCAACCACCGCGAGCCGCGACGGTCTCTCCACCTACGCAGCAGCAGCACCAACGTTCGCCTCAGCAGCAGCAGCAGCGCTACAGCCACCAGTCACCTCTCTCCCAGTCCATCCACCAGTCTCCCGAGGAGGAGCAGTTCCAGCCCTACTCCATGGACAAGGCTGACCCGCGTTCCCCTGATCTGGAGACATCTCGCAACCCCTACCGATTCGGCACTCCTTTCTCAGAGATGGACGTTCCCGTCACTGCTGTTGCTCTGGGCCCAGTCGCACGTGATGCTTCGCAGTCGGTACCTCCCGACATGAACTATCACCACTCGATGAATATGAGCAACCCTGTTCCCCGTACTCAGTCACGCTCTTCGCGCAGGCCCTCCTTCCCCGTCATGCCTGCGCTTGACGAGAACAGGCCCGTCCGTGCTATCTCAAAGACACCCTCGCCTCAGGCCCCATCACCACCCAGACAGTCCATGCGGCCGCAACTGCGGCCGCCTCTGCAAGCACCCCCGCGGGTTAACTACCCCTGGTCTCCTGTCGAGCGTCCCAGCTTTGAGAAGGCCATCCCTCCCTCATCTGCGTTCCAGACTGGTGACGCCTCTTCGGTGTCGACCGCCTCCTCCAACGGTGTCTCATACCAAGGACCCATGAAGAAGCGCAAGACCAAGCTCCTGCGCCACGAGTGGCAGGACGGATACTTCTCCATCAAGGGGACCCGTCTCAACATGCACAAGGACGCGCAGCACATTGACCGCACCCTCGAGTATGTGGACATTGATGACTACGCCATTGCTTGCTCCAGCGTAGCATCCACATCCAAGCTGTCGGCTGCCTTCAAGAGGGTCAACATCTCCCACAACCGCGAGAAGAGCGACCCTGGCGCGTTCCAGTTCCAGCTCATCCCACAAGACAAGAACAGCGCTCGCCTTCGCAAGCGTGACAGTACCTTGCCGTCGCAGATCCCTGTCGAGGGCGTCAACGGCACGGGGAAGACGCACCACTTCGCCGTGAAGAACCGCGACGAGCGCATCGACTGGATGCGAGAGCTCATGCTCGCTAAGGCCCTCAAGCAAAAGGGCGAGGGTTTCGAGGTCAGCGTCAACGGCAGCATGATTTAGAGCCTCGTTCCCTTCACGCCTCCCACAATACCAACAGCAAATAACAACCCAAGATCAGCTTTCGCGAGAAAACAACCATCACCTCACTCAACTCTCTCTCTCTCTCTCTCTCATTTATACCTGGGACATACTCACCGGCGCTTGCTTCAGTTAATGGCTTTTTACGACACTCCTTGGCAGGGCTAGGACTTGGTCTGCGTACGGTCTCATTTACATCTCCTTCTCACCAGCATAGCGAGTCGGGCTCGCGCCCTCGACTACGGTTTGATACCATTTTGACATGAAGAGGATTATGCGATTTTGCGGACATGGGAAACTATCATTATCACACGAATTGACATTTGCTTATTTTCTCTGAACACTTTGCCTTGCTATGATCCGTGACTTAAATCAATGAATTGATGACGTGAAGCTGCCAATTGTCTGTCTCCCTTTGTTGTCAGGCTTGATCATCATTAGTAGCACTTGGAGCTGGTGGGAGGACGAAAACGCACAGCGTCGAGGTTGTGTCCATCACATATGATACAATTCGTCGAGTGATATGTAAACAACACTATCGTACAAGTTTCGTAGCCTCCACGGTCCACCTGTACACAATGCCATTGCCCAAGTATGCCTCCTTTTACCTGAAAGCTGGCCTGGTAAGCTGCGCCTTCTTCTCCACGTGTTGCCAGTCAATCATCTCCCACCACGACTCGGCGTACGCCAACTTGCCGCCCGCGCCGCCCTTTCCAACGCCCCAGTCGAGCAGCCAGGCGTGCTCCCACGTGTTCAAGCACAGGAGGGGGGTGACGTCGATGCCGCCCGGTGGCAGATCGTCCTTCTTCGCACTCTGGGCCCGTCCGCCAAAGGCTGTGTTGCGCAGATACGACGTCGCCGTGCCCCTGTTTCCGAGCGTGTTCATGTCCTGCGACTGCGCACGCCAGTGGGCGCCGGGGTACGGCGAGCCGGCGAGATATGTCGGCAGCAGGCGGTACGTGCCCGCGCCGGCCTGGACGAGCCAGACAAATCCGGGTCCGAACATGGAGTTTGCGGTCAGAACGAACTCGCGACGCAGGGTCTCCATGGAGGAGAAGCAGGCCTCGAGCTCCTTCTTCATGGGTTCCGAGATGGGCGTCGGGTTGGGTGTGATGCCGTCAAAGAAGAAGTGGTTGTTGTGCGCCATGGAGGCCCAGTTGAATTCGCGGGCTTTGCCAGGTTCGCGGGCGGTCATGAGGGAGACGCTCTTGGCGTCCTTGCCTTCCAGCTCGGTGCCTGTTTCTCGGGCGTCAGTGTCCACGTCCACCGCTGGGTAAGGGAGCAGGCCTGTTTCGGGGGAGTTGCGCACCTGCTGTCAGCTCGTTGAGCTTCTCTGTCACCAGGGTCATATAGTCCGTCCATGCGATCGAGAACCCAGCCGGGCTCATCAGGTTCGGCACACCCGTCTCGGCGTAGTCGTGCCTGAGCTTAGGCACGCTGTGGAAACTCCTCCTCGAGCAGACGCTGGAGACAATCGACTTGCTGGCCGCAGTGGGAGCGGCGAAGCCCAGTGTTCGTAACCTGGGACGGATCATGATGGGCTGTAGATGGTGCGTGTCTGTGATGCGCGTCAGGATATCACGCGATGGGAGAGCCTTCGTCTCGAACTTTTTGCGACTAGGCTAGGGGGATCATGGCACCGGGTCCAGTCCGTCGCGGCCGGACACACGTTCCGCCGGTCGCGGGGCAGATCAAGCCACGCGCTGCCAGTGCCAGGTGGCGCAGGCAGCAGGCAAGCAGGCAGCCAGCCAGGCGGCAGCCAGCTGGCGGGGCTCGAAGCGGGCGGCCGGTACTGACTGGGACCAGCTGTGCCCCAGCGCTTGGCTCAAACAGGAGGCCAAGAGCCAGTCGCCAGTGCCTAATCCAGTACGTAACTCAGGACACAGAGAATACTGGCTGGGATCTCGGGGAACGGCATCACGAGTCCACTCTTGGGTCCTTGCTTGCAACACTCCAAATTCTTTTCGCAACGCCCGGGCCCCTTTCTAATTAATCCGACCTGCTCTCTTCATTCTCCTGAACTCTTTCCCTTCGACTTCTATTTTTACCTAAATACCGTCTTGCCCCTTTGTCTTGTCCTTCTTCCCCCATCCGAACCCGACATCGCAACGCCCTTTGTTGCGTTTCGCCTCTGGCAGCAGACTGGCCTTGTCGACATCCCTGGCCGCATCCAACAACTTCACTCCTGCAATCCAGGCAGTCTCCCGACCTCAGCTTCTCCTCATGCGTCTCGACTAGTCGACTCCTCATATTCTTCCCTGCATAGTACATGCAACCACCCGCGGACGTGGCAGCCCCCATCCTTGGGGTCGACCCTCCATCCTCCACGACCACGATGCTCGCCGCCGTCGCCGCCACGGTCGTTTCGACAGCTTCGACGATCACCGCCAGGATGAACTTCTCGGCGGACGACTCCACACCCGGCGAGTGTAGCCTCATGGGCCCCTTCGCCATCCTCGTGCAGGCAGCACTGGGGGCCCTGGCGCTTCTGTCCCTCGTCTTCAAGCGGTGGCGGGAGAGGCCACAACGGCCGGTCAAGATCTGGTTCTTCGATGTGTCCAAGCAGGTTTTCGGCTCCGTGCTGGTCCACATTGCCAACATCTTCATGTCCATGCTCACCAGCGGACGGTTCTCCGTGGCCATGGAGCCCGTGGTGGCGGCACGGACGCTGATGAGGAGAACAAGGGAGGACGACTACACGCCTAATCCCTGCTCGTTCTATCTCTTGAATCTTGCGATCGACGTAAGTAGCTCCCACTCCCTGCAGAGGTTCTAGAGTATCTTGGACAAGGGCTAACGTTTGGACTCAGACCACCATTGGAATCCCGATCCTCATTGTTCTTCTCAAGATCGTCACCGGCCTTGTGGCGTACACTCCGCTCGGCAAACCGCGCGAGTCGATCCAGTCGGGTCACTATGGCCAGCCGCCCAATGCGTGGTGGTGGCTCAAGCAGTCCGTCATGTACTTCATCGGCCTCTTTGGCATGAAGATCTGCGTGCTGATCATCTTCCTTGTCATCCCTTCAATATCAAAGGTTGGAGACTGGGCTCTCGGCTGGACAGAGGGCAACGAGAAGTTGCAAATTGCGTTTGTCATGATGATCTTCCCTCTCATCATGAATGCGCTACAGTACTACATTATCGACTCGTTCATCAAAGAGAAGGACGGCAGCAGCGATGGACACCAACACGACAGGCTGCCCAGTCAAGACCCCGAGGAGAGCAACCGGTTTCGACGCGGCGGCGACAGACACGCAGAAGGGCTTTTGAGTGACAGCGAAGATGAAATGGAGGACGAAATCACCAAGAGGGGCGCCGACGCCCAACTCAGAACGAGTGGCGAGGGCGAGGAGTATGATCCCGACAAGGATGGGGACGCTCGCACAGTGGTGGGCAGCAGCAGCTCGAATCGTGCCTTTGAGTCGCCGGACAAGCCCATCGCACCGGCGTTATACCCAAAAGAGTGATCTTTGTTGTGTGTGCTTGCAGAGAAAGGCGTTTTCTTGGGGTTTCTTGGGTTTTCTTGACCATTATAGGACATGTCTTTTCTTGCTCGGGTTGGTGGGTAGAAACATTTATACAAGCGGTCATTATTGAAGCCACTGGACCATATGTACCGGGTCAGCGCGAATTAGCCAAAACATGCCACAACGGCCTTATTTTCCTTGCTCTTGACTTGAACCTCTTTTCACCATGGGTGTCTTACGCAGTGCAGCCTGACCAGAGCCTGCTAGGTGAATCATAAAACAAATAGATTGCGAGCAAGGTATCAAATGCTGTATATATGATGGTGACAAATTTTCCCAAGAAGTCGTGGCTCTTCCACTGCCAACGACTAAATAGTCCCTAGATGATTTCGAATGAGTGTACGAAGCGGAACGAACGCTGTCCATGCTCCTAAAGTGTCTATACCAAAACTTGAAGTAAAACCGGCACCTGTTCCCCATAACGCCTTGAAGAAATCATTCCCACGTCCGCCAACTACCAGATGTCCTCACGACGGGCGGTACGGCTTGTAGCCTGGGTACTCCTGCTTCGGCTCGGCTGGCTCGTTGTTCCGTTGCTCATGGGGGTTGCCATCCGCAGTCTGGGGTCGAGAGAATCCAGAGTTAAAGTCGAACCCAGAGTTGTTCACAATAGGTGAGGAGGGAGGCTCTTCATACGCAGTCAACGGCGAGGGCGCATGCATGATGCGCGGTGACTGGGCATATTGACGGTCAGGACCGGGCGAGTAGGCGCGGTCAAAGTTCTCTCGTCGAGGACTTTGGGCAGGAGACCCGTAGTTGGTGTTGATGGGTCCAGGTGATTGTCTGGGGGGACGACCGTAAGGGTCAGCATGAGGTCTTGGTGATCCCCGGGGTCCGGGCCCAGGCCCAGGTCCAGGTCCAGGTCCAGGCGAGTTCCTCATACGAGGATCCATGCCATACGGCGCGGGGCTGTTGTTCCCAGCCCGGTTGGGACCAGGGAGTCCTCGGTACCCAGCGCCAGGACTGCCAGGACCCCGTCCTGGCCCGGGGCTACCCATCCTCGGGGCCGGGCCAGGGCTACCAATTCGCGGGGCTGGGCCATAAGGGTCGGCGCCAGGACCGTGACGCATGCCGTAGCCAGCAGCAGCAGCGCCCATGGGTCCAGGGGCAGGGCCGTTCTGAAAGGCACCCCGATCATCGAATTCGCCCGGCCCTGGAGGCATGTCGGCATAACCAGAGCCCATCTCATTGGGGGTGCCCCTGGGATCGTGGACAGGTCCGGGACCATAGCCATGACGTCCGGGCCCAGGCGAGTTCCTGCCATTCTGCATAGGCGCCATGCCAGCTGGGGGAAGATCATAAGGCTGGTCGAGCCCAAATCCATTGTCCTGGGAGTCGTAGGGGTTGGTGGAGGTGTATGGATCTTTGTGTAGTGTTGGCGAGGGCGCAGGCATCATGTTCGGCAACTGAGGCTGACCCTGCCCATATGGCGCATTAAAGTTCTCCCTAGGCATTGGGCTATTGCGTCCGGGGCCGGGGCCGGGGACCGGAGACACACCGACGCCAGCGAGTGGGCTCTTGGGCTCCGTGGGAGGCTTCTTGAGGTCATTCATCTCATGCTCCTCTTCTTCCAGCTCAACCTTCTTGGAGTTGGCGCCTTCCCAGCTGGGCATTTGGGGCAGCGAATCTTCGCCTTGCTTCTTGGTCTCGAACTCGGCGTACTGTGGGGGCGTGACGCCAACCGTAGCGGGCGGGAAAGCGTGCATGGGAGCCTCGGTCCGGTAGCCTTGCTGAGGAGGGACGTATGGCTCATCCAGATACTTGTGCTTCCGGTCTCCTGGCGCATCGCAGCATCCGCAACAGTTGCCGCAGCACTTGAAGCAAGCGAAGCAGCTGCAGCAGCACGACTTTGCGCAGCACGCACAACGAACGATGCAGGTGACGATGGCGAGAATGATGAGGCCTCCAACCACCATGATGGCAATGGCGGGCCATTTGCAAAAGTCGGCCGCCATGCAATTGTCCCAGCTGGACAACGCTGTCTGGATGTCGGTAACTTTGTTCTTTGTATCGTCTACAATGCTTCTCTGCACCAAGTGTGTAGCCGGACTGCGTACCAAGCTGTCTCGGATGCGCTCCCATGGCCCTTGGCGTAGGCTGGAAGCCATTGCAACATCAATCGATGGCATCCTGGCGTTTTTTATATCTTCTGAAGAAGAAAAAGGGTCGTCGTACTGTTCAATGAGCTAGGCGCGCGTGGTCACTTCGGCTCCAATGTCGACTGTTGGGTGAAATCGTGGTAGTGACAGTCGAAAGGTAACTCTGGCTGAGTATAGAGACCATGCAATGAAGTGTCCCTCTCGCTTGAACGTTGGACAATGTCAAGTCGTTGGTGAGGGCAGCGGGGCTGTGACACCAACAAATGCAAAAGCAGACAGCGGGCGACTATGCAGCCACACCATAGGATGTTTCGAGGCCGGAAACCAGGATCGGCGTCTATTCGCAGCTCTCGGTGAAGTAGTAATAGCTACTAGGTAGCTCGAAGGAAGGTATTTCAGCGTCGCTCTGCGTGACCAGGTAACAGGCGTCACTGGACGGACAGGTAGTATTCGGGTGATCGGATCGTAACGACGGTCAATTGGGAATGGGAAGGACAAGGCTCGGGGCGTCAGGAGCAAATAATGAACGTGATGGAAAAAAGGAAGCAATGAACGACGACTTCGCTTTCAACCAAGGCCTGCAACGAAAGAACGCAACGACACACAGTATCGTCCGTCTACGGAGTGAAGGAGTGAAGGGGACTGAGAGCCGGAAGATGCGCCTCTTTTGCCCTGCCCCAGTGAGTGGGATGGTAAATTGCAACTGCCAGGAGCCGAAAACGCTGGGACCTGCAGGGCGAGCAGGAAAAAAAGGCGCGGAGACCCCTGGCGGGAGTGGAGATCTGCGTGTCTCGGTTCTCAGACGGGCAGTGAGCCGCGAATCACACGCTCGCCTGCGTCCGTCACGCCAAACTTATTCGCCGTTTCTATGGAATACTAGTGCCCAGTGAGCCGGTCACGGACGGGCCTCGTGCTTCTTTTCTTTCACAGAAAGTCAGCTGCTCGGGGCTGCTGCATGTCCCTCGCAGTCGAGACGGGCCGCGCAGTGCCCTCTGTGCTGAAGCATGCAATTGAGTGATCGTAAAAGCTCTAGAATGACTGACTTACGACAGTCTAGGAGTTCGAAACTGCTGCCAATAGAATGATTATGAGCAGGGTCTCTCATACGTAGAGCCCTTGGCGGGGCTACCCCTAATGACAAACTGCCAGTCTGGCAGAATGGAGTTGTTGATTGATGGACCTCTTCTTCCACCCTGTCTTGGATTTTCAGGGGCTCGGGGACGGGATGACGACAATTTCCAACGCTTGGCCGTGTTCGACTCGCGTATCACGTGCACATCCGTCAATCGCTTGTTTCACATGAGGCGAATCTCAGAGCACTGGCTGTTGATCTCGGTCTCCAGCCACAGTTGTCGTAATAAATCAATATAAAAGTGCGTACCTAGCTACGCCTCGATCATCCTCAATTTCGATGGGTCTGTGATGAACCTAGCACGAATATTGCCTCGATACATGGTAGTATCCATCGTAGTTCGACCGGATGGGTGAGACTCGACGGTGATGTGCACGGGCGCTCCTGTAAGAATACCCTCAAACTGCCGTGATCATTAGTTCCGAGTCCTTCATCAATCAAGTGAATCATCAAGATACAACATGCATCTCGCATACTTCGACGCGACGGCACGGTAAGAGCGTATTGCAGCAATCGGTGGAGCCTCAGATTACATGAAGTCAAACGCAGATCTTGGTGATTATGTCGAATATTTCTCATCTATTATCAGGTGGTATCTGTCATTGCTCATTAAAAGAGCTGCGTATCTCCGTGGGCGTTCGTTCATTGGCGCACACAAGTCCTGCCTGAACGTGCAGCACAACAGCCTTCCATCTTACAATGGCTTCTGTCTGCAAAGTCACCACAGCTCGCCTAACGCCCAAATGATTGTCCCGTCTTTCGTCAAACCCAAAGAAAAAAGCCACCAGCGGCCGTAACCTCTCATATACATCGCTTCTGCAGCGCAGGCGCCCACGCCGGGAGGTGCCCAGCTATTTGACGCCAGGTGGCGGCGGGTAGACGTGGTTCTCAGGCTGATACGCATTGGGCGGGCTCTGCAGACCAGTCTGGCCGGAATAGTTCTGGTTGCCATAATACCCGTCGTTTGGAGCATATGCAGTTCCTTTGTTCTGGGGCTGGTGAGGAGGCTGTCCGTACGCAGGCGGAGGTGGCTGCGCCCATTGTCCCTGGTTCTGTCCCCAGCCCTGCTCGACATGGCCAAGCTGGTGATCGTTCTGGTGCGCGCCGTACTTGGGAGGAGGCGCCATCCAGCCAGTGCCGTACACGGGTTTCGTGCCGCGCTTGCGACGGCGACGGGCTAAGCAGCTGAAGCGATGGTTAGCTGGGAGCGTGGACAAGTGGTTGGGGACTCGGCAATGGGACATACCAACAGCTCAATAGCACGAGCAAGAAGATGAGAAGCGCGACGCCGGCGAGGACCCAGCGTCCGTAGTAGTACCAGCCCGACTCGCAGAATCGCTGGCCATAGCGATTCGTCCAACAGCGGTCGCGCTTCTGAAGGTGATCGACGATACTTTCGCCGTCCATGATGAGTTCGCTACCGTTGCGCAGCAGATCCGAGTAGACGTGTAGTAGAGTAAATGGAGTCGTGTTGTTGTTCTTGTTGTTGTTGGGAGGACGGAAGAGGATGATGGACTGTAGAGAATGGAGGACTGGAGGAGTCTGGAGGGAGGAAATGTAAAGCGTTGGAATTTGGGTTGCAGCTGCTACCCGGATTTGTTACGCGGCGACCGGACTCCAGTCGCCGCTTTGTCTGGAACCTCGCGCTGCCGGTGCGATGATGACGTGGACGCCAAGGGTCCGCTAGCCGGAGGACTTGGACAGATGATCACTGTACAACTGTCGAATGGCCTGTTTTGCTACTTTCTCGCACTCGTTGCACTACTGCACAGTCTTCTCAAGTCTAGATTTGCAGTCCGTATCAAACGAGCGCCTGCTGCTGTCTCGCAGATACATGATTTTGAAGGCAAGCTGGAACTCGTGTGCTTGCAATCGTTTTGCCTGCGTGGGCGTTGGATCTAGCGTCGTCTCGGCAGCTGGGGCCCTGGGGCCTTGTTGGTCCCTGCTTCGGGCCTGGTGGGTGGTGACAAGCTTCACAAAGGGCTGTGGCTGAGTCGAGGCTCAGCCGAGTCACACGGAAGCACAGCCTAAACACTATGACGCTTGGATCTAGATACATAGTAGTAAATGCAGGAAAATGTTCCGTAACGATAGTTTTTACATCGATATATGCAGGTCTTTGGCCTCGTATCCTAAACCATTTGGAATCTTCCAACTAGCCAAACGGACGTCGGCATGCAAGTGTCAAATCCAAAAATTTAAGGTTGTGGCGGATCTTTTCGCTGCCGACATGGAGCCACTCGACGGTTCTTGCGGGCACCCGCCAAGCTGGTACCTTGAGCTATCCGAGAGGTCTCAAGTCGACCACAGACAAACAGGTTTCTTGCAAGTCAGGGACGATCAAAGAGCAATATGGTGAATCAGTCTTGACTTGAACGTACATGACGCAACTTCGCACGAGGACGTAGGGCTAAAATCCGGGGTAACTCCAGTGGTTTATTAATGACTCGGATTGAGCCTTGAGGAAATTATTTAGAGCTTTGCCCCACGCTGCGCATCACTGCATGGGCTGCATTGCAAAATGTCAGTGGGGCTCCAGACTGGACTCACGTCACGGATCCCGCGGACCATGCAATGAAAGCTGTACTTCATCTGGCAGGGAGACGATAATTAACACACCCGTCGCAATACTTATGTTCGGTGTAGAGGCTGATCCGATGACAATTGTTCTGCCTACGTAGTAGAAGCTGTATAGACCAGAACGCTCAGTACCTTGGCTAGCCCCTCCCGATGCCCCTCACGCTGACGAGTCCAAGCTCCACGGGACTCTCACTGTCACGAACATCATGTATTACCGCCCCTTTGCCTCGCATTGTCGAATTCCAGAGCGCCCAACTCCATGTTAGTCTGTGTGGTCATCCCTTGTGGCTCGCGACCCCGTCTTCCTTTGCCGAGCTGGGGACGAAACCTGGCCGGCATCATCTCGAAATGGTATCGGGATCACTTCAAGATCGCGTGATGCAATCATAGGAAAGACCGTTTCGCTGCTGCGCAGACAGACCTGATTAACGAAGGCCTGTAAACTCCTTCGCTGAGCTCACTCAGTATCATCACTTTTCCGTGCCCATCCATCCAGAACGCCAACGCATAATTCTCAAAACACCAATTCCATTCTGACTCCATTCATCATTCAGTTCGTCGCTGTTCCATTCAGTTGTGGTGAACAGCGTAAAGAGCTCGTCATCGCTGAAGGTGGGTGCCTACAGGCCTGGCTTGGGGAACGAGTAGCGGTTCTTGCGCAGCTGATCCGCCGCCTTGGCTTGACGCTCGGCCGCTTGGTGAGCTTGCTGTTTGGCAGCTAGTGCGTTGATCTTCTCGCGAGCCCTGTTGAGGCTCATGTTGTCCTGTTGCTTCAGCTTGGCCCGGATGTCGTAGAGGGCCATGAGCGTTGAGGCACGTTCGAGGTCGTCATCGAGGCGGCGCTACAAATGGTGTAAGCCATCAAAACTACCTGCACAAGAGCTTGCAGACTTACCTCGGGCTCGCCGTGTCGTGGGGTGCCAGGTGCCGTGTTGGCAGTGGAATGACCCGGCGGGGTGATCATGATGCGACGACCGAACTTGTCCACCTTCATCCCTTCGCTGGACCAGGCGCGCTGGAGTGCTGAGGGTCGTAGGGGCTTCTGCTGCTGGTTCGTGGGAGCGCTTGGGGGTTCGTGGATCTCGGCTGGTGCGACCGCTTTGTGGGCGCTGACAATGGCAGCGGCAGCTTCGGGCTCCTGGAAAGCGTCAGTAGGCATCAGGCATGAGAAAACTTGCACATACAGCCGCGCCGAGGTTGCTAAGGTCGGCAAGGACCATGGAGAGCTGGAGTGTCTCCATTGTGACGGCGAGGGTAGTGTCGTGGGTGATTTGGTCTTGTGTTGAGGACAGCGCGCGGCTCTGGTTGGGAAATTGCAGTTTGCCGCTATGGGTCTGCTCCTTGGAGCAAGCACATCAGCCAGAAATGGATTGGCCGCGTCCAGCAATGTATTCAGTTGAGCGTTGTGATCGGCTTTGTCTTGGTCTGCGTCTTGGTCTGCGTCTTGGTCTGCCGTTATGCGCAGCGAGAGTGAGTATGATGTTGCAAGTAGCGAAGCTGGCTGGGTTCGGTGATGAAATGATGGCGAATCCAGATCCTGGATTTTCGTTGCCAAGCGCTGCCTCTGCTCTGTGGGGCCAAGACAGATGCTAGCGGATGCTGTCGACCGGCCGGGCTAGACGAGGCGGGGCCGGGAGTGGGGCGGATAGGGCAGGCAGCCAAGGTCTGGGGCAGAGAGTCGCGAGACAGTCGCGTGGTTGTTTTTGTTCTTCGTTAAATATTGTGATGAACAAAGGAGAACAAAGCACCCACGCCAGAGGTAGTAGTATCGTAGGAAAGGGGCAGACGGGGTAAAGAAAGAAAAGGAACTGGGGCAAGCAGGTGGCAATGGGCTAGGTGGTGTGCACCTTACCGGCCCGGAAGAGGCGACATTTGTCCCGGTGAGGTAGGCGCAACTTCCCTCGCGTATCACCATCACGCACCACCAGGAGGTGGCTGATAGAACCCGGGGCGATTCGTGCCTCTTCGCGTTCTGGTCACTGATTCATTCTCGTAAACTTGCAGCCTGCAGGGACTAGACTCACTGGAACCCCCAAACTATCCCCCACACCCGGTCTGCCGCCACGACGGAGTCACAAGACGTGCAGGTGCATGGCAACATGCATCGACCCTTTGGGGTGCATTTCTGCTGACCTACTACGCAGTAGGTATGCACGGCGGCACGCGGTGGATTACGCTCTTGTTGTATAAGACACCCTTCACCGACAATGTACCTCAAAGCCACGGTGAGGGCACCGGCAACTTCCATGGCTCCCCGGAACCTAGAGGACCCCTCTTTGTTAGATTCCGTCTTTGATCAATCTTATGTTTGTGCCGTAAGAACAAGCTGTTGCGCGCATATACATGGTGAAAATACTGAACCTGGCAGACAGACGACATTGTTGAACTTGTGGTTTGCCCTCACACTATACATATCTCATGTTGTCAAATCGTAGACTAGCATTTACTAGCTAACATTGAGACGAGTGTTGACATGGGAGACAAAGGCACAGCGGACATGAAGGCAATGACTGTGATCAGCTTCTGAAGAGTTGTGGCGGACGCTGGTTGAAATGAAGCTGCTCCTACTCACATATACACATATAACTTCAAGCTTCACGATTCTATATCAAAAACTATGTCCTTTAGAATTACATTCTTTGCGCAGCAGACTCACCCGCGACTTTCCACTCAGGAGCTTGCGTCCAAGATGTGCGAATACGGACGTGTCGGTTGCACCGAATGCGCGGCGATTGTCCTCACAGCAGAGGGCGTTTGCAAGTACCCACAAGACTGTCCCGTCCGAGCCAGCTTCAAGACCATGGAGGAGCACCAGGGGCTCTGCGGCTCTTGTAGAATGAAGAAGAAGCGAGGAAACGTCGTGTTCCAGATTGTCCTCGACTCAGGGGGAATACACGTGCACACCTCTGCCTCAGCGCGAAAGGTCGGCTGGCGATGGTTGGTGAACGGCATCAAAAGAAGGCTCAGAAACGTACGGAGTAGCCCTCTCACCGAGGCCAAAAAGCTGATTCGGGCCACAGGAGGACTATTAATAGAGGCAAGTGACTGGGAGGGTTTCACGACCTCCGTCCGGAGTTCACTGACGTCCAACTTCACGGCCAAGGGCACGGGACAGCATCGGAATCTACTCGAGATAGCTGCTCTCGAAGAGGCCAACGCAAGAGCCAGAGAAGCCTACCCACGCCTTGAGGGAGCAGGCCTCTCGAGCACACTGGCATACGAGCACCTACCGGAGAGGCTCTCGAGACGGAAGAATCAGAGCAGTGGTCGTGGTAGTACCAGTGCTGGTCAGCGCCGGGTGCATTCGACTTTGAGACAACCTGCGGCACCGCTGTTTGGACCAACTCGGGCTAAAGAACGTCCAGTTACCTTGCCGACTTTGGCGAGCGCCAGCATCACGGATTTGCAACCGCCGTTGTTGCCAAACGACACGTTCGACAATATTGAGCGAAACATACGCCGGAGTAGATTGAACGACGAGGCTGGGTCGTATCTTGTCGTCTGAATGCCCCAGGGTGGCGCATCTGTCTTTCGCGTCATGTCATGTCAATTCTTTTAGAATAGAACTCGCTCTTTTCTCTTTCGACTGTTTGAAATCCGAATTCTCATTTCTCGAAATGGTCAAAGAGCCCATTCGCTTGTCCTGAGATACTATGGCGACAGCCATCGACCGATTAATTTACTGGACTAGAAACAGATGCTGTCAGGTATTTGGCCGCATTGCCGCTGTGGGTGCCAAGTCGAGGTGACTGCCGTTGATATCGATAAGGTCTCATCTTGTTGATATCGCTCGGCAGGTGATCCGTTCCAGTCCCATCTCATTCCAACGCCAAAGTCGGGAACAACACGGCCTGCGATTATTACTTACGCAGCGATGCAACATGACCACAGCTCGCGGCCACCCAGCCGTCGGCTCGAGAACTTGTGAACTGCAATCTGGAGACTTCCTGGCAAGTCTAAAGCGCACGTGCTCACCTCTTGTCGCCCCAAACCTCCATCCGCAGGGACCCGCGACCACATGGGCTTGTGCTCCGCTCTGATTCGCCAGCCCGACCACAACGCCAGAGGGAGCACGCGACCATTTGCTCGATGATGCTTGGTCAATTGGTCCCCTGGAGCCAGAGTCAGTCAAGGCGTGCTATCCTCAGTTCGTGGAGGGGTGCTGTGCCTGGTCGATGGGTGGCACGATGAGAGCGTGGTTGTGGCGCCTTGCTCTCTGGCATGTGGAGGAGGATGCTCCCCGTCCTCTTCAGCGTGCGATTTTCAACTCTCGTTGTTCAGTCTTGCATCTCCGTTGCCTGTTTGTACGTAGAGACAGACATATCGCTGTTGGTGATCCCATCAAGGCCGGCTTAGTTACGCCGATTCGCAGGCCAACACCATTACACGGCCCTTTCGACTATTTTGAACTCAAGGCTCAGCGCCTCGTCAACAACGAGAACGTACCAATTTGTACGTACCTGGGACGATTAATATCATCCCAACTACTTTATCCTTGTATCATCAACCATGCCTCGTCCAAACTTGCCGCCAACGCCAGGCTCGTCGACCGATATCAAAGGCAGCGACGGTACGCATGCCCTGGCACCTCTGCACATGTCTTTCGAACTCCCTCCACCTGCCATCCACGATGGCTCCAGGATATCACCTGTCGACGATGGCAAGCAGTCATCTTCGCCGCCAGGTTCCACAGCTTATCGCATGCAAGCTGCGGAAACAGTCAAGTCGAGAAGACGGTCCTCTGCTGCTGCTGCGACTGCCGCTGTTGGCACTGGAAACGGGAACTTTGCATTGCCCCCTCCGCCAACGAGGTCAAGAAAGATTATCCAGATGAAGCCTCCCACGGAAGATGTCCCCGATGACAACGCTGCCAGTACTACGAATACGACAGCAAAAGGCAAGGCTGCAAAGGCCAGCACACAGCAGACGGCCAAGGGCGCTGCAAGTACCGCCAAAGCCTCAGGTCCAGGCGAGGTGCCACAGGGTCAGGGAGGCAAGAAGAAGCAGCCCAGTGCAACGAGTGCGGCCGGGCGGAAGATTGCAAGGAAGACGGCGCACAGCTTGATCGAGCGAAGGAGACGAAGCAAGATGAACGAGGAGTTCGCTCTGTTGAAAAGCATGATCCCGGCATGCACAGGTGAGATGCACAAGCTCGCGATTCTACAGGTATGTTCAGACGCCATCCGTATATCTCCGGCCTGTGACTGACGTTCTAGGCCTCAATCGAGTATGTCCGCTATCTGGAGGACTGCGTCTCCAAGCTCCAGGTTCAGCACGAGAACGACCAGACCCGCGCTCAGCTACCCTCCATCCGGGAGTTCCATCCCACGTTCCGCGAGGATGACACGGCCGATGTGGACATGACGGACTCGGATGCTGTCTCGCCGACATTCACAGCTCAGCCGGATCACAGCCACCCTGCGCACCTTCGTCACCCGTCAGTATCGCCAGCCCTCCATCCCCAGGATGCTCGCGGGAGACAGCATTCCTACTCTTCCGTGTCGACCGCGGAGCATCAACGCCATTACAGCTACAGCACTGCGTCAGGTGCGACGTCGCCAGCCTTCGGTCCGACGCAGGGACTTGGGTATGCACCGAGCAACGCAGGCTCCGCGCTGACCAGCCCTGCGTTGAAACCGCAGTCAGATCTCGACCAGGAAGCGACGGCAGCGCTGCTCATGCTGAACAATGATCGGAGAGGATACACCACAAATGGGGCCCGTCGGACGGTTTCTGTTAGAGATCTGCTCACATCATGATGATGTCTGGACCGGGCCATTGACTGGCGTTTTGCTGGAGGCTTCAGAAAGGGATGTAGAAACTGCATTGGTATATTGTGCGCTTATTCGTAGCAGCGGCGGCGTCTGGGGCTATTCCTAATTATTTGCTACTGGGGCAACACACATAAGTACACTATAATATATACCTCAGTGAGCTCTGTATGAACGTGGACTGGCACATTCAATGCAAGGAGCTATGGGCGCATGCCAGCAAGACATTGCACCCGCTTCGAGCACGTTCTCCGGTGCTCAGGTCCGGTGCTCAGTGAGCCCTCTCGAGCCAGCGGTGCGCATTTGTCTTTACGCAGCACCAGAGGTTCCAGCTCGCTGGCGCTGTAGTAATATATGATGTTGGTTCTGTCCATGGAGCGCTACTCCTTCGACCTCTCTAAGCTTGCAATATTCTCATGCGAGTCCTTGACCAAGAAACTGTACTGTCAGCACATGGCATATGAGTAGTTATATGGCCAAACTTACTTGTACCACAGCACGGTTGGCCCGATGGTCATCAAATGCCACAGGCTGTGTGCGTCGAGGCAGCCAAGCCACGGCGGAAAGTCAAACAGCTCCATGCTCATGCCAAGCATTATCCATGCCACAGCGAGACCAGGCCAAGTGGTCCAAAAGCGCTTGGATTTGCGGTACTTGTCTATACTGAACCAAGTCCACAGCACATTCTGCACCATGCCAACAGCCACGTTTGCCGCCATGTTGTAGGTGTAATCCCATCGTATCCCCTTGAGGTAGCCGACATGCATCATGTACAGTAGCAGGCAAAGGAGTGACCACGCGCGGAGCACAGACCGTCGACGGGGCGTCGGGGTGTCGAGACGGAAGATCCGGACCGCTGACAGGTACGTCCCGTACAGGACATTGAGGCCGGCGGCGAAGTAGTCCAGCTCTTCGGTCATCTGAAAGTCCCTCGAGTGGAAGATGGCACTGAACACCCAGCTGGCTATGCCGACGTAGGCGAAGCCTATGCAGAACGGTCGGAGCGTGTAGGAGGCGGGGACTCGTTGGCGGAGCTTCCGCAGGCCATAGTAATGCGCGAGCAAGTTACCCAGCGAGAAGAGGACGCTGAAGGGCTCTTGCATGCCGAGAAAGCGATGAAAAGGCCATTTTCCGTGAAATTGGACGACGGGGAGGGAGGCGTCGAGGCAGCGGTTCGTGATGATATGTTGGCAGGTATAGTCGCATTCGCTTGCGCAGTTCCAGAGCATGAGACGATGCAGGAGCGCTATGATTGTTAGTCGCGCGCTTTGGACGGGTCAAAAGCGTTTCAAGCTCACGAATGGGTGTATGGGGTCCATCCGCGCCGCAGTTCTCTGTCTTGCAGATGGCGAGGCACTGCTTGAACTCGGGTAACCGATCGCCCTTGGAGGCGTGGACAGTGCAGGCGAACACGGCGATGACAGCTAGCATCAGAACAGGGCTCCACGGCCTTCCCACAGCAGACGACATGGTGGCGGCATGGACAACACTGGTGATGTGTAGGTGCCAGTGTCGTGTGCAACTGGGGAAGCTCTCGACGAGCTTGGACGGGAATCAAGGGTCCTCCTCCTCACTCACGCTTGTTCACGCGTATCCGTTGTGACCGAAATCCGGTCTGCTAGCTGGCACTGATATGGACTACCCTAGACGGTACCACTCGCGCTAGGGAATGGCAGTATCCCTGCGGTAAAAATATGAAAGTACGAAGATATGTCGAATAAAAAAAAAATGGTGTCTCGCAGGCTCGAATGAATAGAGTTTCATCATTATAGGAACGCAGGCGTTGGCAAAGCGGATGTTCACGTACATGAAGGAACATGAACTTCATGGTGTGTACAACGACATTCCGAGTATTGGAGGTATTATCATTTACAACCGACCACGGAGATATGTTCCACGAGACAAGCCTCCCAAAAGCAGACAAGCAATTCCGACATAGCATGAAGTGACTTCAACAGAGTACCACGCTGGGAAACATCCCAATCAACTCATTATCACTTCATGTCCAGGCATGTCGTACTTGTGCTCCTAATTGGGGAATATTAGACCGTTGCCGGGACAACAGGACGCGGCCCCACACCGAAGTACACACAGAACCAAAATAATAGTCCATGTCGCCCTTCGTCCTCTGGTCTGATACTTAGACACGAAACATGCACTAATCGACGCGCAGCTCCCCTTGGAAATTTAATTCTTCTTGCTTTTGGATGATGCCCTGAACTGAACGCGCATGTACACCTCACCATCGAATTAGCGACTGCACCAAAACACCCTCACAACATAACGACGCGTCCTGTCCACATAGCCGCTGTCGAGAATGTCGACAGCATCACCGACACCAGCACCCGCAGGCGTGGTACGAAGAACATCGCAACGCCAGGCATCCCTTCGACGACCACCTTCACGCCTCTCGAATGCCAAGAACTCAGCCTTACCGGTCCCTGCCACTGCTCCCGAGGCACCAGCGGTTGCTCAACAGCTGGGCCAGCAACAACAATACGACAATGACAGTTCAGAGGACGAAATTCCCGTGCCTATGAAGCTCAGCGCCCTCACAAAAGCTCTGCTCAGCGATGGCGCGCCCATGCAGCAACAACATGCGGCTTTGCCCTCGCCTCCTAGGACGAGGCGGCAGACCAGCACGCTCAGTAGCTCGACTTCATCAGCGCGCGAAGGTCGCAGGCATCTGAGGTCCAGCAGTGTTCAAGCCGCCGAGCCCAAGGACGAGAAGCCTTCAAGCCCTATCAGGGAACAAGAGAAGGAGCCTTCCCAGCCGAGAAAGCGCGTCGTTCGTCTCAGCCACACGCCGCAGAGTCTCGGTCAGGTCGGACCCAGCAAGCGACGTTCCACTTCCAACACTAGGTCCAATGCAAGGTCCCTGCCTCATTCGAGATCAGAGAGCAGGTCAGGTCACCGAGACGAATCGGCCGACGAGAAGCGCGACTACCACAACGTCGACATCAACACGCCAGGACAGCCTGAGCGCGTCGTTCGAATTGTTACCGGCTCTTCGGGCAAGCGCAGTCGACTGAGCTCCTCAGGACAGTATTCTGGGCGCCAGCACGATCGCTCCATGGCCGAAAAGTCGACAATGGACGGCGATCACGCGGATGAAGATGATCCCGACGATGTGGCACGAAACGCACCCCCCGTTAGTGTCGGTGGGATGATCAATCCTCAGGGATCCATGCGGGTGAAGCGGATCGGGAAGACGCCAGGGAGCTTCCTAAGCGGACCTGCGCGTCGTGGGAGGCGAAGACAGAGCGAAGAGGACGAGAACGGCGACGGTGAGCATGCCCTGCATGACCCGGAGGCGAGCGCCATGCGAGGTGAGGACCTGATGGCCTCTTCGTTTTATGGCGCTGAGTCGATGCGAGACTTCAACTCGGGCAGTCCTGTTAGTGGCAACGCTGCTTCAAGGGCCAGCCACCGCAGGCAAGTATCAAACGCTGACCTCCGGGGCTCCGTCCGGCGATCATCTGCCCTTCGAGAATTGGCGCACGAGCCGAACGGTGAAATCGTGATCCCTCAGTCGCGGCAGCGTCCTACCGTGCCATCAGCCAACGATCAGGAAAACGCGGGCCTCGCGAGTTCCAAGCCTCCGAAACCACTGGATCTGTTACCAGTTCAGCCGCTGAACGTCGAGGCCGGCGTGGCAAAGACTTCGCCGGACAGGAAGCCGCTGGGTCCTGTCGAAAGGAATACACCTCGTCGATCTGCACCCGCTCCGCCTCCGAAGATGTCAGTGCTGGAAGCAGCCACCTCCAACGCGGGAGCGTCCACCACCACGCAGGCCAAGCAGCGCAGGAACGTACTCAAGGTCAATGGGAAGTGCTACACTAGGCTCGACTGCTTGGGGCGTGGTGGCAGCGCCAAAGTGTACCGTGTGACGGCAGAGAACGGGAAAATGTTCGCCTTGAAGCGCGTGGCACTTGAGAATGCGGACGAGGCAACCATCAGAGGATTCCGTGGCGAGATTGACCTCCTGGGCAAGCTGAGCAACGTTGACCGTGTCATCAACCTGTTTGACCACGAGCTCAACTCGGAGAAACAAGTCCTTACTCTGGTGAGTGAACACTTTGAAGCCAAATCATGTCAGTCAACTAACCTCGATGCAGCTTATGGAGATGGGTGAGCTGGATCTGAACACTCTCTTGAGGTCAAGGCAGAACCCGGAGAACGCCAAATTTGATCCCGTCTTTGTTCGCTTCTACTGGAAGGAGATGCTGGAATGCCTCCAAGCGGTCCACCAGTGCGACATTGTTCACTCGGATCTGAAGCCTGCCAATTTTGTCCTCGTCCAAGGCCGCCTCAAGCTCATCGACTTTGGCATCGCCAACGCTATCCAGACTGACCAGACGGTGAACGTTCACCGCGAGAACCAGATCGGAACACCCAATTACATGTCGCCCGAGTCGCTGCTCGACTCCAACAACCCCCGGGGAGGCCGTGTCCCAGGACGCCCAAAGCTGATGAAGATCGGAAAGCCAAGTGATGTCTGGTCGCTGGGCTGCATCCTGTACCAAATGGTCTACGGCTTGCCTCCATTCGGCCACATTGCCAATTCGATGTCTCGCTGCCAGGCCATCATCAACTGGGACCACGCCATTGAGTACCCATCACGCGGAATGGGCGGTGCACCCGTACCGCCCTCGCTGATCCGGACGATGAAGCGCTGCTTGTACCGCGAACAGCACATGCGTCCGACGTGTGCAGAGCTTCTCAACGAGTCTGACCCCTTCTTGTACCCGGCTGAGCTCAGCGACAAGGCCACACCGATCGACGAGGAGCTCCTTGCTAGGATCATCCATAGCGTCGTCAACCGGTGCAAGGAGCGAATGCCTACGGACGCTGAGGTGGCAAGCGCTTGGCCACAAGCATACTGGGCGAGCGTGCGGAAAGCCACGGCTGGCCGCATGTAAAGAGTCAACATGTATCAAAATCCTGTACCACTGCAGGCGGGAGAAGGAGAAGGAAAGAGATTGAAGACGTTCACGAAAATTGACGACCCTGGTGGAGGAGTAGTCCGCATTCGCATTCATCAGAGCTTGGTGTTGGGGAGTTTTCTTTTTTTCTTGTCGGTTCTTTGGCTATCACTTTTACTACGCCAAAACATAGGCGATATTCCCCCGTTGTATGCTTTCCTGTTTCAAAACCGCAAAGTCCAGATAGTAGGACATGGTATGCTTGGATAATTTTTGTCATTCGTTTGATTACCAGGCCTCAACAAGCGCTTATTCATAATATGATATGCTTCTCTCAATTGCAATGCCCAATGACCCTACTATACATACATTTGGAGCTTCTGATTTGTCGTATCTGCACGACGAAACCCGAGGAGCTCCTTTCTTTTGTACACTTTTGTCGTACCATCCCTGACATTACAGCTCCACATTATCCGCGTTCTTGATGTTCAGTTCCGATATCCTCAAGATTGTGTAGCGGTGCTTGCTGTGCACGCGCCTCGCCCGCCTCTGCCTCCTCTTCTTCTTGATTTTGATCCGCAGCGGTTCGCTCTCTGTCCCCGTGACTGTGGCCCGGCACTCGAACACCCTCTCGTCAATGTGAGGTGCTCCCTTCATGGTGTAATCCCTGCTACCGATGACACTGGCGCGGTTCAGCCGGAGCAAATCACCGGGCAAGACGCCCGGCATGCGGAACGGAAGACGGATCTCGTCGCCTTCTTGCACGAGGTACGGAAACCCGTGGATGTGGACGGTGATGTAGTGACCGGGCTGCGCGGCCAGGAAGGGCAGGAGGTTGCGGACAGAGTCCTCAATGGGCGCCGGCGGCGGGGCCGGGTGTGACTTTTTGAAGGCGAGCGGTCGGACATGGTGCGCGGTAGGGTTGGCGGCGTTGTTGATGTGCTGCTGCTCCGGTGGCACGGGCTCGACGATGGGAGCTGTGGTGTTGAAGGCGCGGGCCAGCAAGGGCGTCGCCAGGCGGATGGACGGCGGGACAATGGCACCACGCAGCGCCGGCGCGGCGGAGCGAAAGAGTGTCCTGCTCATGTTGGAGCGCAGAGGGTGCACGCGATTGGGGTGGTGTATCTCGTTGGATGGAATTCCCCAGGCGCGTGTATGCAACTTTTCTGGGCTGGACCGGACAAATGCTTTGGAGATCCACCGGGTAATTGTCGGCCACGAATGCCGACACAGACACCAGCCACAGTCATAAGGTCACTCGAGGTTACAATTCTCATTGAAACTGTCAATTTCAGGTGTCCTGGACTAATTAGTCTAGACATCTACTGTTGATTTAGCAAAGATCCAATTTGTGCATTGTCCGAGATGGTATCATCCATGTCGATTCATCATCACGCCCCTTTTGTAGTCTATCACGCAAATGAAGATGCCACGCCGGGCATTCCTTGTCCGAACCCTGCGAAATCACGGCCATGCACACGTCACCTAAGTAGTCTAGCACATCCTGTACGTGCACTGTCCCGACGAATTGCGCTTCTCGTCGCCCGTCTCCAGCTTGTACTGCACCGCAATGTCCAGGTCGCGGCGGTTCTTCTCATTGGGCTTCACCTCCAGGTCGCACTCGATGACCTCGCCATCCTGCACGGTCAGGACATCCCTGAAGTACAGGACAGTCTGTTTCCAGTGGGTGTACTTGGTGTGGGGGCCCGTCGAGAAGCGGATGGGCTTGTGGCAGGCTGTGAAGTCAATGTCGAACCACGAGACCAGGGCATGCACAAAGTCGTCGCGCTTCACGGGGAGCTTGAAGGACGTGTTGAAGGCGAGGTCCGCCGTGGTGCAGGTGTACAGGTCCAGCGTGAGGACGGGGACGGGGTCGGTGACCACCGTCTTGACGTCCACTGTGTCGACGAGGGGTTCCGAGAGAGCGGTATCCTTGAGAGGGGTGTAGTCGAAGCCGTACACGTTGTCCCAGAAGCCAATCTTCTCGTCCTTGTAGTCGCCGTCCTCAATGCCCGCAAAGAAGATGGTCGCCTTGTCGGGGAAGATGAGGCCGTCCTTCTGCAGGTAGGTGTCACGTGCGTACAGCACGGTGTCCAGCATGGACTCGTAGAGGAGGAAGTAGCCCATCCACTCAGAGATGATGATGTCGACCTTGGGGAACGGCATCTCAATCTCCTCCATCTTGCCCTGGATCAGGGTGATCTTGTCGGACAGCCCATTGGCATCAACAATCTCGCGAGCTTTGAAGATAATGGTGGACATGTCAACACCAATGACATGTTTCGCGCCAGCCTTGGCGGCAAACCTGGCATCGGTTGTTAGCGTTTGTTATCGTCGCGAGTCGTGGCAGATGTACATGGACAGGATTGCGGTACCGCAGCCCACGTCAAGAACGACCTTGTCCTTGAAAATGTGCTTGTTCTGAACGATGGCGTTCATGTACGACCGTGTGCGGACTTCATCTTTCTATCGTATCAACCAGGTCAGCTATGCTCCTCTGCCTCATGCTTGAGCCACTCTGCTGCAGTGCTGTCTTGCTTGCGCCATGGTGGGGGAGGGAGGGAGGGGAACGAACCAACATCTCCTCGTGGATGCCTGCACAAGCGAGCAAACATGGTCAGTAAGGTTCAATCTTGTCGCGATCATCGCCCAGTATCGTACCATGGTGATCATAGCTGGGAGATCATGTTAGCGCTCTGTTTGACCAAGTTCATTGCATCCTCCCACGACAAGTGGGGGGTGGATAAAGGTGAGGTTTACCTCTTGAAGTAATGCTGCTCACTGTGCTCCATGGTCTTCATCTTCTGCTCGACAGCCTCGACGTCCATCTTGTCGCCGCTCATCTTGTCGGTTCTGGAAAGGGAATTGTTGGGTGGGATTGGGGAGAAGTGAAACCTGAGAGTATGCAGAACAGATCTTTGGACAAGTCCCTGGATCGATGTGAGCACAAGTGGCTGCGCCGGCGGGCTGTGGGTCCGACTATTTTCATCAGGCAGAAAAAAGAAATTCTGCCGTCACCGCCTTTGGACCCTGTCGCATCCCTAGATCCGGCCGAGACTGACTCGCAGCGGATCATACGACGCCATTATCACTGACTGAGTCTGCTCGTAAGAGTATCAGTTGTATATCAATGTATTCAGCCTGCGTGCTTTTCTTTCCAGCCTTCCGTATCTTGTCTCATGATCTCATGTATAGTCGCAGACCCGGCTGTCTGTCGCAGGTCTGGCGCAGTATTCTATGTTCATGGCAACGTAGCTATCCATTAACCAATGCGAGAGAAATCATTTCCATTGCTACCCAACTCCATTCACCATTTTGTGCGCTTATGAGTCGAGCTCTTGGCCTTTCTGGCTTCGCTCGCCGCGTTCGTTTCGCCCGCTCACTCAAGGTGATCCAAACTTCTTGATCACATCAGCAACGTGCTTCGCCAGCTCATCAGCCTCCGAGCGTGTCGCGGCCTCGGCGTACACACGGCAGGCATTTTCAGTGCCGCTGGCACGTGCAAAAGAGCGGGCGTTGGTGTACTTCTTGACAAAGCTGTCAATCTCCTCCTGCGCGCCCTTTGGAGCGCTCAACCTGCGCTCGGCGTCCGTAGTCTCGAAAAGATCTTTGTCTCCCACCTCGACGCGGACGAGTCGATTGGGCAGGTCGTTGTAGGTGTTGGCCCAATCCTTCAGGGTCCAGCCCTTGTGGGCAAGAATGACCTCGACCATGAGCATGTCGGAGATCGCATCACCAACGGTCTGGTTGATCAGATCAGAAATAGCTGCAAGAGTCTCGAGAGCCTCCTTCTGTGCGGGGGACTGAGGCTCTTTCTCGGTAAACAGGCGGATCGCTTCTTGGGAGAAGACGACTGTGCCATGCCCGTTGGCCTCGAAGTATACGCCAATGTCAAACTGACAAGCGGCGTGGTGGAGATGCTTGACACCAGTGGGCGTAAAGACGACGGGCAGCTTGAGGTGCTTCTCAATGTAGGCCGTGCTCGCGCCGTTGGCGTAAGCAGTCTGCACAACACCGATGCGGAGTTCGTCCTCGAGACCAGCCTCGCGGACAAGCCCACCAATGAAGGAGGCATTCAGAGACGAGATGCGATCACCGTCAAGCATGAAGAAGCCAGTGTCCGGATCAATCCAGTAGTAGATCAAGCGGTCAGCATCGCCATCAAGGGAGCAAATGCGGTTTCCAGGGACGGGCGTCGGCTTGGGAGGAGCGCGCTGCCTTGTCTTGACGTAGTCTGCGCCAGCCTTGCATTGATTCTTAGTGACCTGTTTGAGAAAGATAGCGCGGAGAACTTACATCCAAATTTAGGACCTCTGGCCTCAGGACATCATCGTTCACAACCTTGACGTTGATCACGTCCTTGGGGATTACCTTGAGGAGCTCTGACAGTTCAGGGCCACCGACACCGTTGGCGCAGTCAACTGTCAGCTGGCCCTCAATCTTGCGGCCTCCCAGCGCGCGAACCAGCGCATCAGACATCTTCTTGTTGTAGCCAGCTTTGCTGACCTCGCCGTATGACTTGGGTGTACCCTCGGTGTTGATGCAACGGACGAGATAGTGGAGCTGCGGTGTCGTGACTCGCTTGTAATCGGTATACTCGATATCGATGGCCTCGCAGGCATCAGCCAGCGCGGCCGCGAGGCCGTGGCCAGAGGGTCGTGTGTCGCGACCGCAAATGACACGGCCAGGCGTGGACAGATCGACCTTGAGCTGGGCGGCGAGCGACTTGTAGGTATCGAGAAGCTCCTGGTCAGAAGCGCAGTTGACGAGCTTCGTAGCGTGGGCCTCCCAATCCTGCTCGAGCATCTCGCCCATGGGATCGACAATCTTGACGCCGTTATCAACAGCCGGATTGTGGCTAGCCGTGATCATGACGCCAATCGCCTGGCCGTTGAGGCGGCGACTGCGCAGACCAGAGAGCAAGCCGACGCGGAAGGCAACGCCGTCGAGCAGGTCGGCCTTCATGCGGAAACCAGCGGTACCATACTTGTAAGCATGGTTGGGCACAATGGGGTGCTTGGCCGAAGCCGCGAGAATCTTATCGTCCATGGTATGCGTAGGCAGCTGATGAAGGTATTGGGATCAACCGTGTAGAGAAGAGGCGGTGTCCAAAGATGACAAGAAGTGGGATTGGAAACACGAGGTACACAAACAATGCGAGAGGCCACGGACAATAAGTACTAGCCTATCTTGCTCGGGTGTGGAGTTCGGGATTTCTAAATTACCAGGTACTTAACCACCTCATCGGATTTTGAAGCTACGCACATCACGTCCGTATTTCAGGCCTACGTACTTTCATTCCGCTACACAGTGTGGGTGAGACGCTACTCGGGGTGGTCCCATCCTTCCGATTATCCTCACAGTCTCTACAGAAGTTCATAGTAAGCACTAGTTGAATACGAAGAGCAAAGGGAAGCATAGAAAATGACCTGGTATCTCGAGACCCAAGCGAGGGAATGAGGGGTCCAACAAGGCTCCCAGAGCATTTTGCCCCGCCAACGACGGTCAAGGTTGACATGCAGATACTGCCCATTAACCCAGAAGGGACTAGCCTAGCACCGCCGGAGCGTCATCTTGCTGCACAAGAACACTGCCCCGTGCTTGCCGGCTGCCCACAGTCGATCCACTATTATAGTCACGTGCTGACGTGTCAAGGTTCGTTTGGCTGACGCTTCTGTGGTGAAGAACCGACGCGTCTGCGCCAGTCGCCGACTGATAATCACTACGTGCTGCCTTGCCTCGAAGCCTGTCGATCTTGGGAGCCCAAAGAACTGACGAACCCTCCAATTTTGGCGTGGCTATCAGGTTAGCCTGCATGGTGCAGGCCCATCAACCCTCATCATCAGCATTCATTGCCGCTCACACATGATGGCAGACTCTTCAGAGGTCCCGAACCCGCAGTTCCTGGCATGGGTGGAGGAATGGGTCAACTCTGCTAAGGAGCGTAATGCACACAGTCTGACCACGTACAACCGAGCATATCACTCGCTCAAAGCCTGTCCAATACGTTTCGAGCATCCAGCAGAGCTGGAGCAGCTCAAAGGATTCGGGCCCAAGCTGTGTGCCAGGTTGACAGAGAAACTGCAAGCTCATTGCAAGGACAATGGAACAGTTATGCCTGAGCATCCCAAGGCGAAGAAAGCGGCTGAAAAGGCCCGCCAGGTCCAGGAACAGGGTGATGGCGAACCAGTGGCCAAGAAACCCAAAAAGGCCCGAGCCCCCAAACAATATGTTCCAGCGTATAGGTCGGGCGCCTATGCACTCGTATTGGGGCTTTCAACATTGGATGAAGACTCTCTCACCGGGATGACAAAGGCAGAGCTGATCGAGGTGGCCGAACCTCATTGCGATGCTAGCTTCACTGCTCCCAGTGACCCTACCAAGTTCTACACGGCCTGGAACTCAATGAAGACGCTCATCCAGAAGGAGCTCGTCTTCGAGAGAGGCAGGCCTCTACGCAGATATGCTCTGACCGACGATGGGTGGGAGGTGGCCCGCAGGACTAAACAGACCAAGGAATTTAACAAGGACAACGAGAGTCTGCCTCAAGGGGCGCGAGAAGAGTCGGTTGTGGAATCAGAAGCCACTTCCAACATCCAGCAAGCCCCATCAGCGCCACCGGACATGTTCGAGCCAACCGAACCAAGTTCCTCTTACCAAAACATTGTGACTGAGGGACAGGTCATCTCAAGTGACAGTGCACTTCCCTCGTTTCTCCCTGTCCGAATCCCCCCAGGATCCTTCACGGTCAAACTGTTGCTCGACATTCGCGAGGTCAGGGCAAAGACCGACCGAGACTACATGCAACAGGAGCTCGCAAAGCTTGGTGTGCCCCCAATCATGAGAGCTCTCGAGCTCGGGGACGCGCAGTGGGTAGCAAAGTGTCATGATCCCGACTTGCTCTCCAAGCACGGCCTGCAAGGCGACGAGATTGTCCTGGACTGGATCGTCGAACGCAAGCGCCTCGACGACCTGCTCTCCAGTATCAAAGATGGCCGCTTCCACGAGCAAAAGTTCCGCTTGAATCGTTCTGGTGTGAAAAAGGTCATCTACATCATTGAACAAATTGCGATGGATCTCACTGAACAACAGGCGGACTCTATCAACACTGCCATCGCCTCGACGCAGGTGTCCAACGGCTATTTTGTCAAGAGAACTGAGAAAATGGACGACTCCATCAGGTACTTGGCCAAAATGACCTCGATGCTTAAGAAGATATACGAGAAGAAGCCGATCAACATCATACCGACTCAAATCATTACCGCAAGGAATTATCTTCCGTTGCTGGGCTATTTACGCAGAAAAGAGCCGACTCTGAGCTACCACGTCACATACCCGGCTTTCGCGTCGCTAGCATCCAAGTCGGACATGATGACTCTGAAAGACATCTTTCTCAAGATGCTGATGACGATGAAGGGCGTTACAGGGGAGCGAGCGCTTGCCATCCAGGAACGATGGAAGACCCCCCATGATTTTGCCAAAGCCTTCGAGGTCTGCGGCACAGGAGCCGCGGGACAAAAACGCAAGAGAGAATTCCTGCATCGTGAAATGGGGGATATGGTGGCCTCCAAGGCGGTGGGGAAAGAATTGAGTTCCAAGATTGCCGAAGTATGGAGCGATGTGTGAGAAGCGCCCCACTTGCAGCCTCCCGTCGTTGTGTATTGTTATTCAACAGTCCTACGCTACTGCGAGCCCGTACCAGCGATGATCTGTTTCACAAGCTTCTCCAGCAGGGGGATGTTCGCTTGACCTCCCTCGGCGCCCAGCATACCGGCAACAGACTTCTCAGCGTACTTGGCCATCATGTCGACCTCAATATTGACGGATTCGCCGGCCTTCTTCTGAGCGACAACGACCTTCTCCTGGGTGTAGGTGATAAGCATCACCTCCCACCAGCCCTCCTGGTCGTTGACTTTGGTCACCGTCAAGCTCGTCCCGTCAATGGCGATGAAGCCCTTGAAGATAATGTATCGGAGAACCTCCTTGTCTCGGGGTTTGAAGCGAAACGTCAACGCGTTGCCGTCGGGTGTCACCGAGACAATTTCTGCCGTGGTGTCTACGTGGCCTTGGACAAAGTGGCCACCCATGCGCGTATCCGCACGCACAGCACGCTCCAGGTTGACGCGGCTAGAGACTGCCAGATCACCCAAGTTGGTGATCCGGAGGGTCTCGGGAGCAACGCCAATAGTGAAGGCATTGGATGTGAACGAAGTGACAGTCAGACAGCAACCATTAACAGAGATGGAGTCGCCATCGTGGCAGTCCTTGAGAAGCTCTGACGAGTCGGGAATGCTGATTCTCATAGAGGTCCCGCCGGTGCTGTCATTGTTGTTCAGCTCACTGATGGCTAGCTATTTGTCAGCGCGTGATGCGCAATATCAGCTGAGGGGAACGAACTTCCGATGTCTTCGACGATGCCGGTGAACATGATGGCGAGGTGACAGGGTGCTGATGGGATTCCGCAAGAGGGGGTTTTCAACGTGAGCTATCCGAGAATCCGAGTCTGAGTTTACGGGCTGAGGTGTGAACGAGAGGAGTCGAGACGCTTACCTGTATGTATATTTCACCAACTATTCGAAGCTGTTCTTCAAGAGGCCGAATCCCGCGAATCCGATCGGCCTTCACGAACTGAGAGCCCCGCGGTGGAGCTATGAATCATGTTCAAGATGGCCTTATCGATTGCTAGTCCCCGCTCAAAATTTTGTGACGATGCGGCTGGTTAGCAAGCTACCTTTTACGGGAGCTTCTCTGTTCAACACAATACTATTCTAAACGCTCTCGCTCAACTGACCTAACCATTGCTGCGACGCCTCCAGAAGAGAACAAGCCAGTCTATCATCAAATTTGTACTTCACGATCATCGGCACGCACAATGGCGCCCAGTCGCCCCAACAAGGAAGCGAAGCCCTCCCCAAGCACCCTGCTTTCAGATGCCGAAACCCTCCACACAGTCGGCAAACTTCAAGATGCGATCCCGGTGGCGCAACAGGCACTTGAGCTGACAGGCTCCGGCGGTGACCACGAACTGCGGGCGCTCAATCTACTCGGTATCCTGCACATCGAGACAGGCGACACAGATGACGCGCGAAGCTTCTTCACGCGAGCGGTAAAACTCGATCCGGAGGGCACACTGGAAGAGAAAATTGGCGGTGGACCGGAGAAATTTCTTTTCCTTGCACAATTGAGCGAGGAGGGCGGAAGCGACAGTGTCCAGTGGTTCGAGAAGGGTGCCTCAGCGCTGAGGAAACGCATCCAGGCTCTGACTGACCTGCCAAGTCGGACACCCGAACAAACGGAGAAGCTCAGCACCACACAGAGCCACCTCGGCTCCGTGCTATGCTCTGTGACCGAGGTGTACATGACGGACCTGTCATGGGAGGAGGACGCGGAACAAAGGTGCGAGGCGCTGATCACAGAGGCGATGATGATCGCACCGAACAGTGCCGAGACGTGGCAGACTGTCGCCAACGTGCGGATATCACAGGAACGCTACGACGACGCGAGGGGTGCTCTGAAGAAGAGCCTGGAACTATGGCAGGACAAGGACCCTCTCGATCCCGCCGTGCCTGAATTTCCTGAGCGAATCAGCCTCGCCCGTCTGCTCCTGGAAGTCGAGATGGAAGAGGAAGCCCTCCGCGTCATTCAGCGCCTCACCTCAGATGACGACCAGAGCGTGGAGGCCTGGTATCTCGGAGGATGGTGCCTATTCATTATTGGCGAGAAGATGCGCGATGGCAAGCATGACGCCCGCGCGAATGGAGAGGCGGACGAGTGGAAGTCCGTGTGGACATCCTCAAGACAATGGCTGGCCATGTGCCTCAAGCTCTACGAGGCACAGGAGTATGAAGACGAGAGGCTGGGACAGCATGCAGTGGAGTTGTTTGAGAACATCAACAAGGAGCTGGGTCCGCCAAAAGAGGGCGAGACGGACGACTGGGATGATGCGAGCGGCGACGACGACGATGATGATCTGGACGAGGAGATGAAGGATTAGACCTGAATAGACGTGATCAAGATGCATCCCAAAGGCATTACGATACGCGATATTGTGCAACAGTTATGCCGACTATGTGGCGGTCCTGGGCAATAACGTGATATTCGATCCAAACGACTACGTACCCCCAACTCCAGGCAATGCAAGACTCTGACCTTCCTTGTTACGCTTCTATGTTTACCTTTTGCATCTGCTCTGTAGGCGGCACACCATCCTCTTCCTCGTCGTCGTCTCCGTCGTCCACCTTGCCCGCCAAACCCTGCTCCCAGAGCTGTCGCCCCGTCAGCTTGATGGGCTCCTTCACCTTGGCCTTCTTCAATTCGGCCAACCTTTCCTCCTCTTCCTGAATGCGCTTCTCTTCCATCTCCTTCAGGAACCCAGCTCTCCATTTGAGGAATGTCTCCGGCGTGACTTTGGTGCCTTCGAACTTTTTGTTCTCCTCCCTCTCCGCGGCGAGAGCTGCCTCTTCTCTCTCCGCCTCCGCCGCACCCTTCCTGTCAATGACAAGTTGCTCCGCAGACTCCTTCAAGGCAGATACAATCGTGAAGATCATGGCCATACCCATGTTCTCCTGGATTGTCTCGTCCAAGCCTGCTAGTAATTGCTCCCTGTCCTCGCCGACGTTGAAGTCTGGATGCGAGGGTGCATTTGGCACGGTGTGAATCTCGAGGTCAGGGGCCACATCGGGATAGTCTGCTGGGTACTTGACATTGAGGGCGAATTTGGGCTGGTCTTCTTCTTCCTCGTCGGGTATGTCTAGCGTCACGGTGACTTTGTATTCTGTCTCTGAGATGTCTGACGCAGTAGAGTGAGTGACGAAATCTCGACAGCGGGGAGGCGACTGGTAATGAGCATACCTGTGATCTCTTCGGGAAAGATGGACTCGAGCACTTCACGCTCTTCTATCTGATCTTCGCGACCCATGCTGATTATATCTTTGCGTTTATTGGTTGAATGGCCCTGTTGAAAGATGGAAGTGAGCCAGCAGTTGGATGAGGTTCATGAGGTACTGCGACTTCACGCGGGTGGAGTATCGCAATGAGGGGCGGATGACACAATAAAGCAGTCAATTTAGCTAATGCAGCAACGCAGCTTGACCCCGTGTTTTCTGTCAACCTCGAGCAACTCACTGATTTAGCCTCCTGCCAAACACGCAATGAGAGAATTCGATCCACAAGATCAACAGCATCTTAAGCTGCCTCATTCCAGAATTCATTGTCCCCGCTACTACTCAAATTCCGGTAGTAAAACCTACAGTACGGTGCGTTCCGTAGCGACTTCAATTCCGCCCGTGGGGCAGACCCGAACTGGCTTAGCTTAAAGGCCACCGCCTGGCAGAATCCAAAATTTCTGGACGATTTGTCGCCTTTCAGCCACCAGGGTCGCAGTCGTAGAATTTCCGGTGGTAGACCAGGCCAGTTCCTCACCTTGTCGACAACCAATACCTCGCCAACACGATACACCAGCACACAATGGCGGCAAAGGCTGCTGGAATCGATAAGAAGCGCAAGGCGCCGTCCGCTTCGAAAGAAAAGTCGAGTGGCAAGGCCAAGAAGGCCCGAGTTGAAGAAATCCCAGCCGACGAGATGGACGTTGATGAAGAGGAGTTTGAGGATTTCTCCGATTCGGAGGACGGGGGCGCGAAACTGGACGAGAGACCGGCAAAGAAGGGCAAAACAAGCGGTTCCAACGGCAAGAACTTTGAAAAGGGTATGTTCTACACTCGACCTCTCGCAGCTATTGATTACTGACGTCCGTACCAGATGCCAGCCTGACATCGCGCGAAACCCATGCGAAACAGAAGCAACTAGCTCTCGAGCGCAAGGCCGCCAAGCCCCTTGCCGACGAAGTTCAGCGAACGAAGAAGATCTGGGAGCGTCTACGCATCAAGTCCAGTGTGCCCAAAGACGAGCGCCAGAAGCTGGTCGACGAGCTATTCACCATCATCACCGGTCGCATGCGTGACTTTGTCCTCAAGCACGACGCTGTGCGCGCGGTGCAGACCGCCCTCAAGTACTCCGGCTCAACACAGAGGAAGCAGATCGCCAAGGAGCTGCAAGGTGCGTACGCTCAACTGGCGGAGAGCAGGTATGCCAAGTTCCTCATTGGCAAGCTGCTGGTCAACAACGATGACGAGATTCGCGACATGATCATCCCCGAATTCTACGGCAGGGTCCGCAAGATGATCAACCACCCCGAGGCCTCGTGGATCTTGGACGACATCTACCGCACGGTGGCCACGAAGGAGCAGAAGGCCAGACTGTTGCGCGAGTGGTATGGCCCGGAATTCGTGATCAAGGAGATGGCCAACGATACTGAAGTCACTGCCGACCTGAAGAAGATCCTCGAGGCGGAACCGAGTAAACGGGGACACATCACCAAGAGTCTGTTTGACATGATCAACACGCTTGTGCAAAAGAAGATGACTGGTTTCACCATGCTCCACGATGCGATGCTGCAGTACTTCCTCAACTCGACACCGGGCACGGAGGAGTTCAACGAGTTCTCGGAGATTGTCAAGGGCGATGAATCGGGCGATTTGCTGAAGAATTTGGCGTTCACAAAGTCCGGAACCCGTCTCACCTGCCTCCTACTGGCGTACGGTAGTGCAAAGGACAGGAAGCATCTTTTGAAAGCGTTCAAGGACACGTTCCAGATGATGGCGGGCGACCAGTACGCTCACCTCGTCATCTTGACGGCCTTTGATGTCATCGACGACACAAAGCTCACCTCCAAGAGCATCTTCCCTGAGATTCTCGGCGAGGGTGGAGATGCGCAAGTGCAGAATGTGCTAGAGGCCGTCCACAACCCATTCGCAAGGTCCACGATTCTCTACCTGCTCGAGGGCATGTCCAAGTCATTGTTCCCTGCTGGTCAGGCCTACGATGTGGAGGTTCTGAACGAAGTCCACGAGATTCGCAAGAACACAAGTAAGAAGGACCCCGAGGCCCGCCGACAGGAGCTCGTGGCCGCCTTCTCGCCTCAGCTGATCAGTGCTGTGGCTGCCACACCGCGAGAGCTGACCTCGTCAACATTTGGCTGCCAATTTGTGGCCGACGTGATGCTCTCCTGCGAGGGTGACAAGTCAGCCGCCCTGGAGGCCATTGCACAATGTGCCGAGGGTGCGCCCACAGGGGTAGTGGAGGGCGCCGATGATGTGGCGCCTCCTGTGCACATTTCACAGACCGCATTTGGCAGCCGGATGCTGAAGTCGCTCATTCAGGGAGGTCGTTTCGACAAGGCCGCTGGCAAGGTGATCCTCGTCGAGCCACCGCTGAATTTCTCTGACACGTTGTATGCGGTCATCAAGGACCATGTCCTCGACTGGGCGACCGGGCCTGGCTCGTTCGTCATCGTCGGGCTAGTCGAGGCAAACGACTTTAGCGACAAGGAGGCGCTCAAGAAGGTGTTGAAGAAGAACAAGAGCGCTCTGGAGAAGGCGGCGACTGAGGCAACAGCCGAGCAAAAGGCAGCAAAGGAGGCGGAGGAGAAGGACGCCAAGTCGAAACCGAACAAGAAGGGAGCCAAGAAGGGGGAGAAGCCCGTTGGCAACATGGGCAGCAAGATCCTGTTGAAGGCGTTATAATTATTAGGGTTTTCCAAACACTGCATGAATAGATTTGTCACATCTACCACGGCGCCTATGTTGAAGCGTCAACTTACCGCTGTGAGTGCACTTTGGAGTACAGCAGAACGACCCAGGCGCGCCAGGCAAATGCTGCCGCGCAAGGCATCGGCGCGAAGGACGTAATGGCTCATGAACTGAACTGAAAAAGAAATGTACGTAGCACATTTTGAGCATAGAAGCCACACTGCAGTCTAATCAATCCACTCACGTCGTACACGGCAGCGCAGAATGGATGCGATTCGCAACTCCTAGTCCAAGGAGCGATCACTGTACCGTCAGGCTAAGGAGCATATGTACATATTGGCCGCATTGACCAATCTGCCTTTAATTGGTGTACTTGATAAGCAGTCTGCTAGGTAGCAACTTGTTCGAGCACTAGAATAAGTCTGTTCAAGGAGACGCCTGTCTTGAGCGTCGTGGGTCGCTTATGTAGTGCGCCGACACTAAAAGGGGCTACGAGTGACACAACGTTGCCTTAAACAGCTGATGAGACAGCTTACCACGCGGAGTCCTTTTACCATTGACCAGTCTCCTAAATTCGATAGGAGAAGCACACGTTATCATCTCAGTACTGTCAATCTTCTGAGTAGATGTATTTGCCAGTGTCCCTTACATCGTACTCAATGCTGTAATGTCCTAGCCTGTCCATCCCAAGGACTTTGCAGCCGGCAACTGAGCAATACTTATTCACGCACGCGGGCGGCATGCTACAGATAATGGGTGGTCTGATCACAGCGTGGCTGAATTGGAGCCTCACTTTGGAGTGAGTTTTGGTGGTCATGGTACTGACATCGGACGATGACAGCAGCTTCTGAGTTGCCCCCTTTTGCACCACCTTGCGCAGAGTTTTCCCTGCTTGCTTCCTTCAATTCTTGGCCCATGCTGTCTGAAAATTCTCAGTCCAGTCTCTCTTGTGTGCTAGCCACACGCGCTAATCCAGCCGAATCGCACCTGACATTTTCAGTTCCCCCTATCTGAGGACTCACTGAGCAGAACTCGAGCCCTCCACACACCTGTCCCATCGTCACGATTCTTGAGCATTTCCAACAACCCATTCAACCCGCCCAAGCTTTCTGGTTCTCTGGGAGCCTCTCGTGTAGAGATCCTCGATCAGACCAGATCCCAGGCTGCACACCATCAAACATTCGGCATGGCTGCCATCGCGAACAGCGGCCTCGAGCAGCGGCAGATAATCTCTGACCCTGCCGAGATCAGTGATTTCTTCCGGGACCCTTTCGGCACAGGAAAAGCCACCAAGACAGAGGCCGTTTCTCAAGACGACGGCAAAGAGGAGACAAAGACCGATAGCGAGGGTCAGGACACCGTTGTCACAGAAAAGTCAACGATCACTGACGGTCTCACCACCAAGACCGACTCAGGGAGGACCATCACCGTGCCCAACAATGAAGTCGTCACTATCACAAGACACACGACCATCGTCACAAACCGACCACAGCCTTCAAGCAACACAAGTTCCGACGCCACATCGGCAGCAACTGGCCCTATCACAGAAGGACCGTCCGTAACTACAGGCTCTCCTACAGAGACGCCAGGGCTCGACGAGTCGCACGACGGAGGCTTCCCAATGGGGGCTATTGTCGGCGGCGCCGTCAGTAGTGCGTTGCTTGTAGTGGTGGCCGTAATTGCGATGATCGTTCTCAAAAGGCGTTCTCGTCGGCGTCGAGATGACACGCAGAGCTCTCTCAGCAGCAATGACCAGTATAAGCGTACAGACCGCTTCGACGACAAGCACTTTCCCCAGCGTCAGAGGTCAGCTCATACTGCGGATACTGCTCAAACTACGGCCACTGGGGTCGGTGACCCGTTTGCTCCCTTTGGAGGTAAGCAATACTTCGTGAGGAGGCTAGGCCTGCACTGACATGTGAACAGGTCGGGTTGACAAGGACTCGGAGTGCCCGATCCGCCCGCAAAGCAATACCTTCGAGATGGACGCCACGACCGCTGTACCTGCGGAATTGCCAGACTCGAGTGCATTTGCGGCCAACCCGACAACGACTGTGCGTGCTCCAGTGCCAGTTGAGCCTGCCGCCCCTGCTCAACCGGGAGCAAACCTCGACCCTTTGGAGACAGGACAAGGTAAACCCAAGTACATCAACCACTGGGATCAATACCGAGCCATGGGGTCTGCGCAAGAGGACAAGGAGTGACTTGATGTTGGGGCCCAGTGATTCCCGGACGTATTCGCTGGCGTGAGGCACAGAGATGTATCTGCTTGTTTGCTGGTCGGTTTTTTCTAGTTTGCATGTCAGCTCAGTTCGTATATCCAAACAACATCTTGCTAAAATTATTGAGGAGTATGCATACAGGAAATCAAAAGTGTTGATGAGCGGTGACCAGACCCAGGCTTCCCGGTACCGATCGTATACCGCACAACGCAAACTTGTGATGTTACCACGACAGGGTACGAGACTCTTCACCATTAACGTCGTTGTATTCATAGGTTCCTAAAATGTGTAGAGTAGCAAGCTGACCTAATCCATTTTGATTTGGCACCAAACGCCAGAAATGCAACTCCCTTTGCGTAGCCATCCGTCCCAGATGGCTGCGCCAAAAGCAAACCGTGTCCGTTTAAAATTCCATGTGTCGCGGTAGCAGTCACCCCTCACTTCGTTTGTAGCTTCGTGATCTCGTCGAGAAGGTCCTGCAAATCGGCATCGTCAATCTTGTCCTGCAATGACGGAATGAGCGTCTTGGCTTCGTCCGCGTTCTCGCAACATAATGAGCCTGTGACTGTCAGCGATATACACTTGCCGCATAAAGACATGGGAGGCCGTACCGAGCTGGGCGCGCTCAAACTTCTCCAGCTCCCGATGCGACCGGAGCAGTCGCTCGACAGCTTCGACGTTCTCCTTTCTAGTGAACCGCGAAAAGTGGTCCAAATATTGCAGCGTCGTGTGCAACATCCTAGCCCTCGTCAGTCGATCTGTTCATGAACAGCACCCCGCACATCTTCTCATCCTCCTTCGCTCGGGTCGTCGTACTCAGTCTCGTTCAGATTCATTTGTGGCGCGCCGTCAGGTCGGACCTTGGCTGCGCGCTCGCGTCTGCGCTGGACAATCGCATTCAACACAAGTGAGGCTTCGGAGAGCGTGAGGGTTTCAACGTCCTGGAACTCGCCCAGGTTGAGGACTGTGCTGGCTTCTTCGTTGCCCGGCGGCGGAGGCTTGGGCCGGGATGTCTTGGGGAAGTGAGCCATCTTCGGCGCGCTCTTGAATCTCTCTAGTCGCTGGCGATATTGGCGTTCTATATTTGAAACAGCGTAGGCTAGTTGTCGTCTTCTTGTGCGATGTGGGTGGTGTTGTCAATGCTACAGTCAATGCGCGAACCTTCGGCGTGAAGTTCGGACACAGATTCGTGTAGTTTGGCGCTAAGCCCTTTTGGGACCTCTTCAGAGTATAAGTCCAAGTGCCCAAAACTTTAAAGATAGATCTATTCCGATTGCAACTTTCAGGTGCGTCGTTGGAAATTTACTGCTAACCGCCCAGGGATTTCACCAGGTACCTGATCTACAGTTCAGCGTATCACCTCAAACAGAATGAAGCCGGCTTTGCTGTTTCGGTGCCAAATTTGATAGCTGCCTGCCTAGGTACATGGCATATAAGAATATGTTGCATTCGGTCACAAGTAAACTTCTCATCTTTTACCAGAATGCATAATGATTGGGGAGGCCTACCAATATCTTCTTCGTAGCCTTTGATTCCAACATGTCCAGGAGCCATCAAGAAAGCTCTCGGTCTCTGACGGCCTGCAAAGGCAATGATTCCTGTAGTGGCCCATCCCGCCGTGGCGGTCTCTATCAAACAAACATTTCAAACCCGGACACTTTCTAGAGGCAATCTGATTACTCATTACTAATCCCTTGGGCGGAAGTTCAGACAGTTTGCCCAAAGCACAAGAGATGTTCATCGTTGAGGGAAACACGTGACATCAGCTGGTCATTTGGCGTACCCTGTACGCCGACAGCATTGATTGCTGATACGTGATGACTCTGGAAATATGGGATAATTATTTAAAATGCTTCCGTCAAGTACATCTAGAAAGAAGGTGAGTGAAAAGTATTGGTGGAAGAATCTGGATGGTTATTGTTCAGGTTGTAGCTCCTAAATTGTATGTTCCAATGGCAATCTGATCCACCTCACTTCACGACGACATCTCAACAACCTGTGATCACGGCAGCGACCGCAACGGCGAGTGTACAACAACGTCGACACGATCCCAGTGATAAACGTTGACACCGGCTCTGGGCATTTCCCTCGACCCAACTCTCCCATGAAGGCGTCGACGCGATGTGTGCTCACCTCGCCCCCCCACCCCTGAACACCCTCGTCTGACTGTCAATTCAGGACCGTCTTCGCCCTCATTGTCATCAACAAGGCCGGCGGCTTGATATACAACAAGAATTTCCACGATGGCCTAAACAAGATCAGCACAAACGATTACCTCGTTTTAGCCGGTACATTCCACGGGTAAGGCCATCCCGCAGTGAGCAGGAGCAGCAGCTTACCCATCTCGCAGAGTGCACGCCATCACGGCGCGCCTGACCCCGATAAGACCGCCTGCGCCGCCGGCTGGGCTTCGACCCGAGCAGGTCTCTGGATTGGAGGTTCTCGAGACCGAGAATTTCCGCATGCAGTGTTTCAACACATTGACCGGTGTGAAGTTTCTGCTCTTCACCGACACAACACAGACCAACGTCGATGTGACTATACGGAAAGTGTATGATCTGTATGCGGACTACGTCATGAAGAACCCGTTCTACTCACTGGAGATGCCTATCCGGTGCGAGATGTTTGATAGGAAACTTCAGTCATATGTCAGGGAAATCAACAATCGATAGACGCCGCGGAAATGTCTCATGAATCTCATTATCAAAACAAGCTGCACAATGCGGCAAGCTCTCGCGCCTATCGTGTCCCTGTCTACTTGGTCCCTGTGTCTATTGCACACCAAGCGCCATGACGCCGAAGGAATGCGACCTTGTTTCGAATGCTCACGAGGTGTCCATCTTGTCGCCGTTCTTCTTGCTGCCGTCACTGGGGCCAGACTCATCCTCTTCTTTGACATCACCCAGCGACTCTTTCTTCGCCTTCTCCTCTTCTTCCTTTGCCAATTTCTCCTGCCTGGCTTTCTCTTCCTCCATACTCATGCGCAGAGCCAACGCAAGCTCGGGCTCCATGGATGGATCGATGCCGAATTCGAACTCCTCATTATTGCCACCACTCTCGCCGCCACCCTGGCCGTCAGCACCCTCACCCAGCAGAATGGGGCTCGATATCAGCTGGTCACCCAAGAGCTTGCTGCTGGGAGGGAACACGACCATGTGGGAGCCTTCGTTGCTCTTGACGGCCTCATTGAATGCCTCCAGCTTCTGTTGTGTCGCCTCATCGTCGAGCTCTCCGAACAGCACAAAGTCCACCGTCGTATTGCTCTTCTTCATCTTCTTGGCCAGCTGAACAAGCTCCTTCTTCTCGTCGGCGATCGGGGAGCATACGAATACTATTATTCGTTGACGTTGGGCTCGGTTCTGACGGTGCTTGAGGGCCAGCTGCACATCATTAGCCATTGCACGGAACCCAACTACCAGAGCAACTTACCGCAGCGACCTGGACAGCTGTCTTCAGATGCGAGGAGCCGCCCAGCTTTTGCTTTGTATGATGCAAGCCCTCCAGTACCTTGCCCATTTCAGTAGTCAATGTGACGTGCACTTCAGGCCCCTTCCCACCCATGCTCATTAAACCGACGGAAGACTCGGGGTTGCCGTTGGTGATTGTCTGGAAGAGCGTCTGGACGGCGTCGGTCTGCGCATCGAAGCGTGTTGGCTGGTAGTCGCCATTCCTAGCGCTCTCGCTGTTGTCGACAACGACCATTACCGCCTCGAGAGGCATGGCGGCGGTGTTGAGGGAGTAGGAAGCTGGAGTTGAAGAAAGATTAAAAGTTGCCGATGGCTGTCTCTGTAGACAAAATGGAAGTTGTCGGATTTATGATGCTTTGGGTCTGTTTGGAGAAGGCTGGCGATCAGTCAAGCTCCCGATGTCGTAAGGCGGGTTCAGCCTACAGTGGATGGCGTCCAGGGTAGGTGGGCCCGGACTGCTTACATAACGACGGTGAAGTGCCCCACCTTTCTGCGGGTTTGTTTACTTTGTCCGACTTGGTCGTCACCTCAAAGCACCTACACACCAATATCATCAAGCTGCGCCAGGATTTCACATTGTGAAGAAATTGATCGAAGTTTCTTACAGAAAGATCGGCACATTACACGCGACTCTGATTCGTCTTCTCACAAAGCTTCAACATAATGGCGCAAGGTCGACCGCCGAAGCGCGCTTCAGACAATGCCGCGTTCAGCCCACGCGCCACAACACCAGCTCAGCAAAGAAGTCCGATCAAGCAGCGCAAGATGGGGATAAGCGCGCATCACAAGCAGGCTCTCATAGACAATCTGCAACTGGAGAGTATGTAGAACACACATGCATGCAAGGGAAGCTCTCATGCTAACACGAGCAACAGTTACTGAACGCGCGCGCAGACTCCGAGCGCAGTACAGCCTCCAAGCGCAAGGTCTCCGGTCACGGATAGAAATAAGGGTCAACCGAATCCCAATGGCTCTGAGGAAGATGAGAATGGAGGACCTGGTACTGAAGTACTCTGAGAAGGAGCAGAAGTCCGCGATGACTGCCCGACCACCTCCTGTGCCGGCAAAGGACAGGCTTGTACGGAAACCGGCCGACATTCACAGCGCGCTCTCAAAACCAACAACAAGCCTCAAACGAACAAGGTATGCGCGTGGGTCGATAAACTCAAAACCTCTGCGGCTAACAATGAAATAGTGAAGACTTTGGCAAAGATAAGGAGAACGAAAATGTAGAGAACCCCAACAAGAGGGTGCGAGCAGCCGAAGGCGGGCATGTTCGTCCTGCGCAGGTCTTGTCTCCTACCTCCTCCAATTCGAGGCTCAAGGGCGGCCGCCCTGCTTCACCAGCCAAGTCACAGATCGCGCGACCCGGATCACCGCTCAAAGGCACTTCCCGCACAGCTGCAGCAACCAACATGCTGTCTAACTTTGTGGAAAAGGCCAAGTCGACACGCGCTGGGACACGAAAGGCCACCACTACGTCGAATACAAGCAGCACTGCTGCACCAGCTGCACAGCCAGCCAAGACACGACGCGCCGCGCCCGCAGCAGCCAAACCTCCAACTTCGCGGCCTGCAACACGCACAGGCCGACGTGCTAGTGCCACAAGTGAAGCTAGTGATGGCAGCAATTCGACAGTGGTCAGGAAGGGAGCGGCTCCTCGGGGCGCGCCCCCAAAGAAAACATTGGGGAGCTTTACGAAAGGAACTGCGAGCGGGGATGCCAAAAAGACCACAGCGGTAAAGAGCACGCCGAAGACAAGAGCTGGGCGAGTGCTGCGAAACAGAGGGTAGACATTCAGTCGGATTTCAGGATTTGCTCATTTAGCAGGCGTTGCGTTCTTGAAATTGGGTAGAGCACCGATGACACTGCAACAGGGCTTGGCAGGGAGATCACTCACGGCGCTAGGAACGAGGAACTTGAGATTGTATGCACAGCGGTGAACCATGCAATGGCGCTTTTGATGATGTCGTAGCCTAAGTTGCGGCCGCAGCCGCAGCCTTCTTCTTCTTCTTGTCATCCACGAGTTCGATGTTCTCACCAGGGATATCCTTGTACTTCTCCAAAAGGAACTCCTCTAACTCCTCGCTCACATCGCCCTGAACCACAATTTCCTCTCCACCACTTGGCACCTTGGTGACCGACGACCCCGTAGCAAATTTCTTGCCCAAGTCTTTCGCCACCTTCTTCAAGTCTAGGCCGAAAGCCTCCAATCCGAATACGGCCGTGACGAATTTCTTTTTGTTACGCTCGATGCGCTTAATCGTGATGGTACTTGAAGCGAGCTTCTCGTTCTGTTTCGCCTCAGCGGCCTCGGCCTTGGCGGCCTTCTTCTGCGCATCGCGCGCGGCTCGCTTCTGCGCGTCCACAGATAAGGCGGCAGTGGCAGCCTCAAGGACCTCTGCACCAGGTTGTGAGTGAGCGAACTAGTCGACGGAACCGTTGACAAACCTGGTGACCATATCTTGGCATACATCTCCGGCTGGTTGGCCTCCAGCCATTCTTGACATTTCTTTACAGTTCCGCCATATTCGCAGTACTACTTGCAATCGCTTAGCATGATATCGGGAGCAGATCGTGACCAGGGAGGCAAAGTCGCACCTCGGGAGGCAGAGTACACACTAGAATTCGCGGTCAGTCGCGAGAAAGCCAAGACAGGTCACAGGCGATAGATACTCACCTCCACAGTAAATCACATGACGCCCCTCTGATGGCCGATCTCCTTGCTCGGAGTCTGCCATGTCGTAGCTGAGTACAAGTTGAAGGTGAGGTTGTTTGGAGTCAAGGAAGAAACGCCCTTAGACGCGTGCTCGACCTTCGTACTTTCCGTAGGCATGGCGGGGTAAAATTGATCGATGGAGGGGCTCGCAGCATCCGACGTCAGCCCGCGCGTGAGCTCAGTGCCGCCTCCAGAGGCCTTTTGTGGGGTTCCCGCCAGACCTCGAGGAAGAGCTTCACCCTGGCCTCAGGCAACAAGTGCATTGAACCATCCTCACCATCTGCAAACCATTCGTAACTCTACGATTCCTCATGGTTGGCGTCGTACCGCTCCTGGTCGAAATGCAAGCATTGTCACACGGTCGGCAACTCTATTGAGACCCAGAGGCCGCGTTCACGGCCGCTTTCCCGACCAGCAGTATGCACAGATTGCCTCTACTCGACCTCTGAGCTTCGCGCAGAAGGCTGCTCAACGAAAGACATGGCGCGTGATGTTACTAGCGACCACGAACGACATCAAATGAAAGAGATTCAGCGTCCGCATCCTCTGATATGCGGTTCATCAATAATCTGCAGCAGTCCAGTGCTTGTCGCGGCACGTAGGCGCCCGTCGTCTCCAGCGGGCGACCATTGGCTGTCGCAATGCAGCCGCCAGCCCAATCACAGCGAGACCATCACCGTTTCCCGCGCGCCAGCCTGGCAATGAGATGCTGCGGGCTATGTTTAGAAACCTGTTTAAGGTCGTTGATTGGTACGTGCCAGCCTTGGCTAGGGATGGAAACATGATGGCTGTCCAACTGCCAACGTTGCGCAGCCTGAGATCCCCATCACAGCGATTATGGACGTACCTTGTCCGCATTGGGCTTCGTTTGCGCCCCCAAGAGCTTCTCGGCAGCATGCGTTCCTGCAATGGTCTCCCCGCGGCCCACAGCTGGTGTCATGTCAAGACCATCTGGCAGCCACAAGCGTAGTGTTGCGCGCCAGGATGTACTTGTAGCCGCTGACGAGATGGGCCACACCATGATCGAGAGGGAGGTCCCAGATCTGGTGCTCGAATAAGAGACTTCTTCGTCCCTCGGCCATGCGGCCGGCCCTTCCTGCCTCTTCCCCTCCACCTTCTCTTCAGTACCTCCTGTTTGTTCCTTGCTCTACACTTTTGCGCCTTTCTAGATCATCGCTTCGTTGACCGAAGCAGCCTGTCGTTCACACAAATCCGTTCGTAAAGCAACTCGGCGCGGGACGTCAAGAAGTCCAACTTTCAGTATACCCTGTTTTCTCAACGTCTTACTCTCTGAGCCTATGCCAGGTGCCGGCCAGCTTTAATTGTGTTATATTCTGGCAATAATCACGACAATTGGAGGAAACAATGGCCGACACTATCCGCATGGGAACCCAGTCTTCGCTGGTTCGAAGACAACACATCCTTAATCCTATAATCGAGGAAGAGAGTGATGAATGTCACACTCCACACGCGACGACGGCGCCGTCTCTTCAATCGAGACGGGCCGACACGTCGCACCTGAAGATCCAAGCATGGTTGTCACCGATGAGTGACCACTTCCCCACGCCAAGGGGCATCAACTACATGTCGGCGCCTGTCTTGCCCTCTTCGCCCTCAGTGTCCTCTGCCGATGATAGCTCCCCGACGACCTCGTCGAACCCTTGGAATCGCACGAGCATCATGACCGACAACACAGAGTTTGAGGACCTTTACGACGTGACTGATGATGAGGGCGAGGACCAACGTGGACTGCGCAGGGGGTCTTCCGTGAGAAAGTCGAGGCCGCAAAGCTCGACTAGGGCACCTGGGAAGGGATCCATGCGTCTGATCATCCCAGACAGCCGAGGACACATGAGTGAGCAGCGCTCTGCTATTGAGGAGTTCAAGAAGATCACCTCGCCTGTTCCTCTTACGCCATCAGCCCAACTTACCATGTCACCAGCGCAGCTGCAGTTCATGGACCAACAGCAGGCGTTGGACACCCCTACGACATCAGCACCGCCTTCTCTGGATGGCAGCCTTACCTCGGAGCAGCTGGCAGCGATGAGTGCTCCGCCAACACCGGTGATTGGGAACGACGAGGACGCACCGCCCGAGGAGTCATGGTCTGGGGTCCAGCTACAGCCTGGTGCTCTGGCGACCCTACATGCTCTCTCAGGCGAGGAGGAGGACGAGGACATGCACCACGAACAGCCTGAGCGTGTTTTGGAAATCCCCCAGCCAGTGCCCCGACGCATTAGCGAGATGCGCCAGCAGCCTCTGCGTCTTGTTACCAGCTTCAACCCGCCCGCTACCGCTGGTGTCGCATTCTCGCCCAACACCAACCGCCAGTCCCTCGCAGACTTGACAAAGTTGGACATTCCTTCCCCTGGCGGTTTCTTTGCCGGTCTCTCGCCACGGACCCGTACCACCTGGCACATGGTCGCCAAGTCCCCTGACGCCATGGTGCCACCGACATCGACAACGGCCGAGCAATTCTACCGCTGCCCTTGGAACATCGACGAAGCTGTCCCACCCGTCCCCGAGCTTCGGGTCACTGAGATTCCTGAGCGCCCCGACTCCGCCGAGGGCTTCTACAGGATTGCTAGCATGTCGTCGGCCCCTGTGGAGCAGGTGGTTGAGGTCATCGCTGACGACGTGTCTGATGATATGCCTACGGCACGCCCGGTCTTCGAGCACAAGGTGTCTGATTCCTCCGATGAAACGGTCAAAGCGTCCGCTGCTCCCCCTTCTCCCGAAGCTGAGCAGGCCGTTGCCGAGATCGTCAACGACTACGACCCCAAGTATGCAGTCAAACAGCAAGAGGAGGCCGTCTCGAACCTTGACCGCACCGAGCTCTGGTTGCGCGCTCAACGCTCTTACCTTCAGATCTTTGATGCTTCAGAGGATGAGTCGTCCCTGGAGACCATTGAGGAAGCCGCCGAGGAGGAATCTCCCAAGGAAGCTAAGATTGAGCCCAAGGTAGCGTCTCAGCCCGAAATTGCCCAGTCTCTCGTGCCCCTTAAAAAGAGCGTCCGGTTCTCGGAGCTGAACTCGGCCGTTGCGCAGCCCAAGCGTCTGCCCTCAAAGTTGATGCGCCAGGAGTCTGCCTTTTACCGCGCCTTCCAGGACTATATTGTGCGCACGCACAGTGTCGACGTGTTCGTGCACCAGCTGGCACGCTTCGAAGCTCTCCAGGCGCAACGTGTCTCTCTCCGCCAGAGGCACCGCAACCAGCTTCTGGGCAAGTTCCAGCTCAGCGTGGTCCCGCTCTCCGCGAAGAAGCGTCTCAGTGCCAACGTTGTGCGCAGCGACAACAACCTCACCATTGACCTTGACCAGCTGCGTCTGGAGAAGGAGATTGAAGCTGCCGCCCAGATGGCGATGCCCACTTGGCACGTGGCCGCCATGAAGTATCTCAACGGCGGGAAACTCATCACAGCGCCGGTCACGAAGCGTCTGGCACGTCTGTCCCAGCCCAAGCTTAGCACTGGGGGTGTCCGTGAGCGGGCCAGGATCCTGGATCTTGGTGGCCAGTCAACATGCGATTGGGCATGGCACTGCGCCCTGCAATACCCCAACTCAAAGGTGTACACCGTCACCACCAAGGCCATCCGTCAGCTCTCCAACTCTAATATCCGTGGACCCCCCAACCACCGCCAAGTTGCCATCGAGCGCCTCACCCGTCTTCCATTCCAGGACAACCACTTTGACCTGGTATATGCCCGTGAATTGCACAGCATTCTCAAGTTTGTAGGAGAGAACGGCGAAGACGAGTGGGAGAGCTGCTTGCGCGAGTGCATGCGCGTGCTCAAGCCCGGAGGCTACATTGAGTTCTCCGTGCTTGACTCGGAGCTGATGAACGCTGGGCCTCTGGGCCTTGCCAAAAGCGTAGAGTTCGGCTTCTCGCTCAAGACTCTTGGCTACGACCCCAGCCCATCCAAGATGTGGCTCGGCCGGTTGGCTCGTGCTGGCTTTCAAGATGTCCGCCGTGCCTGGATGTGTCTCCCCGTCGGTTCCAAGCGCGATATGTACAAGATCCCCAGACCTACGGCGGCGGAAGGCGAGACTCTGCCTCAGCTGCCCCTCATGGGCAGCGCTGACAACGTCGCGAGCGTGTGCAGCGTCGTGGGAGGCTGGAACTGGGAGCGCTGGCTCCTCCGTTGCGAGATGGAGAAGGTGGCTGGCGAGCTTCGGTTGGCTGACACTGTCACCGCTGGCGTTGCGATCCAGGAGGCCGGGAAGTGCCTCGAGGGTGTTGCGGCAGTCATGGAGGAGGGAAGAAACTGCAAATCGGCATTCCGCATGCTTAATGGGTTTGCAAGGAAGCCTTTGGCCAACTGACCGATCGTCCAAGTTGGCTTGTCCGAGTAACTCTCCTTTGTGCGGCGTGGAGCCTTGGTTTCGGGGAATGTGGCAACCTTCATTCACATAATGAGAGATGAAGAGCAGTGTCGCATGCAGTCAAGACCGAAATGTATATAGCAAATTACACTCGTAGCTACAAGTAACAATTGAGGAGCGTTTGTGTTCCCAGAATCAATGCCTGCGTTCATGTGTCTTAAATCCGGGGGAACGAGGTGATGGGGTTTAGACGAATCCCGAGGCCGGAAAGGAGTGGGTCGCGACCGAGCTCAGCGACTGGACTCCAGTCCATTCTCTGACAGCTTGATCTGGTCATCAATCACCCAGCATCCGTGGCTCTGCTCAATCTCATCACGACAGCACACATCGGCCTGCTGCCCATTCACGACTGGTACCAAGGTGCAAAGACGGTCTATTCGCGAACCTCGAGGTCGAGTCACCATGTCGAACGATTGGCAAAAGGAGGCTATGCGCCGCTTCCGCCAGATCCAGCAGCAGCGCGGCGGCGTTGGCGGTGGTCCTCAGATGCCCAAGGGCTCCGCGGGTGCTGCTGCTGGTGCTTTACTGCTCCTCGGTGGTGCCTGGGTTGTCTCCAACTCTCTCTTTAACGTTGATGGTGGCCATCGGGCGATCAAGTACACAAGGCTGGGTGGTGTCGGGAAGGAGATCTACAACGAAGGTGCGCAGATCGGAGGAGCCGGGCGGCTTTCACAGAGCGCACCATGCTGACGAGCGGTGGCAGGAACACACATCAACATTCCCTGGTTCGAAACCCCGATTACCTACGATGTACGAGCGAAGCCGCGCAACGTCGCCTCGTTGACGGGCACCAAGGATTTGCAGATGGTCAACATTACCTGCCGTGTTCTGTCGAGACCTCAAGTGGAGGCGCTGCCCCAGATCTACCGGACGCTCGGAACCGACTACGACGAGCGCGTCTTGCCCTCGATCGTCAACGAAGTCCTGAAGAGTGTTGTGGCACAGTTCAACGCCAGCCAGTTGATCACCCAGCGTGAAATGGTCGCCAAGCTGGTGCGCGACAACCTGTCTAGGCGCGCTGCGCGATTCAACATCACTCTGGATGATGTTTCCCTGACGGTACGTGCTTTTGTATGCAGCCAGAGACGACTGGACTAACCGAATGACATAGCACCTCGCTTTCTCACCCGAGTTCACTGCTGCCGTCGAGGCGAAGCAGGTTGCTCAGCAGGAAGCCCAGCGCGCTGCTTTCGTCGTCGACAAGGCTCGCCAGGAGAAGCAGGCCATGGTTGTCAGGGCGCAGGGTGAAGCACGCTCTGCCGAGCTGATTGGTGACGCCGTCAAGAAGAACAAGGCGTACGTGGAGCTCAAGAAGATTGAGAACGCGAGGATGATTGCGACGCAGCTGCAGGAGGCTGGATCGAAGAACAGGCTGATGCTGGACTCGGAAGGTCTCGGGTTGAACGTCTTTGACGACTCGAACAACAAGAAGTAAACGAGGGCGCACACGGGGTAATCGGGGCGAGGGAATCTCCACTGTACTATGTTTTCTCTAAGGAATTGCCTATGCGCAATGTAACAATATCAAACCTGGTTCTACACTGGTGGTTGTGAGCTGTAGTTCTGTTGCTATCTCGTATACAGGTCTACCGTATGTCTGCTATATGGACTAAGATGCCATAGGCGAAACCGTGACGGAGAGTATGTAAGTTAGAGAACATAATCGATGCCATAACATGGCAAACACAGAGCATCAATGTTTCTGAAAACTGGCTGTTTTCAATGTTCATCACCTCATCACGAGAGTTACCTGTTGGAGTGCATTGCGGCCTTCTGGGAGCCCCTCCAAGCGACCCTCACACCTCCAAACCCCACCATCCCACCTGTTGGTCATCATCGAGCTCTCGACCGCCGTCTGCTTCTGTTCTCCCCCAAATACAGAGGATTACCCTTGGCGACTACTATCAACACCACCGCAACAAGTCGCCCACCATGCAGATCAAGTAAGTTGGAGCATACAGTCCTCGGTCACACCACGGCGCAACTAACCAAGCGTGCAGGGTGCGAACATTGACCGGGAAGGAGATCGAGCTCGACATCGAGTCCGACTACAAGGTGCGTATGGCCGAAGACGAGAGTACTCGCGCGAACAATACCTAACCACGGCAACAGGTCTCGCAGATCAAGGAGAAGGTCGAGGAGAAGGAGGGCATCCCGCCAGTGCAGCAGCGCCTGATCCACGGCGGCAAGCAAATGTGCGCGTCGATACATTCAGCGGCAAAGGACACGGCTAACGGGTTTTGTCAGGACTGACGATAAATCGGCGGCGGACTACCAGCTCAATGCGGGCGACACACTGCATCTCGTCTTGGCCCTCCGAGGAGGGTGCTAGGTATTTCGAGAGGACGACATGATGCCGGCGTTGGGACCATGATAATGACCAAAATGAATGCCAATGGGCTACAACAACAACCACGATTCTACCATGACTAGGCTCTTCTTGACATGTAAGGCTGATATTATTTGTTGGTGACCCAAATGCTGCAATGCCCTTGTTGGTCTATGTTGCATAGTAATGAAAATTAACGCCCCAAAGCTCGAACAAATCCGCTACGCAAGCAATCCTCGCCATATGCCAACTGTTCTTACCTGACAACACAAATATCGGCAGTTTTCTGCCATGGAACAGATGCCGCCTGGATACTATCTCTTTCTTTGCATGAATATGCTATTCGGTGCTTTTCTCTTCATCGGTCTCGGTGGCATGACCTCGCCGGCAAGGTCTGCAGATCTTGAAGCCCCAGTTGTCGAACTCCCCTGGTTAAGCTGCGCCGGAATGCCTTCGGGCTCTGTCTGTCCTCTGCCATGTGGCCGCGCCTCACCCCTGCTGTTGTTATTCTGGCGTTGCGATGACCCGCTAGCTGGTGCAGAAACTCTTGAGCTGGATGGAGCCAAAGGTTTCGCCGTGGACCTTTGGGCCGTCTTTGTCGTCGCCCGGCCTTTCCGAGGCGAGTCGTCAAATAGATCTTCTTTGGTGTCGTCCTGGTCATCATCGTCCGAGTCAGGCAACAATGTGGCTCGCTCTTCGAACTCAGCAACAGCCGAGGACTTGACAGGCTTCTCAGCCGGTTTCCTCACCGGGTTGCTGCTGACCCTGCCGACACCGGGCAGCGCAGCTCTCCGACGTTCATCTATCAAGGCCTGCGGTGCCTTTGCCATCCTCATCAAAGGCCTCGGCGCGCCAATGTTCCTGGACAAGTTGCCGTGGATTCGCGCGACCTCCTTGACCTCCCTGCGGACCTTTTTCATCACACTTGCACCGGACATCGTACCAGTGCGGCTCCCACTGCCGAATCTCAGCGACGATCCGCTTCTGTCTTGTGTCCTTCTGCTCCTCGTGGGTTCCCCTATGGCGCCGCGCATAGACTTTTGGTCCACGATCCTGCTCGTCTTTTGCTCCTTGTTCTGTCTCAAGCCTGCGAGGGAACTGGCAAGCTGCCTTTCACTCTCCTCGCGTGCTTCGTCATGTTCCTTCTTGTATTTCTCGTAAACCTTGTGCCACTTGTCGGGGTTGGCCGGCTTGTAGGCTTTATTGCGAAATTCGAGTGGAAAGTGCTTCTCGATGAGCCGCAACCAGATCTCTCCCGTCAAGCCTTGGATCTGGGGGGAGTTGACCTCGATGCGCCGTAGCTGCGCGCCATTCTCGACCCGCATCAGAATGGTTCGGACATTCTCGTATGGAAGGTAGTCGCCGACGCCGTCGAGATGTCGAATATTCTTGATACAAGCCTGCGTGGCCAGATCGACGAGACACTTGACCGGCATGTTCAAGTAGCAGCTTGTTGATGCTGCGGGTTGACTGAGGTGCTCAGCGGGACGTGGATCGACCGTGTATTATCGCAGGCACAGAAGCGAGGGAGGCTGTGGCAGGCAATCCGAGGTTCATTGTCGTAAAAATGGCCAGTGCGCCACAAAATATATGCTGAATCTGACAGTATTTGGACAGTCTCACATAGTCAGATATAATGTCTTCGACCTAATCAATATCGCTCGCCCTGTGTGATGAGGAGGAGCAGGTGTCGAGCAATTGTGCATCTCGTCAAGGAGCAGCAGGGGTCACTAAAGATAGGTACCTACCCCACAACGGACGAAGCTTGAGCCTTAACGGAGTTGCTGTTGAGCTGATCTCCCAATCCGGTTTAGTGTACATCAAAAACTGCCTCTTGGGGCTAGCGAAACTCATATTAACCAATACGTGTCAAGCACGTACCCATTACCTTGGCCGTCATGATGCACGGTCGCGATTCTGAACAGTCGGAAACCTTCAACTCCCGCGATCATTGTTGAACCAAATCTCACAACCTCAGTCACCTACGTCCTCACGAATCAGCGGCCCTATAGCTCTCCTATGATAGCGCTTGCGCTCACTCGAGAATTGTTACACCTGCGCAAACCATCACCAACAGCGACGGCTCCGAGCGCCACGACACCTCGACCTTCTCTCCATCATGGCCGACACCACAGCGGCCATCAAGGCCGAAGCCACAGAAGATATGCCTGATCGCCTGGGCACCCCTGATGAGGAGGACTTGTACGAAGACGCCGGCGACCTTGAGTTCTTCGACGCCAACAGTGCTTCGCAACTGAACCAGATGTACCTTGCTCGGTTGCCAAAGTATGTTTGGGAGAAGTGGGAGAAGATGTTGGAGCGCCTTGGCGATGACGACGAGATTCAGATTGCTACCATGCGCCTTTGGTACGACAAGAATGATGCAAGCCAAGGAACGGTTCGTTGGCGCTTGGTCGAATTGACACGGTAGAAGGCTAACGACGCACACAGAAACCTGTCACACGCATGCTGCTGAACGATAGAATACCAGAGCATCAAGGCATCCCTCTCGAGTACAAAATGGACATCAAGAACAACGACAAAGAGCTCGAGAATCACTTCCTGTTTAGCGAAGAGGATCTACCAGGGTTCAAAGCGAAGAACAAGGCGCGCGCTGCGGCGCTGAAGAAAGGCATACCAGCTCACATTCTGAACAAGCCCAGAGACGGCGCTGTTGAGAAGCCAGCATTCGACCGCAGGAATAGGTATCAGCCGTTCTACCGCAAAGCCATCCCCAGTATGTGAGCCTCACGCATCACTATCGACTGTGCTGACACCATTGCTAGAAAAGACAAAGATTGCTGGAAAGTTCAAGTTCGACTGCCGCATCGAGCCGCTCAACAAGGCTGAGGAGAACAAGATGATTATGCGTCAACTGCACGAACTTGAGAAGCCTAAGAAAGGCATCAAAGTCATCAGTGGAAGCGAAGCCGCCACCTTTAGGACTGGCCCATCGGGTGGCAATATGTGGAACAATAACTTTGTCGTAAGTGTCCTGAGCTTGATATTGCAATTTTGAGAGGGCTCACAGTGTCTACAGAAGGGAGCTGTGCCGACGGTCAAGCAGAAGAAGGGCCCCACGATCAAGGCTGCTCGCCTTCCCAAGAACGAGCTTCTGGACTTGCTGTTCCAGAACTTCAACCAATACCAGTACCACTCGATGAAGTCTCTACGACAGAGAACGCAGCAGCCCGAAGCATGGCTCCGCGAGGTCTTGGAAGAAATTGCCGTGCTTATCAAAGCTGGCCCCTTTGCCAACAGGTATAAACTGATCGACAGCTATGCGGATCGTGGTACAACACAAGGCAACGTGGCGGAGGAAGCCAACGACGAAGACGAGGAAGAGGAAGAAGAAATGGAGGATGTGATACCCTCCTAGGTCGCCTGCTCTGGTGTGGGGTGTTGACGGTGAACTTTGACAACTGGCGTTCAGCGTTTTGCTTTTCTTTGACAAGGATCGGTTATTACTCTAGAGCTGTAGTTGATAACCGGATCTCTTAGCGAAGTATTGATTCTCAGGAGTCCTGTTGTGGCCACTGCATTGTAATTAAGCTCCTATGACGATGGCTTGGGTCTGTCGTCACCAACAAAGGACAGACTTGCCCCACCAATCGTAGACATCAAATTCCTGACTCCTGAAAGCCACCTCGATCTTCAAACCTCGACTTGTTGCTAGTACTACAAGTTAAATATCCGGCTGATTGTACGGGACCTCTCAAAATGCGACTCATCTTCGACTTTGATGGTACTATAACCCAGCAAGACACTATATCTGACCTTGCCGCTGCGGCAGTTGCTTTTCAACACACACAACGGGGTCAACACCTCCAAGCGACATGGGACCAAGTTGTGCGACACTATATGAGCGACTACCATCAGTACAAAGAGAATTATGAGCCCAAAGAAGAAGAACGGCGCGAAGTGGCCCAAGAGGTTGAATTTCTGAACGGTCTCCGGCCCATAGAACAAGCATCGCTGCAACGGGTACAGGCCTCTGGCGTGTTCGATGGGTTGGAACACATGGGTTTGTTCGAAATGGGCGTGAGCGCCGTGGAATCCAAGAAGATTGAGACTCGGGAGGGATTTAAAGCCGTCACGAAGATGGCCCAAGACAATGGATGGCCACTTGGGGTAATTTCCGTCAACTGGTCACGCTCATTCATCAGAGGCGTCCTGCATCAGTTCTCAATGCCCATCGTGGCCAATGAGATAGCAAGTGACGGCCGTGTTGAAGGACCAGAGTTCTTGGGTGAGCAGCTCACGAATTCGGCCGGCAAGTTGAGCGCACTGAAGCATGAATTTGGTGGAGATGACGAGTCGATCTTGTACTTTGGCGACTCATCGACAGACTTGGAATGTCTGCTCGCGCACAAGGGCATTGTCATAGCAGATGATGATACGGACTCTTCGCTCATACGCACACTGCAGCGGTTGAGCATCCCTGTCCCGCACGTCGAGGCATATGACAAGGCGGCGAATGCCAGCGTGCACTGGGCGAGGAATTTCCAGGAAGTCATCGCAAGTGGGCTTCTAGATCGATGAAGTCGAATAAAAACTTCTCTCTCTCATCATATTGAGCATCTAGTGGAAAAGGTTGCGGGCAGTTGTCAGGCAATTAAAGACCCTGTGTGTTTGCCCCCTACTGCATGTGGGCATCCGACAAACTCAGGCCTAACTCTCAAGCAAGCCTGAAGAACAAAGGCTTTGTAATTTTCCATGGCATTTTAATGAATCTTCTAAGATGTGGATTCCTCTATGAGGTTTGCCATGCGGTCTTTATAACTATTTCAAGCCTCCTATAAACTCGCCGACCTCCATGCTCTTCTTCAGCACAGTCTTCGGCAACCATTATGTGTACCTACGCTCGCTTCGTATTCACATGTTCACACTACATTCAGGGCAAGCGTGTCAGGTACTGCCCCCTAGGCGAGGCATATGTCAGTGGCATTCTGCCAACGGATTGTGGCCTTGAGCAGCCTCATGGCCTGCATTCTCGCAGGTTGCCGCGGAAGTGCGATGAATGCACAAAAACAGACGAGCATTTGCACGTTGCACGAAAAAAGTTGGAGAAATGCCGCGGGATCTTTCATGAGAGATGGCCAGAGTATGGGGACACAGAGGTCTGCAAAGAGTTCCGCTTGATATCTCGAGCGGTGGAACTGTACGACTTGGAGAACGATGAAGGCAGTGCTGTGTCCTCAGTCAGCAGAGACATACACCGACGAGAGGAAATTGAGATCTTGAGTAAGCAAGGTGTTCATGAGTCAAACAGCGGTTCGAGATGGTTAATGCCTGCAGATGCAGAGACAACCGAGTCACCACCACGAAACAGCTCTCGTACAGCCATCTCCAGTATCCCGTCATCCTCTGGGAGGGCTCAGTCTCACACGGATGCCACGTCAGACGCAGGCACCACTAACAGCGCCCCATCCACATCCACAAAAACACGAGAGGCCAGCATCAGGGTGAAGAAGCCACTCAAATCTCGGATCGCAGTGCCAGCAAAGACAAGTCCAAGACCTCTGCTCCTCAAAGCCCCTGCGAGATCAAAGCTGCCCCTGCCAGGCGGAGTGCTGAACTCGAGCACAGTCCCGAAGAAGCCTTCGTCGATCATGAACCTTCTCGAGTCACGACCCAGAGCGTCAGGCTGCTCTTCTGGATTCGGAAGTTGGAGATAAACAGACTTGCTCATGTATGTAGCTGGAATCAACGCAGGTTTATCACATTTGTCTGCAGCTATATTCTACAAATACATGTAAGCGAGCGTAGTTGATCAAACACGAGCACCCCGAATGTTGCGTCATGACGGGGGGGTCACGCCGAAACTCGTTCCTCGACGCTATGGGCGCTCATCCGACGTTCGATCCAAGTTGAACGCCGCGCTGAGCAGAGCAATGTGGCTGAACGCCTGGGGCGTGTTTCCAAGCTGCTCTCCACTCCTGGCAATCTCCTCAGAGAACATGCACAGATGGTTCGAAAACCCGAGCATGTTCTCGAACAGACTGACGGCACGAGCCTTGTACTTTGGCTCGTAGACACTGGCGCGGGTCATGGCCTCCACAAGCCAGAACGTACACATGCTGAAGGCACCTTCGCGCCCGCCCACGCCTGTCACAGTTAGTGGTTCAAGGGTTGAAATAAGGCTGTATTTTCTCTGGAGGAGTGGAAGATCGGACTTACCGTCCTGTGCGAGGTCGGTGTTATAGCGATAAACGAGACCGGTGCTGGTGAGTCCTCCCTTATCAGGGGGCAAGAGTATTCGATCCAGCGTCTTCAGGAAGCGGGGATCGCAAGGGCTGATGAAGAACACCAGCGGCGCAATCAAGATTGAGGAATCAAGAGTGGTGTTGCTTTCGTAGCTTTGGATGAATGAATTCATCTCCAAGTTGTACCCTGGCCCCGGGTCAGAATTACCGGCTATTATCGGCCGTGTAGCACCACGGAACAGAACATACCTTTATCCATGATTTCCTCGCACAGGTCATCTCGCGCCTTCAACCAAGCGTTTCTGTTCGGACAAGGGAAGCAGCGCTTATCCGCGAGGCGCAAGCCTCTATCAAAGGCCACCCATAGCATGATCTGCGAGTAGGTAAAGTGCTGCCTGTGGCCCCGGACTTCCCAAATCGACATGTCCGGTTCTACTGAGGTGAGCCAGGTTCGATGTATATGAGGCGCGTTGGGGTAGCTCACGTCCAAGTATAGTCAAAACATAGTCTGCGAGAAGAGAAAGACATGTCAGTGTGTGCTGGCGATTCGTGCTTGGTCGCCTTGGCTTACCTAGAATCTCCTGAACAGCTTTCCACGCAGTCCAAGGTGCCGGTTTGCCATATTTGTTGTGCAAGTAGATTGTGTCCATCAGCTCGCCATAGATATCATACTGTTGATGGAAAGCTGCCCCATTGCCGATGCGAACAGGACGGCTGCCTCGATATCCCTCGAGATGATCCAGCGTGATTTCCGGGATATCGGTTCCACCGTGAATGGTGAACATGATGGGCAAGCCACCGTCCGGAAGCCTAGACTGGGTAAACCTCTCCATGATGAATTCCATGAACGCGTCGGCCTCGGCTCGAAAACCCAGGCGCAGCAGGATGTAGATTGTGAAGCTCGAGTCCCTGATCCAGGTGTATCGATAATCCCAATTGCGCACGCCCCCGACATCCTCAGGGATAGAGAACGTCGGCGCGGCCACAATAGCCCCCGTCGGTTCTGTAGGTTGTCAAAACTGGCTATCGACTAGAGGGTGCCCCGCATACCATAGGTCATCATTTTGAGGATCATCAAACTCCTCGATACCACCTCCATCCATCTACCTCTGTACTGGGACTGCTTGATGAAGTTGGACCAAAAGTCTTGTGTGTCGTGCTGTTGAGCATCAACAGTCAAAGCTGTGATGTGCTTCGCAATGTGATTGTCCATGTCTTTGCGCAAAATGAAGGAAATGGCCTGACCCTCAACCACCTTGACACGTGCCACAAGACCCTCTCCTAGCATCCCAGGCTTGCGAACCTTTTTAAACGATATCATGGGGCAGCTCTTCACGTCTTCATCCTCTTCAACAGCAACATCGAGTTGGAACTGGACATCCTTGCTGTGGAAAGTGGCCACTTTACTCTCTTCCATATGTGATGTGTGACGTTCATGGAGGAGGGTTGTTATGTGAGGATCTTTTGCGTACCCAAAGGCTGGGAAGATCTCGACATCTGGTCAGGTTAGACAATGGCTGTTGACGTGTTCCGCGGCGGAACGGCTCACCCATGTCGAGTTCTCCACGAATGCATTCAACCCTTCTGACAAGCCACTTTTTCAATTCTTCCTGAACCGGTGCCGCCTCACGATAGGCACTTTGCTTGTACTCCCTGGTCATAACTTGGGCACTCTTTGGACGAGGGAAGAAATCCACAAGGTCCACCACGCCAACCTCGTGGATGTAACGAGTCTGCAAGATACATGATGAGGGCAGATAGTGCTGCTTCGTCGTACAGTTGAGGCCAGCTCGGGGAGCGATGCTGAAGTAACCGCCTTTGTCTTTATCCAGGAGGCGGCAGAAGACCGTAGGAGAGTCAAAGACAGGCCTGGTATTCTGTTCTCAGCACCCACTTGTGCATCGCCGGAGCAGCAATACTTACCAACACATGTAGTCGATGCTCCCATCCAAGCCTACCAAGGCACACGTGTGCATGTTGCCGATCATGCCATAGTCCTCGATAGGCAGATAGCCTCCGAGCTGGGCTCGACGGGAATGCGACGGTTGAGCCGCAGCGTCTTGAAAATCCATGGTGCTCACGTAGGCCTCAACGCTCGAGGCTTTGGGACCAAATAAGGATGGTGACTGAGAGAGTATATGCCAGGCTATCTAGTAGTGATCGCACAATAGCTCTGGTGAGATCACACTTGCACTCCCCGAGCCATAGGGAGCTGGCTTTAGGATAGAGTGAGCAAGGCAAAACGTCATCCACGGCACGCTCGGTACCGGTACTAGGTGGTTCGATCCCCATCTTTGGTTCAATTGGTCTGCACTCAGCCTTGCTATGGCTTGTAGTAAAAGGCTATCAGCCCTACTTCTATCACCACCTCACACGTCCTTGACTAGATCGATCTCGGAACCCAAGAATGATTAGTGTTACGGCTCGATTTGTTGTAAATGACCATGATTTCTTAATGGTGGATGAGTTAATTAATTACCCCGGATGCCATGGAACGCTAAAATCTGGGGTTTCAGCCGGGGTCGTGTGCCAGGGCCCAAGCCCCAGGCCCAAGGGGTCGAAATGCCGAGGATGATCGCGCTGATCATGTGCACAAGTTGTGCCCTACCTGACGAACGGATTGATTGATAAAAAACAAAGTCCATGGGTAAACGGTTCTACTTGTACGTAGTACGAGGCAGCACTGCGAAGTCTCAAGGTCAACATGCAATGCCGCAATGAACAGTCTGAAGCCAATACTATGCCCGATGCCCCAGCCTTTGCATACCTGCGTGTTAATCGATAGCTGCGACAGGACCTTCTTACTCCTCAGATGCAGTCAATAATCCCATGACCGCGACAATGACCCGGCCGTCTTGGCGTTGCTCATGTCGTGACTCGTGAGACCGGGGTGATCATGGGTTCCTCTTGATCTAGTCAATGAAGTCATGGGTTCTTCTTGATCTAGAAAGAAGGCGGGGGAGCTGCAATGAATGACCGACTGCTATTGCATTGCTAAGAAAGTGAGCGCTCCAGGGCTGACGACCGACTCAATGAACAAACGTAACTTGTATTGCGCTGCTATGGATGAGCTCATCGGCTGCACTGGAGCCGGATCTGCTTGTGTCAGGGTGCCGATGTCTCGGTGTTGGGCTGTGACATGATTCACGTCTGGCCAGCGAGCTAATTAATTACTCGGAAAGACAAAGCAATTCTCCAACTTATTACAGGTATTGCTGAATATTCCGAGGACTGATGCAGTGATGATGGCTTTTGGCTGGCTCGATGAGCATAGGAGACCCCCGCTGGAATCTGAAATCAGGGCAGCATCTCAATGCCGCTGGGCGGCTGGGTCCATGGTGGCTGGTGCATGCTTTAGGCGGGCAGTAGCTCGGAGGGGTTGGCGCCTGACCTTGACACTAGCTCAAAGGTAGAAAATCCATTGGGCGATTTTATCTCAATAAAAGAAGTGTGCGGTGGGCAAGGGGAAAAAATGCTTAGACCAGATGCACCAAGATATGGTGATGATCTCGAGGCGCACCTGTAGCATTATTATTAGTGCCATCATACCAGCCACAGGCTCTATGACAGCATGGTGGGCGTAGGTATTAGCGGCCTTCCACAGGCACAATAAAACCACGACTAGCTCATGGCCTCTAATTGCGGCTTTCGATGATGTCGATCGCTGACATACTAGACAAAGCGATAGAGCCGACCGCACCATTGTAATGTGAAATTAAAGACAACCGTGCTGGAGGACTGGTGACAAATGCCAAGGACCCTGAAAGACAAGCGCCACAGCCAGTCTCAGGGGTATGGAGTGAGCTGGCACGTCCGAGACAAGGTTTCCAAGGGTGTGCCTTTTTCTTGTGAACAGAACAAGCATGACCACCACCGCTAGACTCTAACGTTAGCTCGCTAATAATTGATTACTCGGTAGCTCTCAGAGCAGCCGCCATCTCACCGCTTCCTATAGGCCAGCGCATCACCGATCACAGCAGCGACAAGACAGCACCAAATAACTTGCACGTCCCACCGAGCGCGCGCAAAGCAACGACCGGAAGGGCGGTGGGCACCCTGTGGATCAGTCCGTCCCATTCCCAACGCCTGGTGCCCCAGTCCCTACTGGTACGGTCCTCACGTCCGCACCACCCATCATACCGTGACCCCGAACCTTTTGCTTGGCTGTCTCTAATTGCTGCGTACCTGACGTACCTTACTCTACCTTACCTGAGCTTGGACGAGTCGGGCTTGGTCCTGCCAGTCCAATTCAGTCCGGTCAGGTCAGGCACGCCCGGCTGCTCCTGCTCGTCATCCAGTCCTCCTTCCCCCTTGGTAATTAACTAAAGACTGGACACATAAAGATGCCCACCTCCACCTCCTCGTCCTCTGCTCCCTCATCTTCTCGCCCTTCTCGCCCTTCCCTGCTGCCAATTGCGACCTCCAAAGCTAGCGCTATACTCTCGGCTGATACTTCGTCGCCCGTCTCGACTGTCCCTACCGTCAGCTCCACCCCAACCGACATTGGCAAAGACATCGCAGCCGCTTCCTCATCCTGTGCCGGAGCTGGCTCGGCCCGCGACAATATCGAGATGGAGCCCATAGTCACGGGTCACAGACGCCGCAAGAGCAGTCTCATGGGTGGCACCGCCGGCCTCTCACCAGTGATAGCTGGCCGACCGCGATCCCAGAGTTTACGGACACCTCAGTTCCCCCGATCACCGGTCGCAAGCTCGAGTCTCGTCGAAGAGCCAAAGATAGCGGAAGAGGGCGACCTCGTGAACAGCCCGGCCCCGAGAAATTTCGCCAACGACTCGGACAGTTACAGCGATGACGTTCGCGACGATGAGGAAACAGGGTTGACCAGGCAGGAGAAGAGACGTCAGCAGAAGAAACGGAAGCGCAACACGCTGCTGGACCAGCGCATAGCCAAGGAAAAGGAGTCGTCAACGGCTCCGGAGGGAGCTGATCAGGGGATTGTCATGCGCATAGCCATCAATGTTGGCCTCATACTACTCTGGTACTTCTTTTCGTTGTGCATTTCCTTGGTAAGGCAGCAGCCCGGAAGGCCTCGTCGCAATCAGTCACTAACTGTCTGCAGTACAACAAGTGGATGTTCGACGAAGACAGACTCAATTTCGCATTTCCCCTATTCACAACGTCAATGCACATGGTGGTGCAGTTCTGCTTGGCCGGCGCCGTCTTGTACTTTGTGCCATCAACCCGACCGGGAAAGTCGCACTCATCGGACAGCGGGAGATCAAGGCACGAAGACGAACCGGCCAGCAATAGCGGCAATTCCATCATGAGCAAAATGTTCTACTTTACGAGGATCGGCCCATGCGGTGCCGCGACGGGACTGGACATTGGCTTGGGCAATACGTCGCTCAAGTTCATCAGCCTCACTTTCTACACCATGTGCAAGTCATCGTCGCTTGCCTTTGTCCTATGCTTTGCATTCCTCTTTCGCCTCGAGACACCCACATGGCGTCTAGTTGCCATCATCGCCGTCATGACCGTTGGGGTCGTACTCATGGTCTTTGGCGAGGTCCAGTTCCATGTCGGTGGCTTTGTACTGGTCATCTCAGCCGCCTTCTTCTCTGGCTTTCGATGGGGCCTCACCCAGATCTTGTTGCTCCGGCATCCAGCAACCTCGAATCCCTTCTCAAGCATCTTCTTGCTCACACCCGTCATGTTTCTCACATTACTCAGTCTGGCGATTCCGGTCGAAGGATTCACGCCTCTGTTTGGTGGCTTGGCGGAATTGAGCAAAGAATTCGGCGTCTTCCTGACGCCCTGTTTTCTATTGTTCCCCGGATGCATCGCGTTCCTCATGACGGCCGCTGAGTTCGCGCTTTTGCAGCGCACCTCTGTCGTCACGTTGTCCATTGCAGGCATCTTCAAAGAGGTTGTAACCATCATGGCCGCATCTGTTGTCTTCCACGAGAAGCTCACGGCGGTCAACTTTGTCGGTCTTGTTACCACCCTCATTGCCATCATGGCGTACAACTATATCAAGATTTCGAAAATGCGCGGAGAAGCCCGCACGGGGAAAGCCCCAGCCCGATATCAGCGCGCCTCGGCATCCGATCACTCCAGTGCAAGCGAATTCGAGGATGACGATACCCTTGAAGAGACGAGTGGTTTGCTGCGCCCCAACGGGGACATGGGCCACGACGCTCTCATTACAACTGACGGCGATATCCACCCTAATGTCCTGGGTATCTCCACACACGATGAGAGCAAGGAGTCTGCCATGAATCGCCATGACGACTGAGCGCACCGACAGTTTCCCAGCGTCTGTTTTGTCATATTTCCTATTTCATCTACAAGAGCCAGGGATTTATTCGGCTGCACATATTGTCATAATTGGGACTACATCACTGGGCCATATGCGGGCCAATGCAAGGGTTATTGCATTGGACGGACTATTTTTGGACATTCGCTTGTAGAATGCACAGCATCGGAGTACTTAGGGCATGGAGAAAGGATTGATTCTGCGAAGCTCAGCACAGGTCGCTGTTGGGCCGTCACGATACCCCAAAGAGTTTCATTCAGTAAAATTTGTTTTATATACTTCATCTCAGCCATCGGGCCCCAGATAGATAAGCAATGCTATTATGGATGAAGTCAACACCGCGCCGAACACCAGGCTAATGCGCACATTCACATGGATACCATTAGCCCAACAGCTTCAGCCCATTCTTCGTCTTCTGGCCGGGTTTCGTTATACCAGCACCCGCGTAAGATCCCATGTGTGCATCGTGACCGTGGTCGCTCCCATGCGTACCACCTCCACTGCCACTCTTCTTCTTGTTATTGTTGCGGTTGTTCTTGCCGCGGCCTCGATCTCTCTCCTTGACGTTGGCAACCTTGATTTCCGTATTGGCCTTTTTGATGGTGACAGGGTGACTCTGAATGTACTTTCCATTCATCTCCTTGGCAGCCGCGAAGAAATCGTCCGCGTTGCTGAAGCTGACAAAGCCATAACCCTTGGACTTGGTTGTCCTCTTATCGCGGATGACTCTTGCCTTCTGCACCGACTCCCAGCGCGAGAATGCCTTAAGCAGCGAGTCATCCGTCGTCTCGCCCGCGAGATTGCCCACAAACAGGCGCATGTGCGAAGGGTCCCACTCCAGCAGGGTATCGTCTGTCCACTTCTTGCCTCCGCCCTCGCGCGCGACCGTCTTCTTCCTTTCGGGGTTGGCGGGCGCGGCGTACTCGGGTTTCTGGCCGGGCGCGGGCGCCTGGGCGCCTTCCTTGGTGACGTAGGCGCTTTGCCATTGGGCGATTTGCGCGGCCATTTCAGGGTCGAAATCGCCGCCAGGCGCGGCAGACTGGCCGCCTATGGGGAACGGATTCTTAATCTGCGGGGCCGCATAGGAGGAGGCTGCGGTGCCATAGTCGTGGGATGAGTAGCTCGCGGGTGGTTGATTGTACGAGTACGTCGAAGTAGAAGCAGGAGCAGCGCTGCTCACGCCGGGATATGAAGGGCCATAGTGGCCACCGGCAGCAGGTGGCGCGGGCGGCGCGTAGGAAGACGACGAGGCCGGGGCGGCATAGCTCTGAGGCTGGGAGTTGTAGGACTGTGGTTGTGCGCCGTATGTTTGTGGTTGGGAGGAAAAGGCAGGCTTGAAGCCGCCCTTGTTGAAGCCTCCGCTGGATGACGAGTTCGAGGGTGGAGGTCGCGCGGGAAGGTTGGCGGTGCCTGGAGGTGGAGGGTACGCCATGATGAACAAGGCTCTTCTTGGATGGACAAGCGTGGTGGCTTGGGGACGTACCTTGAGCCCGGGGAAGAGAAATCTGCTCAAGTGACAGCGCACAGGCGAGTATTGTCCGACGCGCTTCAAAGTGGTGAAGGAATGCGCGCTGAGAGTGATGCTAGTGGTGATGGCAAGATAAGGCTGAGTTGGACTTTTCGCCCGTGGCAAGTCAACACATGGAAGTCGATCGACTTTCGAATCTCTGTCACGTGATCATCTTACTGGCGAGGTGATGTAAGAACCTTCGCGCAACATTGGGTGCATGGCATGCATTGGACTTGCCTAGCATTTTGATTTGATTGAAAGATATTCGGCCCAAATATTGTCTAGATCCTTTTCTGAACCAACTACGGATAATTAACGAGGCATGGCGTGAAGTTGCAAACTGCAGCCTTATTGAACTTTAGTCTAGGGTGCGCGGCGGAGACTCCGCCTTCAGAAACTAAGCGCTGCAACCTTGACCGCGGAAATGGGTTGGCAGCGCCTGTTCGATCCAACGGAAATGCAAAAATGCAATAGCAAACAACGGCCGTTGTACGGCTGTCGGGGTACTGACCGCGCGGGATGACCCCTCGGTGGGTTGGCCGGCGCGGTTTGCGACATCATTACCCGGATTCAAGTCCGACACGATTGACCCCAAAATCGCCACGGTGAAGCACTTCGGATGCGGATTCATCATGCGTTGCAGGCCGCAGATGCAGGACCCCTGTCGCTAATGCTAATGGCATTAGACCGGATGCTGACTGAGACTCCTGACCACGATGCGCCGGTTGGTTTGTCCCATGTGCTTGCTTGCATATTATACGGGCTTTGTTAGAGCAGCCGTATGAGGCTGCGACGTAGGTCGTCAGATGCGCAATTCTGGACAACCCGGTACTCCGTGCTGTCCAGTCCTCTCCTTGCTACTCCGTACTGAGGTAATTACCTTGGACGTGGGGGTGACCTCATGCTGTGTGAACTTGTTCTTAGGCTGGCCGCTGGCGGGAATCACAACAAATGCCTCGAATCGCTATAAACTGCGCAGTGATGATTGCGTGAAAAGTGAAAGAGCCACAATCTCCACCAGTCAACGTTGGCAGCCGACCACCCAATTCCTGGGCAGCATCCCGATGGTCCCGACTGAAGGCAATTTAGGTCGAATGGCCCGTCATGAGCTAATAAAACGTGGATATGATGAACTGACCTGCGACACTGTTCAGGGAAGCGTCAGAAGCATCAATTCATTACTCAACGCTGGCATGCCGTCGCTGGCTGGACCCAGAGGTCAAGCTGAGGCAGCGGTTCTCCTTATTACTTACGGTGCAACATACTTGTGTTAGTGTTGGTCTACTGGTGTCTGACCAGATTCATGTTGTTGAGCTTTCCACGTCCGTGCTCGAGCCAGGTATGACATAGCACTGTACAGTAGGCTTTGTAAGACGTGCAAGTACGTAGTAGTGCGGACTGGATTTGATGGGCGTCGATCGCGTGGCAGCCGTCCGTGCGAAGCTATCTTTTTTGAGCGCGACCAGAAATATTCCTGCCCCTCTTCGACAGGGCAAGTGAGGAAGCGTTTCACCAGGCAATGACTGAACAAGCAATTCCTCGCAAGGTACTGCTCGCCAGAGCCCAGTCAAGCGTAGAGATGAGGGCATTTGCAATCCAAGACTGGCCAAGATGACGATGAGGCCGCGGGGCAGCCGTTTTTTCGAGCTACAACCCCTCCAATCAATGCCAGAACTACGGTGATACCCGCTTTTCTTGGCGTGTCTCGACAGCGATTGCGGCTGTTTGGGGGTCGTGTCGAGAGCATATTGGCATGATGGTTGCTACGGTAGGCGCAGAGCGCGGACGCAGTGGATGTCTGGAGGAGTGAGAAGCCACTTTTGTACGCGATGGTCCCCTCTTCGGCTCCTTCCCCCCCTAGCCGTCTTTATTAAGTAACCTTCCATCCATTTCCTTCTTCCACTCCTCCCGACCTCATCTCCAAACTCTCCTCCTCTTCCATCATCTGCCGTTGCTTCAGCTCACACTGCTGGACATTGTACTTTTGCAACTCAACTCTTCCTCCATCACAACGCCATCATGTCCGGTCCTGTGTAAGTTCACGTCCCTGCCCCTCCATCTGATCAAGTTACCCCACCACCCCGCCCAAACTCTGCTGCCTCATAGCTCTACGCATCGATGACCTCAATTCCCGCAGTGGTGAGGCTGCCATCGCGAGCTTCGCCTGGTGTTGAGCTGTTGTGCGGCGGGCCGTCCGTCCTCCCACTCATCCCTCTATCCAGCTTGGATACGCAAGTGGCTCATGGTCTCCATACAGCGCTCGCCTCGCAAACATTGTGCTGGGCGGCGCAAAGAACGCTTCATCATCCACAAGTTCGAATCAAGTTGCTGACAATGTCCCCAGTGCTGATCTGGGCCTCATTGGCCTGGCCGTCATGTAAGTCCAGATACCCAACAAGGATATCGTGTTGCCTTCTGACGAACCGCAAACAGGGGCCAGAACCTCATCATGAACATGGCCGACCACGGCTTCACGGTTTGCGCCTTCAACCGAACCGTCTCCAAGGTCGACCGCTTCCTGGAGAACGAGGCCAAGGGCAAGTCCATTGTCGGTGCTCACACCGTCGAGGAGTTTGTCAGCAAGCTCAAGACCCCCCGCCGTGTCATGCTCCTCGTCCAGGCTGGCCAGGCCGTCGACGACTGGATCGAGAAGCTCCTGCCCCTCCTCGAGGCCGGCGATATCATCATTGACGGTGGCAACTCTCACTTCCCCGACTCCAACCGCCGCACTCAGTACCTGAACCAAAAGAAGATCCGCTTCGTCGGCTCCGGTGTCTCTGGTGGTGAGGAGGGTGCCCGCTACGGTCCCTCCATCATGCCCGGTGGCAACGAGGAGGCCTGGCCGCACATCAAGGACATCTTCCAGAGCATCTCTGCCAAGAGCGACGGTGAGGCTTGCTGTGAGTGGGTTGGCGACGAGGGTGCTGGTCACTACGTGAAGATGGTCCACAACGGTATCGAGTACGGCGACATGCAGCTCATCTGCGAGGTATGTATCTCGGATTCGGTCTAGACGGTCCCGGGCTAACATCTCTTCCCAGGCCTACGACATCATGAAGCGTGGTCTCGGCATGTCCGGCAAGGAGATTGGTGATGTTTTCGCCAAGTGGAACAAGGGCGTCCTTGACTCGTTCCTGATCGAGATCACCCGCGACATCATGTACTTCAACGACGACGATGGCACCCCTCTCGTTGAGAAGATTCTCGACCAGGCTGGTCAGAAGGGCACCGGCAAGTGGACTGCCGTCAACGCTCTCGACCTGGGCATGCCCGTCACCCTCATTGCCGAGGCCGTTCTGTCCCGCTGCTTGTCTGCCATCAAGCCCGAGCGCGTGGAAGCCTCCAAGGTTCTTGAGTTCAAGAGCCGCGAGACCAAGTTTGACGGCGACAAGGCCCAGTTCCTCGACGACCTCGAGCAGGCCCTCTACGCCTCCAAGATCATCTCGTATGCGCAGGGTTTCATGCTCATGCAGGAGGCTGCCAAGGAGTACGGCTGGAAGCTCAACAAGCCCTCCATCGCCCTTATGTGGCGTGGTGGCTGCATCATCCGCTCCGTTTTCCTCAAGGACATCACCTCTGCTTACCGCAAGCAGCCTGACCTGAAGAACCTTCTGTTCGACGACTTCTTCAACAAGGCCATCCACGATGCCCAGCCTGGCTGGCGTGCGGTTGTGGGCAAGACTGCTGCCCTCGGTATCCCGACCCCCGCCTTCTCCACTGCTCTGTCTTGGTTCGACGGTTACCGCACCGCCAACCTGCCCGCCAACCTGCTCCAGGCTCAGCGTGACTACTTCGGTGCCCACACTTTCCGCATCAAGCCCGAGAACGCCACCGAGCAGTACAAGGAGGGCACCGACATCCACGTCAACTGGACTGGCCGTGGCGGCAACGTCTCTGCCTCTACGTACCAAGCGTAAGAGAACAAAGGGGAGTGGGTGTGAAGTGCTTGCGAGCGGTGCTGCGCATCAGCTTGTGTGCTTTTGAATAATTTGCTCCATGCGAGGGCGGAGCGGACTGGATATCCATGTTGTCGAGTCGGGCAAGAGACCAAAAGATGGATTGCCACAGATAATATCTGAAGAATGACCAGCAAAAAATAGACATGTTAATCGATCACTTGGTCGCAAGATGGAGACTGATGTTGAGTTGAAGTGTAGCGTCCCAACGTTTCGAAGGCATCTCGATATTAGGGCAAACCCGTTTGTTACATGTGTATTTTCCAATCTTCAATGGGTACAATTATATAAGTAAGCATGCAGTGAAACTGATATTGGGATATTGGATTGCACAAACGTGTGAATATTGGGCCCACCTAGTTCATTCATTCTAGATCTAACTCATTGGTGAGGCAAAGTATTCTTCTTGAATACCTGGTAATAAGTTAGTACGTGGTACAGGTCACTGAAGGTGAAGCTCAGAGGCGCGTGTGATTGGTCAGCCCCCAAAGCCTCGTCGCGAACGATTTTTGGGCGAGGAACGGCCTGGCGCGCATCGCAACCAGCAACCCGCCCCGACCACATCGCCTCAGCCACTCGCGTCTGACATCCATCGCGCAGTCAATTGCAGCATCACCGCTCAAACAGAGATCCACGTTTTGTCGCAGTGCTGCACTACTTGGCGTTGGAAGTGTTACGCGGGCAGGCGGTCCTATCCATACAAGCCACATCTCACGGTCGCGATCGCAAGCTCCCTGCGCGCCCGTATCCAGCATGAGCCAACCCGATCCCAGCTTCAGCGTTCCGCAGGAACTTGTTCGTCCTTCTCAGTCTGTTCTCTAAGCATCGCATTGCTAACGTGTTCCTAGATTGGTCATGTTCACCTCGTCTCGTCACACCGGTTCCCGCGCGTCGCCAATGTCAATGTCAATGAGGTCGCCAACTGGCTGATGAATGCGCCCAGCATCGCTCGCGACAAGGCCTCCTTCTGCTGGCAGTTCCTGGAACGTCCGGCTGATGGCACGATCATCATGACATGGCAACCGCTGCAGAGGCTCAACACGGCGTTTGCATCGGATGGCTACGTCTGGGCACCCCCCGAGACCCTCTACAAACACGACCTGGGCAACGGACTGGTATGGCGGCTCCGGATACGGGTGCGTAAACTTTGCTAATTGTGAACAGATTCTCGAGATCTACTATCTAAAGTCAGGTTTTATTCCTCAGCAGGAGCAGTATGCCACGCACGCACGACGTCGATTCCGCCTCGTCCCAGCGCAAGGCCACCCCAACGCGCCGCAGCCAGACCCGAACCTGTTCATAATTCACTGGGGTCCCGCGGAACCCGCCGATCAGATGCCCGCGAATATGATTCCCGTCGATCAGCGCATCCACGCGACCATGCAGGCGCGTCAGCATCTCCTTCGACAAGGGCAGATCCGTCGCAAGGACTTCATGCTGTCGGATCGGGCCAATTGGCCAACTCTGCCGGAGCTCACCGGACGACCCATGGAGCAGCAGATGGCACCTCGAGGTGTCCCGCAACACATGGCCTACCCTCCCCAGGGCATGGCTGGTCCGCCGGCAAAGCGAGCGAGGCACGCGTCCAACCCTAGCCAGCAGGGACCTGCTCCGGGTATGCCCGGCCAGAACGTGCCAGGACCTATGGACATGGCGGCCTTTGATGATGACGAGGACACCTCCAGAGGTGACATGTTTGATCACATGACACCCCGTGAGATTTCGTACGCCCGCTACCAGCAGAATCACGAGTGGATGGAGGAGATCCTGTCTTCGCCCTACAGGATGTACCAGATTACGCCTTCGGATCTTGGACTAGGTCTCAAGGGTAGTCTGGCTTCCCTCACCGAAGGCATTTTCGCGGCCCAGGGTGCTGAGGCCTACCAGCAGACTGTTGAGGCAGACAAGGCCTATGTTGGCCGCCTGGACCCCGAAAAGGCTACCGAGTTCCGCAAACGGGTGGATGAGCACATTGCCAAAGAGAAGGCGGAGATGGAGGAAATGAAGAAGACGCATGAGGCAGACCTCGCAGCCATGAAGGGCAAGTCAATCATGAGTGTTCGGGAGAAGGAGCTGAGGTATCTCCAGGATGCCGGGTCAGAGCTCTGGATGCCCCATGAGAACGGCGAAATCAAGAACGAGGAGTTGAAGAAGACGGTGGATGAGATCATGAAGGAGATTGAGGACTCGACAGGACGCAAGATTGAGAGCCAGCCGACCGTCAAATGCGTTCAAAAGGGTGGCTATCAAGCCCCAGTGGCACCCGAACCGGCGCCTGTTGCAGCGGCGCCCTCCAACCAGATGTCACGGCAAGCATCCAATGCTGGCTCCCAAAACAGTGCTCTCATGATGGGCGAGTCGGACATTGACATGGGCAACACAGCAGCAGGCCTCCTCGATCAGATGGGCACGGGGATGTCATCACATTCCACGCCGGGAAATTTCCCGACTCCCCAGGCTCATCTGGCGGGTGCCCAGTCGAGTGCAGCCACGCCCCAAAACGTCAATGTCGGGTCTCCAGCTGTTCCGCAGCAGCAGCAGCAGTCTATGCAGCACCAGCCGCACCAGCCGCAACAGCAGCAGCAAAGCGGTGACGTGAGCATGGGCGGTACAGAGGCTCAGAAAGTGACACCCGGCCAGAACACGACAGGAGGTGACTGGGTGGTGGTTCCTAAAGACAACACGGCCACCTCAAATGCGCCCTCAGCTGCTAACGGCGGCGCTGAGCCAAAACCCCCAGTGCCAAAGGTCCCGTCGGCAGCAGGTACACCTGGGCTCACCGACACTGGCTTCGATCAGAGCGACTTTGGGTCATTGGGTGATCTTGATTCGGCTGGCGATGCACTGGCAAGCTTTGACACCGGTGACCTTGACGGGGGAGCAGGCTCCATGGGCGATGGACTCGATCTCAGCATGGACATGGAAGACTCCGCCTTTGGTGATGCTTTCCATGGAGTGGGTGGCTCGGCAGGGCAGACACCTAGTGGCCAGGATGGCATGTAAGGAAGCACCTGGTGCTTATCGTCGAGACGACAAAAGTCGGGGTAGACCTTACAAGAGGGGATTCAGGCGTCCGGTCTGTTGGATTTACTTTACGCGCAGGTAGAATGCATCTGTTGTTCACTGTACTGCCAAGGCGGTGTGTGCATGTTCCAGCTTGTCACTGCTCGATTTGTAGGAAAGTCACCTATGTAAACGATCACGCCGGACGACTCTGAATTGGTGAACAGGTGACGTTGTTAGCGACGCGCATACACCTCGTTGGAGCCCGATAGGGGACCCCGTATTAGCTAAGGATCCTCCTACACAACATACAGGTTGGTACTAGTTCATGCGTAGCGAATATTAATGATCAGAGCTCTTGTTCTTATGTTGACTCCTTGTGTTCGCGTGAGCTTTAGTAGTGTGTTGTAGTGTTTAACTCTTCCTGTGGTCCTGGATCCAAGATGATGCGAAAGGTTATTGTCTTCGGGCTCTTTGTGCGTATTGTCTCTCTATTTGTTTGACAATGAACCTAGATTGTTCGACGCTCCGAACTATTCAGCCTCGCTTGTGTTCGAATAACGAACGTCCAAGCTCGAAGATCCTTTGTGTGTGAACAAGGCAGAACAACGCCGCGAAAGGACATGAGTAGTTCATGTGCGAGCCCACACTTCACTAAAGATGCGTATATAAGTAGATAATCGGCTGTCAGTAAATTTCTTTTTGCATAACCATCCACTTCAGCCTTCCAACAAACTCAAGACATCCCCTACAGTCTCACAACACAAAAGTAACCTACCACCTCACCAAACACACACACACACACACATACGTACAAGATGCCTCACACTGTCGAAGTCGATGCCGCAACCCTGAACATTAAGGACGCCTGGGCCGTCAAAGAGCTTTGCGAGGCTGCTGATGGCTACAATGTCGCCTCGATGGGCATGGAGGATTGGATCATGACTCTTGACTATGAGCTTGGTATCAACAATGCGGCCTATCACTTTGGCCGGCTCGTGCTTGCGATCGAGAACGCGGGCTTCATGGCCACTTATGATCATAACATGAGCAATGCGATTGCAGACTACCAGACCCTTGATTTGCTGGTTACCAAATAGGGGCTGTCAGTCTGAGGCAAAGTTACAAAAGGTAGGTAAGTGAGTGAGGTTCAAGGGCACATGGAATTTGGGTTCATTTTGCTTTAGCTGCGGGCAAAGGGGAAAAGGTCGATAGGAATGGAAAACAGGGGTGAAAATGCTTCCTTTTATCTTGTGCATGTTGTTTGTTCCGAGTAGCGAATCTCTCAGGGATTCTGTTTTACACCACAACGGACCTATTCTGCATACTTCGCTGTCGTGCCTGCAGAATCTGTTCCTGCCTCACTGTAGATGCCCTTGTTTGCGTACGCTGCAGTGTACCACCCCATTTATCGTGACTACCGTTCATCGACATAGCCGGGGGCCTCTCACTCTGGGGCCGCGCTCTCGTGGATCTGCTCTCCTCGCGGCGCGATGATAGCCAGAAAATGTCATGTATGAAGCTGTGCTCCAGTTCTCGGGGGTTCCCATCAGCGGTCCAGAAACGCTCCTCACTCAGCTCTTGCGAAAGATGCCGCCTGAAGTAACGGTCCTGGGTGACCCACCATAGGCGCCACACGAGGATGATGAACAGTGTCAGGGGGATGGAGATGATCCAATACACCCAAAAGTTGCGACTGAGGATGTTTTCGGATTCGTCGCCGCCACCTACCGTTTTCTTGCCGCCTCCACTACCCCCGTCTTCCTCGTCTTTGCTTGGTGCGAGCCAGTCAAACATGGACATGCCGAATAGTGTGCCAATGAACTCTCCCGGGAGGAATATGGCCGTGATGACGGCAAGGGCCTTCATGGAAGCACTGTCACGACTAGACGCCACAGCCATGCGGGCGTTGAGAGCGTTGTCCTCTTGTGCCATTCGACTGTAGATCTGTTGAATGGATTAGCCTTCAGTCAGACAGACCATGGGGAGGAAGGACCAACAATATCGATCTGCGCTCGACACCGAGAATCAGCCATGCGCCGTTCCGTCTCCAGACTCATTGTTAGGCGTAAGAGACCCTCGAGGTATTGCCGAATCTCGTGCCAATGTAGGCCAAGCTCGTCGGCCATTCCAAGTGCAGACCTTGCTCTTGGCCGTCTCCCGCCTTCTGGGACCGACAGAAAGGGCAAAGGGGATGGGTCCCTTTCATAGGAGCCGAACTGATCTCCTCCCATGTTTAAGTCACGCGTCGGTGGCGGAGCCGTGGAACCCTCCATCCGTTCGGCCAGCTCGTCCCCAGAGATGATCAGCAACTTCACCGCTCGTTCCATCCAACGTATAGTATCCAGAAGCTTGATTGTGTCTCGCAGGACCTCGTGCGCCCGCTTCATGAGGTTTGTCATGTTCATGGGACCCCATGCTTTCACGTCATCGCCGCCATTGCCTAGCCGACGTCTAATCTTTGGGTCGCTGGCGTCGAAGCCATCTGTGCTCAATGTACTGCTGACCTCTTGTTCCAGAGCAACGACATCAAGCGAGTTTTCCTGCACCGCTTCTTCGCAACGCATGAACTGTACCTGAAGGAGGATCACTGGCATGACGAGTGGATGGGCCCATTGATCGCGGCATGATTCCAGCCTGTGATCGTACTCGTCCATATCGTCAAGACGGTGCCGCCTTGGCTCCCAGGTTTGCCTGATTAAAATGGTGGCTGATCGCGTAAGAACGTTATATGTCATGGACAAAAAGTCGCACGGCGTCTTGGCCGACTCTGAGAATGACAAGATCAAGCCTGTAGTATGTGAGTCCTAAAGGAAAGCATCGGCAGTGAGCTGATGAAGACTCACTGAGCATGGTTCGGTCCCTCGACCAGAATCTAGACTCGGTTGCCACGCGAGTAGAGTACTGCAGCGTTGCGGGATGCAGATCAAGGTCAGCCAAGTCAGTCTCGGAGAGACTGAGCATATCTGGGGCACCTTCTATAGGTGAAGTTCTCCGGAAACATATTCTGGGGACAATACATCAGACCTTGATCGCTCAATGCTCGATAAAAAACTCACACTCTACGGACTCGGCCATGTAAGTCTTCCATGCCTTCCTCATGCGGCTCAGGAATACGAAACTCGCCCTGCAAAGCGTCAGCCGGACTCTTTGGCACATTGGAGAGCCTAACATACATTTCTGTCCACCATAAACCCATTTCTGAAAGCCAGGTCGAGCATATGCGCTCCTGATGAATCATTGTGGCTGAAACGATGTGTGATATGTGCATCGCTGTGACTTTCCTTTGTAGGCTCTCCGTCCGGCGTAGGTGTGGCAGGCCGCCTGCTATACACCACATACTCGTCGTACTCGACTCTTGTGTATGCATCATCGCCTCTCAGTAGCACTTGCGCAGAGGTGGCTTGTTGGTCGTAGGTGAACAGGTCCGAACCGTGGTGAACGAACAGTGTCATCTTGGCCGGGTAGTGGGGGCCGGAGTAGAACACGCCTTAACATTTGTGTTCAGACGGTCGGAAGGGGTCTGACAAGATCAACGAATACGCATGCCTGCGACACGGTAGTCCAGGGGCGCGGACTGTGGACATATATACAGACACAGATCTACGATGGGAATTCGGCAGAGTAGAAGAGTCGGAGTCAACGCTCGTTCACGGGATGTAATTTCAGCCTCACTCCCACATTGACCACCACGGACAGGGATGCATGTTGCTGTGGAGCACCGTGTGTGGGCGGCTTTGCTGTGATCCTTGTTGCTGCGGCGCATTGCATGTCGCCCAGAGTTGCTCAGCCTGTTCACGTGATGAAAGCAGGCGATTGAGGCAGGGGGATGCCGTGAGACGCGTGCGGCGCAGCAGAATGGAGCTTTGATGTTCGACCGCCTGTCATAGTGAGGAAGGTTGGGTGTTCGGGAGATGGATGATGTGAGTAGAATAAACCTACCTGGTAGACAAGGAGTGCGTGATAGATCGGGTTGTTGGATTAAGCTTATCGCTATCAGGGGCCTTATCAAGCATCAGATAACCAGCCCCTGATTGTTTACTTTCTTCCCCCCCTCCTCGACTACGGCGAAGAGTTTGTCCTTGTCAGGGGCATATCATATTGAGTCTATTGACATAACGAAGCATGGAAACACAAGCTCAGAGCGCTTGGCTCCAAGGCAGTGCTGTTATTGAAGTCGAGGACATGTCTTATTCAGCACATCAATATCATAGACTACCGAGGACTCAAGCTCCAAACGACCAACTCTTTAAGGTATATACCTTCATCAATCATGCTGCCTAAATACACGCTGTGTTGATCCATCAAACCACCGCTAAATGTGCATGTCTTCAACTGTGACCCGGTCTCCCACCTGTATGGTCGGCCACTGCTCCTCTGCGGTTCTCCTGATGGTACTCGGCTCGTGCCGCATGTGGCATCCAAAGTACACTTTCCCGTCAAATCTCCTCGTTTTGGCCAAGGTAGAGTACGGCTCCTGTCGTTTCTCCCCGGTCTGCTGGTCCACACATACCATCTGGCAACGTCGGCACGCACCGAGCAACTTGAAATCCTGAGAACCTATCCGAATAGACCGCCATGTGTCTTCAGCAAACGGGTGCTCCTCGTCATCTTGTCCGCTTGGTCCAAAGACAATGTTGGCACGGAACGACGCTTCATCAACTCTGCCACTGCCCCTTGCCTCAATCCCCTTATTGAGTGCGGCAACACTCGCACTCTGAATCATCAAAATAGGACTTTCGTTTGACAGAAGTATCTTTCCGTGGTGCTGTACCTCGCTATCCGAATCAGGAGGAGATGGTATATCAGGAAATGAACCGGGTAGTCTCTGATGGGTATTCGCCTGCTGGTACTGTTGGATCCTGGCCTTCGAAGACCGACTACCTGAGCCTTTCCCGCCAGCAGGGAAGCGAGCCAAGGTACACGGTATGCCCAAAGCTTCGGAGAAGAAGCTGTTGATCCTCTGAGACTTGTAGTAATGAGTTGATATAGACTCGCCACAGACGCGAGACGAGATTTGCCGCGGGTTGTCCTCGAATAGATCCGGATTAAGTGACAAGGGCACTTCGGCCGAACCTAGTTGAGGGGTCCCTCTGCAGGAAATCCGCAGAGTACCTTGTTCAAAATCCAACTCAGGCTTCAACAGAGCCATCTGCGGGTAGCGCTTCTGGCTGAGAGCCTGGCCAGAGCCACGATGCACCAGACACCACTCTCTATCCCACGCCAAACCCTCTCGCTTCACCTCCCAGCGCACCCCGGGCGGGATTTCGAAAGGCCCACAGCTCTTTATAGGAAAGACGGAGAGGCTTTTTACCTGGAGACCACGTGATGAAGCATGCAAGGTCGTCCGGATCGTCGGGTTCGGGGGCTCATCCTCGATAAAGAAATCCTTCAGAAAGTCCAAGAAGCGAGTGACATCCGATGCAGTACTCATGGCCCCGAAGCTAACTCGAATAACGCCACTTGGTTTGCCGTCCGTGAGATCGCTGTCCGTGCCGCAACGAAGGCCCGCCGAGAAGTTGCGCTTCATCTCCCACGGCTGGAGACACAGGGCGGATGCAAGGCCACCAGGGCTACACATGCCTCCGGTTCGGACGTGCATCTGCTTCAAAGTCGCAATCTTGTCGAATTCGGCAAGACTTAGCCATGCCCCAGCGATATTCCTTAAGTTGAAAGACACAATCGGTCCAAAGTCCGCACCATTCCCTGCTTCGCCATACACCTTGCATAGAGGGTTTCCGTTTCCGTGCTCCAATGCATGGAGGCCATTGACGAGTTGTTTTCTTAGTCGACTCGTATGAGAGGACACTTGAGCCATGGACCCGTAGAGTACTTGGTGGGTGTCGATGGCTGCCTCCACTGAGATAATGTTGTGGAAAGGGAGTGTGCCATCTTCCAGACGTTCGTGGAGGAGATCCATTTTGGGCGCGTGCCATTGTTCCTTTCCAGTGATAACCATGTCCACGGTTCCCCCTCCAAAGTACTTTCTTCGAGAAAAGACGGATCCAGCCGCCAGGCGAACGATGAGAACACCCACGTCAGGAAACCCGAATAGTTTGTACAGACTTAAGACTGTGAAATCAGGGGCGCGGTCATGGTCACTGAGATCGAGTGGCGATGTTGCGGCCAGGGACGCCGCATCGAGGAGAGTATAAGTTCGAGACTGACTGGCAGGAGAGCAGTCTCTGATGTCTCTGGCCCATGTGAGAGGATATCGTTTCCCGTCAAAATGGGACTGAGCAGTGAACGCCACGAGTGTATCCGGAGTGTCCGCGCAATCATCAAATAACGACGCGCCCCCCTGAAGAAGCTGTTCAGCGTCTTCGTCATCAAAGCAGCGAGCATGTTGAGCTTCTTCGCGAACACCAACGAGGCTGGTATGACACGCCTGGTGATGGGCAAAGTTGAATCCACCGGGCAATGATCTCATGCCTTCCGACACAAGTTTGACGCCAGCTGTAGTGTTGGAGACGAAGACCAGATCGTATTCACTCGGATCAGCGTTGAATAAGGTAAGGAGCCGTGACCGCACATTTTCGATGCGGTCGGCTGAACGCTGCGATGGGCCAGAGGCAGAATGTGGATTTCCATAGAGGTTCAAGATCATGTCTTGCGCAAAGGTCTCCATGAAAGACTTTGCCGGCAGGGTAGTTCCCGCATGATCAAGGTATGTGGCATCTGGGGCGCTGTCAGTGAACAGGACCAGTACGTGCATGCATCACATACCCTGCAGCATGGGGTATTCGATCTTGCGCATGCGTTCAATACCCTCATCGTACTCGTCGGCCTGCCTCCAGGGGAAATCTACCTCCATCTTGCCGTTTTTTCTGACAGGTTGTTTGCTCAGCGCCCTTTAAGAACGGCGTCAAGTGTTTGGGTAGAGATGGACTTTGGTGATGAAACGACTGCTCATATGTCGTAGGATCGTCGTGCCTGTGAAGTACGAACCACAGGTACCTTTGATGTAACCTTCATCTCGGATATTGAGAGAGACAAAGCATATCGAAGCGAAGAGGACAGCGATGACTGGGCCATAGAGACGTGATGCAGGTGCTCATCCTCTCTTATCATAGGTGAGGTACTCGTGGTCTCGGTTTAGTCCGGCGAGACGGAGATCGCCACCTTCCATTCCCGCCCTAGGCAGTGGTCAGCCACTCTCATTGGCTGACGCGAGTAGTTCATGCACTGTGCACTAGCATCTCAAGGTGGCTGTCAGAGGTGAACAGAGTTAGATGAGTGGGGCCTATACAGTATTGATGATTGGGCGCGCGTCGCACCAATTGAGCTCCGCGCGCACTGTGCCAGAGGTGCAGGCCGGAGCTGACGACCCTACACGCATCCGCGCGACTTCGCATCGGCAGCAGCTCCGGCTCCAGTTCAGCTTCCTTCGCCCTCGCAACAACGCTGGCCGTTTTCTCGCAGCGCTTCAATTGATCAACGGCCCTGGTCTGCCCCGTTTGCTCGTTCGAGCTGCATCATCCTTCAGAATGTTCGTTCAACTATTTCTTCTCTACTGCTCATCGACACCTCTGCCCAACCTCCCCTAGCTCGCGGTTCTTCATTGCAGCTTCCTATGCTGCGGACCGTCGATCCCGATGCACCACGTCTCCGTCCCGTTTCTCACGATGTTGCCATTCAGATCTCTTTTCTTGTGGGATTGCCCGAGGGCGACTCCCAGTTACCTCTCACTCACTTCTGCTTCTTGATCTACTTTGCCTCGCGCAGCACAGCCACCAACTCTTTTGTCACCTTTGCTTAAACGTACCTCTGACAATCTTCAAGACGTCAAACCGCTCAGATCCACTGCATCAAGTGTCGGTTGTCGTTGTGCAGTTTTCGCTTGATGGATTGACCGTCCCTGTCTGCCAACATGGACTCGTACTCCTCGTATCGCGATTCGGCGCGCTCGCCTCGCCCGCGCGATGACTCCCGCGACAGAACTCGCGACGACAGAGGGGATTCTTACTATCGTGGGCGATCGCCAGGTTTGTCAGCCTCTTTCCGAATTCAAGGCTCGCTCCTAACCTATTCAAGGCCACGACCGCCGCGAGCGACGTCGTTCCAGATCACCCGTCCCGAACATTGACAGATACGAACCGCGCCCGAGGCGCGACGACCGTGATCGCGATGACCGCCGTCGTAGCCCGCCAGCGATCGACCGTTACGTTCCCGGGCAAGACAGCGGAGCACCCGCTGTGCTGCACAACCCGGTTGTCGATCCCTCAAAGCTCCCGTATCAGGTCGGATTCTCTTACTTCAGCGAATGGTGGAGAATGAATGAGAAAATCAAGGAAGATAAAGAACGAGCGCGGACTGGACGCCGTCGCGAGGCAGAACGGCCTCGCGGACCCAAGGAAGCCCAAGAGGAACGGGAAAGGGAGAAGGCCAAGATCCAGGCAGCGTACGATGCGTACAAGGAAGAATTGCAGGCCAAGATGGCTCGCACCTTTGTATCCGAGCACAAGGGTGAGCAGTGGTTCAAGGAGCGCTACGTCGCGGAAGTGAGGGATCCTTTCCGCGCGAGGCTCAACGAGATGCGCAAAGGCTCGTATGCGCAATGGGAACATGCTCTTGACGCTGGTGTGCTCGATGACCTCACCCTTGAGGGTCTGACGAAGAACGAGAATGGCGTAGCCGCGACAGACAAAGAAGAGGGTGAAACTCACGATGTCCTTGGAGTAGGCGACCTGGTCCCTACCACCAGCGCGGATGTGAGGGACGAGGCACAGCTACAACCTGCATTGCTCATCAAGACCATTGCTCCTCATGTGAGCCGGGCAAACCTGGAGTCTTTCTGCAAGGAACATCTTGGCGAAGAGGAAGGAGGTTTCAAATGGCTGTCATTGTCCGACCCCAACCCAAGCAAACGGTACCACCGCATCGGCTGGGTGATGCTGCACCCTGGCTCAGATGCGGAGATGTCAACCGATCGCGTCGACCCGAAGGACGAAGACAGAGATGGCGATGAGCCGATAAGATCGCCCCAGCCATCGCCCCAGCCTGTCAGCACAGCCGAGAAGGGTCTGCAGGCCATCAATGGCAAGACGGTCAAGGACGAGCAGCGAGGTGACTTTGTGTGTCACGTTGGGATCCACAACCCGCCGAGCAACCCGAGAAAGAAGGCTTTGTGGGACTTGTTCTCGGCGCCAGAACGGATCGACCGCGACCTCGAGTTGATCCGCCGGCTTGTGAACCACTTTGAGGATTCCTTTGGGACGGATTTCCAGGCCATCGTCAAGGTCGAGGAGCGTGTCGAGAACATGAGGAATGAGGGCCGCCTGCAGCCGCCCGCACTTCCGACGACCAAGAAGGCGGCCAAGCATGAACCCGAGAATGATGAAATGCTCGACGCCGAGGCAGGCGCCGTTGACGAAGAGGAGGAGGAAGAGGGCGCCATTGAGGACGAAGACGCCGTGGACGACGAGGAGCTTCTTGCCAAGAAGAAGCAGTTGGACATGCTGATCGAGTACCTTCGACGCGTCTTCAACTTCTGCTTCTTCTGCGTGTTCGAGAGCGATTCAGTCCATGAGCTGACCCGCAAGTGCCCAGCTGGCCATCTCCGTCGACCGCGCTCGACACTGTCCCCTACTGCTCGTGAGGTAGCCCGCGCCAGCGCTCTCGGAGAACCGTTCCCCGAGAAGAAGCGCGTCGACAAGGTCGAAGAGGGCGAGATTGACAGTCCAGAGGGAGAGCGAAAGCCCCGAGGCGCGACGAGTAAAGCTGAGCAGCAGCTGCTTCGAGCTTACAATTGGGTCAAGACTTTTGAAGACAAGGTGATGCAGATCATTGACCCCGCGTCAGCCGACCTCCGGAAGCTTGGTGGTCGGCCAACGGAAGAAGCCGTGGAGGAAGAGATGCTCAAGCACGTCAAGCAGGAGGATGAGCACAAGTTCAGGTGCAAAGTGCCTGAGTGCACCAAGTTGTTCAAGGAAGAGCACTTTTGGAAGAAGCACGTCGAGAAGCGACACTCTGTTTGGCTTGATGGCCTGAGAGAAGAGGTGTGTAGACAACGCGACATGGTCAAAGATGCAGATGCTAACGAGGTCCTGATAGTTTGACCAGGTTAACGCCTACGTGCTGGACCCTGCGCACATTGCCCCGTCGCGAACAGACGCCAACAGTAACGGCCACTTCCCGCAGCCGAATGGACAAGGCATGGCCGGCACACCGAGGGGTTTCAATCTCTCCAACTTCTCCATGAACGGTATGATGCCGAACCTTCCCCTACCTGGGGCCAACTTTGGTCAATTCCTCGCGGGGATGCAGCCTGGTGGCTTCAATGGCATGGGCGACGACCGATCAGGGGGCCCTATGCGTCGCGGGGGCATGCAGAGCAACCGCGGCCAATTCAGATCTGGACCTTACGATCGTCGTGGAGGGCGGTTTGACCCTGGACGTCGCCCCGGTGGCTCGCGCTGGGGGGACGGCGCTGGCGCTGCTGCCGGTGGCCCCCAGGAGGCTGTCCAAGGGCGCAGCCTGAAGAGCTACGAGGACTTGGACCACGTGGCAGGAGGTGGCAGCGGCGAGCTCAACTACTAGCTTGTGAGGCTGTATGTGTTGTAAAGGTGCTGCTGTCCCATTTAGAAAAAAAAGATATCAAGGAACGGAGACGCGGTGGCTTGCTTAATCTGCTTAAGGCGTTCAGGTGGGTTAATGGGGTGGCTGTACAGAATGGGAACGAATGACAGATTGGAACTCTAGTTAAGAAATTTGGTCACATAGCTACAATTATCAATCGCAGCTTAAGAACATGCCTGTTTCTGAGGTTCTCACGTGGTGGAACTGAACTGAAGCGTTCAGACATGTAAGTACCGTATTCACTCGGCAAAGTCGCTAGCGCTGGTGTCACTTAGCTAGGCAATATTCTTGCCAGGGGTGGTACCCCTGTCGAACAACAATCACAGCCTGTGAGCATTAATGTAAGGCCTGAGAGCTACATAGAACCATAGAAGGTCTGCACCTTCACAACAATGTGCTTTGTCGAGGACTCGAGCCTTAAGTAGCCGCTCATAGACAACCAATCAGAGCTCCCGATAAGGCGGCCCGCGTCCCCACACCCCGCTATCCATCCGGCCGCCTATCTGTGACATTTTTTCCTCTCCCACTGCCAGCCAGAATCTGAATCCCGATCGTCTTTGAAGATTTCTGCTATTGGCATTCAGCTATTGCTTCGTCTGTCCATTGCGCGAACAGCTGGCCGGAGAGGGCTCCAAACCGACAATATGGGCATGCTAGCAGAGACAAAGAGGTAAATTGACCGTCGGGATCGACCCAGACAGCCGCTGATTGCTCAACAGCCGGCGCAAGCTCAACCACGACCCCAACAACACAAAATGGTCGCGCGACACGACGACATTTGGCCAGAAGATCCTCCGCTCGCAAGGCTGGCAGCCGGGCGAGTACCTCGGCGTGCAGGATGCAGCACACTCCGAATTCCACACCGCCGCCAACGCCTCCTACATTCGCGTCTCGCTCAAAGATGACATGAAGGGTCTCGGGTTCGACAAGCGCAAGGAGGACGAAGTCACGGGATTGAACGAGTTCTCGGACCTACTGAGCCGCTTGAATGGCAAGAGCACCAAGAGCGTGGAGCAGGAAAAGGCCAAGAGGCTGGAGGTGAAGATGAACGCGTACGTGCAGCATCGGTACGGGGCTATGCGCTTCGTGAGGGGCGGGCTCTTGGTTGGAGACGAGCTGAAGAAGGACGATGAGAACGAAGCGACCTCCGAGACCGTGGATTCTGACGAAGGTTCGTCTGAAGCGGACGAGGTGCCCGAGCAGAAGAAGCAGGAAGAGGTGGCCCCATCGTCGAAGAAGCGCAAAGCAACGGATGACGACGAGGAGGACCCTTCGTCGTCGTCATCGTCATCGGAAGAAGAGGAGAGTCGAAAGAAGAGGCGCAAGAAGGAGAAGAAGGAGAAAGCCAAATCGAAGAAGGATAAGCACGAGAAGAGCAAGTCCAAAAAGTCATCTGCCTCGCCCACCGACACAGACGACGAAGACGAGGCAAAGAAGGCCAAGCGTGCCCGGAAGGAAGAGAAGCGCGCGAAGAAGGAGCTCAAACGGGCGAAGAAGGAGGAAAAGAAGTTGAAGAAGCAGAGGCGCAAGGAGGGGGCCGAAAGCGAAGCTTCCGAGTCTGTTGCTACGACAGCCACCGCTACTCCTGTGGTGTCTGGAGCGTCAACGCCACGGAGCAACAATCCTCACCACGTGCGGTCGCGGTTCCTGGCGGCGAAGAGAGAGGCGTTGATGGATCAAAAGGCGTTGGATAAGGTATGCTTATTTTTCACCCCCGCGTTCATATTGCGCGCCTTTACTGACTTGTGGCAGATCTGGATGGTCAAGACTTGATGTTACCTATATGTACGGCTGATTGGAAAGGCACGATAGAAACGGCACTGGATCCACTGGATACAATATTGTGGGTGTGCATTTACTCAAGGAGTTTGAAGCGTTCATCTGGGTTCCATCTACATAGATTGCATTTACATCTGTGTTGCTCACGTCTGTTTGATCCCGGCGAGTGCAGCCAATATCGCCGTGTTATCACAGCCCTTGGCTGTGGAGTTTAGGTATAGTAGTGCTTATATGCTCTAAGCATTGCCCGATATTGTCACCACTCCTGACATTGATATTTTCTACTAGGTAGTAGCCAAGACACCTGCACTAGCGACTTTGTCGAGTGAGTACGGTATTGTGGTCGTGGCTCGCTGGGATCTGCATTGAGCGCTTCATCGAGGCTCTCCCGTCGATGATTAGACAGCGCATAGAGATTTTTTTTCGATGATTGTAATATGAGAGCTGCTAACCAATGCTGGAATTACTTGTATTGTGAATACCTAGTGATCTTTATTAGTTGTGGCAAGCACATCAGTCAGAGAGTACAGATAATCCTGCGGCCAGTTCGGCTTCGGGGAGAGTGCGACTGCAACGTGTGAGCTGAAATTCGCACTCACCACCAATTTCCAGCCCTGTCCGAGCTAATAATGACGGCCCCAACCAAATCACGTCGGCCTAGGTATATATATAATGGTGCGTCCTCACTGCCACCTAAACGCCCGTCTCTTTTCATCATCCATATCCGCACTCTGCCTTTTGGCTACATCAAGTTCTCGTCTCCCCTAGGCGAACTTGATGACCTCCATCATGAATCTCCTCCCTTGAACAAGCGCGTAACAAGCGCCACTGCAGCACGCATTGGCCGCACATCGATCTCATCATCCGGCACACCTGCCATTCACACCTGCAACGATCTGCGACATTCCACTGACACGCAGCATCCTATGCGCAGGTGCATTCCGCTCTTGTTGTGATAGCCTTCCCAGGTAATGCTGGTCGAGGGCTATCGCGCGTTTTCGCCAGAGCGAGACCCCCGAACGACTCGCCCGATTGTCAACATGACACCAACACACTCCGACTCTTAACGCCTCGTCGCCCTTTCGATGTGGCCTGTGCTACATCCTGACGTATCGACGATGAGCGACCGACGCACTCGTGCCGACTGCGACGACTTGTCCTGGGCAGGACATTAAAAGGCCCAGTCGGTGTCGACGTGGTTTGGGTTCTCCCACCTCGACAACCAAGGCTGGCCAGCATCTGTAATCGGGACAGTGCTGGACCAAGGAGTCCTGGGCATGACTGTGAAAAGGCCCGGTAGCCGTGGGTGAGCAGACGTCGCTTCCCACGCAATCAGAGTGGCGAGACTGTAGTGTCAGCCACATCGGACGCCGTCGATTACGGACTGTACGACGTGCAAACTTCTTCGGGCCGTCAGAGACACGGGCTGAAATAGGTGCCTTTGATGACAGATGCATCATCAAAGGCAGATCTAAGTGAATTGATTGGTTTAGACAATTCACTGAATTCGCCTGGCAATAGGGAACTTCCCTTGTCCCCGAAAAGGACAGACATAGAGAAATGTCGTGCCTATGCCAGTACCGAACATTATTTCGTACTGGTGGTTAAAACTGTTGAGCATATTTAGTAGATGCTCCACGGTGGGTTCCCGTTTCCAGGTTATTGCGAGTGGCCCGAGTTGCCCGCCTTGGGTGAGGATCCCAGGAGGACTCTTTCTGAAGAGGATAAGCGTGATAGTGTGAGCAACTTCCATGCTCACTGCCCCGGAGCCAGCGTCTCGGACTAGGCCGAGGAGAGTCATTTGGTCGAGTAGGCACTCGACAGCTATGTGCCTGGGATGCGGCGGAAGGTATTCATCTTCCTGAAAGACTGCGGCTGTTCGCGCAGCGCGCAGGAGATGAACGCCACCTCAGGATAACGGGATGGTCACGCCTCCCGGCGAGCTTTGCGGAATCAAGTTTCGCAGTGTTCGGTCCTGTCACTGGGCAATAACATCACTGGAAACAGGCCCCATTTCCCGACAAGAGGAAATTGGATGTGGTATTTGATTTGGCTGGAGGGACGCTTGAACTCTTTATCATATGATAGTCAGATTCGTGAATACAAGTCCTGCCTTTCCTATCTTGGTTGTCGCCGCGTGATGTATGGGTGTGCGAACGACACTGACTGTGAAGCCCTGGTAGTCGTACTACCGCATATGAAAGTTGGATCAATGTACCGGTAGGTCAATTTTCGCAACGATCTTTCCACATGGCTCACAGTCACAACATGTTGGCTGCACATACCTCCGTAGAACAGGTAACAAATCATTCTTGGTTCCGGCATGAAAGCCTCGCTAGCTTGGTGCTTGCTATAATGCATACCCAAACGCCGTCATTCCATAATGTACATGATGCTTCCCTTCCATATTTCATGTCCTCTCACTCTTCCTCACTTTGCATTACGGCCGAAGTTGCTGAAGCACGGTTAGTATCACAACGGACCACCGAACGCAGCGATACATACTTGTGGAAGAATGTTCCAAAGAGACCTGGCTTGGGCGCTTGGTCGGACAATGACTGTCGACGAGCAATGTTAGCCTCACTGCTGCGCTTCTGGTTCTGCAGACCCTCAAAGGCAGGCATGAGACCCGAACTCTAAGATTTGTCAGATACGGTACATCTCACTTGGAGAATGGGGAAAAACTAACACGACGACGACCGCCAGTGCTGGTCTGGGCGTTGGTGGGCGGGCTCTGGGATGGTTCAGACATGTTGTCGTGTTTGGTGGAAGACGTTGTCTTTGGGGAGGATTTGGCAGTGATTCAGATGTTGAAGTTCAGGGTTCTGGAGGGTGGAGGGGAAAAGGAAGTTGCCGGTGATGGTGGGTTGCTTTCCGATATATATGTTCCCCGAACAGTATGCTTCTCCTCATTGACGGGTAAGGGCTAGTGACACCCCCCTCCCACCATGACGTTCTTGAAGGGAGGAGGGCCATCATCTTATTCATTGGGGGAGATCTATCCCACTGTGGAATGCGGTGGTCCAGCGTCATCATAAGCTGTGCTTTCTCCGTTGAGAGCAGATGGCTGGGTACAGCCTTGTCCTGATTCATAGCTCTACAAGGCCTATGCGAGCTCCCTGGGACAAACAACAGCGCCAGAAGTGCAGCTCAGATACGGCATTGACAATGGCAATGCTCAAGGTCGTCCTGTCGGCACCGATATCACCTCGACTGGTCTATCTGGACAGTTCAGTGACCATCACATTCCCATGCCGCACCGTTTGCAGGGGACACACCCCACCTCTAGCCCTGATAATCAGGAACTGAGGCATTGGCTTCGATCGCAGCACCAGTACTCCATGCTGCATGCATATAGCGAATATTATTCCGCTACTGCGTTCATGACAAGGTTCAGGTGGTGCGGCAGGGCAGAATCGAGAACCGTCGATCCCCAGTGTGTGGACTCTGTGGAGTGCGTGGAGGACGTCATCTGGCGGGCTTTAGCGTCATTACGGCTAGCTAAGCTACGAGACGCTCAATGTCCGGGGGGGCAGGTGATTAATGGTTCTGGATGTCTATCGCAAAGTGATTCGGGGTAATACCCGTGAAAGCTTCTTTTGTCGAGGTGATGGATGAGCAGCCCCTCCCATCCAGCGCCAGTCAATAGACTCAATCTTATGCACCACTGCACACGCAGGGACTCGACTGGCCCACCCGCTTTGCTTGGCTACAGTAGCATCCTTCTGACACTAGAACGCAGGGAAGCCATGCGAATTGGAGAATTCCGAGTCAGAACCACACCGTCGATATGCAAGCCCTCGTTTTGGCGATCCAGGTTGAGAAGTGGTGACGCATCAAAGATCCTGATGCTGGAGTTGCACCAATGTCTCTGGCGATCGGTGCTAGCCATCGGGGCATGGTCCCGGCGGACGGATCGGCCGTTGTGGAGAAAGCCTGGAGACAGCCGTGGACCCCTGTTCCGGTCCTGGGCACGGGCTTGGCAGGCCTAATCGTAAAGCAACAGCAGTAATGCGTGAACTGAGCGAATGCTGGGCCTGTCCCTTGCGAGGTGAGGTGACTCATTAGACTGGGAGACATCGTAATTCGTGATGCATTGAGTTTTGGTCTATCCCCTCCTCTACTACCCCGTCATGTATCCTATTCCTTCTCCAGCCGCACAGCGGGGTTCCTCTCGATGAAGTTGAGGTCCACCTTGTGGCCCAGTAGCTCGCGGATGTTGGAGATCTTGTACTTGATCATCGTCGGCCTCTCCAGACTCAGACCCCAGCCAAAGACACGCATGTCCTTGGGGAGGCCCATGGACTCCAGCATCTCCGGCCTGAACATGCCACTGTTGCCGATCTCGACCAGCTTGCCCAGCCCCTTGTGGTAACTGAAGATCTCCATGCTGGGTTCGGTGTACGGGTTGTAGGCTGGCTTGAACTTGAGGTCGGTGATGCCCATCTTGGTGAAGAAGACCTCCATGAACTCCATGAGACCGCCCAGGGTCAAGCCGTAGTCGGCGATGACACCCTCAACCTGGTGGAACTCGGCCAAATGCGTAGCGTCGACAGTCTCGTTGCGGAAGACGCGATCGATCGAGAAGTACCGCGCGGGTGGTGGCCGCCCATCAGGCCCCTTTTTAGACGCCAACTTGTACAGCATAGCTGTCGAAATGGATGTAGTATGTGTGCGCAGCACGAGCTTGAGTGACTCATCTGCCGACCAGGGGTACTTGTAGCCAATTGAGCCAAACTTGCCATCCTGGTGTACCTCCTTGACATTGTTCCAGTACTGTTCCGTGTCCTGACCCTCCACCTCGGCGCGCGGCCTGTCGGCCACTTTGGGGTCTGAAATGTAGAACGTATCCTGCATATCACGCGCGGGATGTTGTTGCGGTACAAACAGCGCGTCAAAGTTCCAGAAGCCGGTCTCGACAAACTTGTTGGTAGGCATCTCCTCGAAACCCATCTCAAAGAAGATCTGTCGGAACTCGTGTCGGACCTTGTTCAGGGGATGCAAAGCGCCGGCGTGCTGTTCCGATCCGAGGGCATTGAAGTTGTAGGGCTTGAACTTGGTATCTTTCCACGACCCTGAGCTCAGCATCTCAAAGGTCAGGTCTGTCTCCTCCTTCTCAATCTCCAAGGCGAACTTGGGGCCCTTGTCCACCGTGAAGCTGATGACCTTTTGCATCTTGACAAGCTTGCGCTTCTTCAGCTCGCTCACCTGCTTGGGCTCGGCCGTGCGGGTCTTTTTGATCTCCAGCAGCTGCGCCCGCGTGGTATCCTGGATCGAGTCGACGGTAGCCACAAGCTTGCCCTCCTTACCCTTGGTAATCCACTTGTCCTTGAATCCGACCTTCTGACCGGCGCTGACCACATTCTTGTCGCCAATGGCCTGCTGCAGTTCCTGGACCGACAGCCCCTCCACCGCCTGGCGAAGTGCCTCGAAGACGCGAGATTCGTGGCTGCCGTGTTCAATGATTTGCTCGGCCTCGGGCTCCAGTACGACCTCCTCTCGTGTCTGTGTCTCGTAGGTGATCATGGACCTCGAGCCCAGTCGGTCCAGCGCGGCTTTGGCATCTTGTGAGGGAACGGATGGGAAGGCTTCGGAGGTGACAATGGGACTTTGTTGCGAGAGTTTCTGCAGGATCTGGGTCGTCAGATCCCCCGTCGGCACCGAGCTGGCAGTCGTCATTTTCGCTGTGATGTCGAGCTACGCCCGTGGCATGCCAGTTGCTCAAAACTGGTCGGGGTCCAAGTCAATGTCTCTGAGTCACCTCTTTGTGATCGCCAACCCTCCGATTCTCGTGGAGGGGAAATTTGGCAGCTTCGCATCTGCATGGCGGGGTGCCCTGCATCGGCTTGGTGATTCTTCCGTTCCGTGTGAGTACGTACCTGGAGCTGAGGGACGTACTCCGTGAAGGGTGGACCCCGGTGTGATTAGCCTCGCCGCGACCAACCGTCGCTGGCGGCTGATTGCGTCGACCTCGACCTTCCGACAAGTACTTGTAAACAGCGAACGATGAACACCGTTCGTCGAGTGTAATAGGCGTGACAGTTTCAGCCTGGCGCAACAATACAACAAATCACCGCGAATGGTCTTGGGTCATTGATGTCGCCTGCGTTGTGCAGACCTCCTTCCCATGTTGACAGAACATGAGCACAGGCGACTATGAGCGATGATGCCCCATCAAGCTCTGCGGCGCCGACACGAGACAGCGGCGATGCTATTCCAGGCGCGAACGAGTCTCCCGCCACTGGTGGCCAGAGACTGCGCGATGGTCGCCGACAGACGAAGAAGAAGAAGAAGAACCGGAAGAAGCGCAACGAGGGTCTCAGGAAGAAGCTGGATTTCATAACGGATCTACTCAAGGGGCTGGACACGTTGGTCTTCGCCGAACTGAGTGCGTTATACTACATGGAGTAGGTTGAGCCAAACATCTCATACTCGACGCTTGTGCTAATCAGTGACGCAGATGCTCCTTCTTCCGACTTCTGATCCGTGGCGCCGCGCAATTGATGTACCTGTCGCCAAAAGACGAGACTATCCCATTTCACATGCCAGCGAGTCGCCTCCACGTCGTCCTCCTTCTTCTCTCCAATATCTGGTGTACATTGGTACATGCGTTCAGCGCCGTGCCGCAAGCGAAGGAGTATCACAGAGGGTATATGCATGGCGGCATGATCGTAGACTTTGTTGGGCAGAAACCGCCTGCGTACAGGGCGTACTACCTGCTTGCCGATCTGCTACTTCTTTTGCTGCAGTTTCTCATGCTCGCTGTTCATACAGAGCGTGAGAAGCTGCGAGTATTGCTCAAGACGTTTCGTCCACTTGCTTCGGAAGCTACACTTGCATCAGCGACGACAACGACAACCGCTCGCACGATTGAGGAGTTGGACGCAGAGGAAAGGGGCATGCCGGCGACGGATGCCGGCCATGGGGACGCTACCGACGACATCGAACTGCAGCCTCTGTCCAGGTCATCGCACGACTTGCGAAGGACGGGTACGGGTGACTCCAATCAAGAAGTTGGAACATCGCGAGGTCGCACAGCGGACATACTCGATTCGGGCAACGCTACAATTGGCGAGTACCATATTATTCAGTGTGTAAAGGTCGCGGCCACCGAGACGGAAAGGTCGACGGCGCAGTCCCTGCAAAGTATAGGCTACCGGGCTACCCTGGCCGCTATAGACGCGAGGCGTAGGGGCGTTCCTGTACAAAGGCGGGTGTCAACCAGCACGAATGGAGCATAGATGAATGGACGGAAGAGAGGCAGGCATACTAGGGCGTTTTGTGGAAAATACGTTGTACTCTTTATCGCATTCAATGCTTCCCACTCAAGCCATTTTCCTACCAACATTGCCAACGCCAGTTCCCTTGACGGATATTAGGATATCATCGGTTTCGTCCTCCACATCGCGTAGACCCCACGTGCTTGCTCCGAACGTTCGCAAGTCTCGTGCCAAGCCAACCATCTCTTCACTCCCCAGGACTTCACGTCCTATTCGTAACCGGCCAACGTCCTCTGAGCCCATGGCCATCAACACGAGTATAGTGTTCGCTGCTACCGGGCTGACACATCCACCCTTGGAAATGGTCTCTAGCAGTTGATATGCGCACCTCTTGCCAATGTCTTCCGGGACCTCGCCTCCACTCGGTGGCACGACCACGTCGGCCGAATAAATCACACCTAGAGCGCTCGACTCGGCCACTAGGCTCAGCCCGTACCCAATACCCAGCCTTCGTTTGCTGCCCGTCTTGTCCCCTGTAGCAACCAGCGGCGCTTGATCGTACTGTGCGGCGATGTGAACGTCGGATACAAAAGGGTTCAGAATCTCCCTCGCCGAGTGAATCATTCTCGCGTTGTTGGACGCGGACACACCAGTTGAGTAGGCTACACCTCGTATCCTCTTTATCCTCCCAGGGCTTCGGTTGAGGTGTAGTGTCTTTGGTAACCGAACCTGGCTCGCAAACCGTAGTTCCACCACACCACCGCCGCCCTTTCCCTGTGGACCTGCGCATGACCTTTGCAATACCCGAATCTCGATGCGGGCGGGTGGGATGCCGAAGAGGGCAAAGAGAGGGAGGATGGCGGATCGGAAGGTGTCGACGGAAGGATCGCCTGTTTCGGTGGATGATGTGATGACGCCCGAGCCGGAGAAGCGGACGTTCATGTGTGATTTCGAGAAGGGTGCGAGGAGACAGAGCGGCAAGAGGAAGTAGGTCACTCCACGCGCGCAATTGTGTGGGAGTAGATGCTCAATGACATCGCCTTCCGTCGCGCCTTGCCCCGGTATTGTCCCCGTAATCAATCCGGGGTGATATGTCATGGTCGTACCGGTGTAGGAGATCTGCATGGAGGAGCCATTGGTGATGGCCTCGAGCAGGCGCAAGAAGGAGACCTCATGGGGCGCGAGGCCAGGGTTCGTTGGGGAGGAACTGCGGATCTTGGAGATGTGAACGGGTCGGCCAGTCAACGTCGAGAGAACGAGGCGCTGGGCAAAGGCCCGATGGCCTGTGAATCGCAGGTACTCGGGCGCTGAAGTCGACATTTTGGCTGCGAATATGTGCGCGTAGGCGATGCGACCACCTCGCCTGCTAAACGTTGGTAGGAAAAAAAGGTCTTTCTGCCAAGTCAGCCTTGGAGGCAGGAGCTCGTAAGGCAGGCGGTCAAGGGAGCTCCACCAAAAAGTCAAAGGTCATTGCTTATCGATAAGACCCAGCTTGCAAGATCTTGGACATGCGTGACGCGCTCCTGAGTCCTGACCCTGGATCATCAATCGCTTACATTGCTTCTTATAGATTTCTTTCCCTTTGTTTCCGGACATACATGGCCCAGTGTAAATAAAATGTCAGGCAGACCGTCGCTGCTGAATCTACGGAATGGCAGCGACAAGATCTGCCAAACCTGCCTCATAGGTCTACGTCGACAACGAGCCCCGCGAACGCAACCATGGATCGCCCAGTTTTCTGCGCAATCGACTACGCCCCAGGGTCGAAGAGCGCGGATGCAGGTCCAGAAGAGGCGATCTTCTTTCCCGAAGAAGCCTACACCTCTCGACCGGGAACCACTGCAACCTCAGGAGCCAGAGCTCGAGCTTCCTGCTCTCGACGATACAGTCCCAGCTGCACAAGATTATTCTGTAGAGTTCTATGAGCAGGATGGCAACCGACGGGCAAAGCTAAAAGGCGACGAGAACTTTGTGCAAAGCTTGAGTGGCGAGGATGCTACACCCATGAAGCATGCCATGTACGACATTCGGAGATCGCTCGGCACGGACAGGGAGAGGGCTGCCTTGGACCAGGTCATGTCCCAACTTGGCACGACGTGGGACAACTTGCGAACCTCTGAGGACGTGAAGAAGGCGGAGGAGACTCTCGACAAATACGGTGAACGCCTTGACAAGCAAATCGAAGAGGTGCTGGGCCACATGGACGAGGAGTTTCAGGAGGCCGTCACTGGCCATCTCAGCATGCTGGTGCCCAGCTTGAGAGGCCGCGTTCCGACGAAACCACGCACGCCTATACCGGAAGTTCCAGAGACGTCCTATACAATGAACCAGCGGAAAAAGGTCTCCAGGCTGAACGCCACCATGCGTCGTATTACCAAGGAGCTGAACTTCACCAACGCAAATATCGATGCGAAGCAGGTATCAGCCGTCTTTAGAGCATATCACGCTGCGCGCAAGTCCCTGGAGCAGAGCTGGGACAGCGTGCCCTTACCCGTCTGGGACTTCTTGTGGAAAGTCTTCTCCGCCGACGAAAAGGAGAATCCCAGCCGGCTGAGTCATGTCGCGCTGTTGGCCCGGGACATGGGCGAAGCCAAGGTGGCGCTCAGTCCTTCGCAACAGCTACTGACGATCGAGGCCGTGTTTGTGGATGGCTGGAATGCAAAGGCTTTGGAGAACTGGAAGCGCTGCATACCGTCCTTGGGAGATGCCTCTTCAGAGTCGTTCCAGCAGTTCTGGGAGCTGGGTGTCCGCATGTACTGCCGGTCAGGAGATATGGATGAAGCACAGCGTGCCTTGAGCAAGCTCCTCGACAGAGACTCTGACCCGCGCATCCTGATGCCGATCATCCGTGCTCGCTCTGAGCGAGCTGCGCCTGGGGATTTTGAAGCTGCGTGGATAGCGTACCGGCAGATGAGAGAGCTACTCGGTCAGAACATGAAACTCAGCGACTACGACGACATCATCTCCTGCTTCCTGACGACGAACCAGACCGAGAACGCCCTATACGCCTTTGTCGACATGATGAGTGACGGCCAGATCGACCTCAAGAAGCAAAAGTACATGCCTTCTGTCGTCGCGAACAAGTTCTTCGTCGGCAAGTGGCTCAAGCGTCTGATCGGGGCGGGCGATCTGGACGGAGCGCACAGCGTCGTCAACTTTATGCTCGACAAAGGTGTTCAGGCTGCGCCGGTCCAGCTTAACGGGCTGATCGGCGCGTGGCAACGATCCGGCGGCGCCGAGAACATGGAGAAGGCGGACAAGATGGCCTGGTCCATGATCCAAGCGCGCATCGACTTTGTGAGAGCCAGAAAAGACGGCACTTTCAGCTTCCGGCCCACCAAGGGTCCGGCTTCGATGCCATCCGCGACCCTCGAAACCTTTTCGGTGCTTGCCGAGAATTACCGCATCCGCGGTCTTCACGCAGGGATGGAGAAACTCTGGGACGCTTTCCAGGACGCGGAAATCAGCCCCGATGCATTCATGATGAATCAACTACTCGAGTCCTGTATCAGGGCCGGTCAAGTGGAGGAAGCTCAGGGTCTGTACCAGGCTCTAGTTCTGGAGCGCGGCCTACAGCCTGACCCTTACACTTTCAGTGCCCTCTGGAAGACACTGGACATCAACCAAGCAATTTCCAACCATGAGGAGGTTAACGTGGAGGGTATCCGCGCCGCGCGGGACCTCTTTGCTGAGATGGCGCGATGGCTGCCAGTGTTCCCACCCGAGGGCATGGATGGCCAGCTAGCTCGCAAAATCCTCCACACCTTCCGCCGCCTGAAAGACAACACTGGCTTCCTCGTGGCGCTGACATCGATGCGAAAGCTGTTCAACTTCCTGCCACCCGAGACACTCACACTAGAGCTCGTCATGGGTACGATGCGTCTCATCTGGGATTCCCCCTTGCAGAAGAGGAAGATTATGGCTGCCAAACGCGACATGGACCGTGAGCTCGCGGAATGGGCTGGTGGTGACGAGACGAAACTCGCCGGCGAGGGGAGAGGCGTGGCCTTGTATGAGTACGTGCACAGAAAGCATTGGCCCAAGGAAGGGTCGCAGGAAGAGATGGGCAAAGCTTTCGTGGAAGCCGCGAAAGAAATGGGCGTGTACGATGGGCTCATGTCTACTCAGGACTAGAGGGAGCTGTATGAAGTATTGTATCATATGCGAGACGTGGCATTGGATCATGTGCCAATACATAGACAAGGGAGCGAGGATCTAGGGGCGTTGGATATTCAATTGACTGTACATTAGCATGCAATGGGTTTGAGTATTGAGCCTATGCGAGGTCCATGTCCCCTACTACCTCGTCCTCGACCTTTGTGCGTCCTGTGCGCTGCGAGATCCAGTCCTCTATCGTCTTGAGCGCGCCGCCGCCGCCCTCGATCTCAATTTCGTTCTCGTGGTCGGCGGGCTTGCCAAGGATGGTGCCTTGGAACTTTCCATCGTCCGTTTTGTTATGCCGTTTCTTCAGAGCTAGTCTCGGTTAGTCGTCCAGCTTTGGTTCGTGCCCTCTATGATATACAGGCCACTTACCACTCAGATAGTCCATTTCGTCAGACTCCATGTCCCCTTTGGCAAAGTCCATGATCTCCTTCATGCGATCACCGCTGAACCAATTGACAAATTCCTCGACGCCTCGTAGGTCCTCCTCGCCCCTCCATTCCTGCTCAGCGAGCGACTTTTCCGGTAGCATGGCGCCCAGGTCCTGAAGCGCAAGGCGCACTTCGACAATGCTATAGTCGCCTGCGTCGCCATGATTGTGAACCGCATGCCCGGCCGTCTTCTCGCACAGGAGGGACAGGTAGCGCGCCGCAAGATCCGTGATGGCGTCGAGCACTGCAGGCGAGGTGCCGTGATATCCTGTCGCGCGAAGGATCTGGAGTATAGAGGGTCGAAGGAACGCGTGAAATAGCGTAGTCGGGGACGGCATCTTGGACGTGGTCTGTTCGTTGCGTTGATGGGTGGGTTTCGCAGGTTCAGACTCGGGAGCGTCCTGTGGTTGATGGAACGATGGATTGATGAAGCATCTTCAAGTGACTGGGGCAGCGCGACGAGGAGCCCGGCTCACCCGGTCAAGCTTGGTTGATTAATGTCTTGGTGAATGGAAAGAAGCGCTGATGAGTTGTTGAAGCTCAGGGCTCAGGGTCTCCAACTCGAAAGGCTGCGAACCGTGTGCGCGCACACAGTGTTGTCTGATTATACACTGTGCTGTCCAAGAAGACGGAAGACCTCATGCGGTGGTCAACTATCCGACGTCCCCATAACATTCACATCAAGACACTCTCTCCTCTATCATACATGCATCTTCTCGAATTCCGCCTCCAAAGCAGCATCCTTGGCAATGCCGCTGTAATGATTGATCCAGTTCAGGACTTCCCGGTGCCACACCAATGAGTTCTCTGGCTTCAAAACCCACTGCGAATCTGCTGTCAGTATGTGCATAGTACGGTACTGTCAGACATAAATATCCGCCGGAACTTACATGGTTCTCGTCAGGGAACATCAAAAGTTTGCTGGGCACTTTGCGCGCCTGCAAGACATTGAACATGGCCAACCCCTCCGATATGGGCAGACGATAGTCGAGTTCGCTGTGGATGATGAGCGTGGGCGTCTGCCATTGACCAGTATGATTGGCAGGGTCCCATTTCTCATATGCCTTCCTATTGTCCCACAACGTGCCGCCAAAGTCGTGTTCGGTGAAGAAGAGCTCTTCGGTAGCCCACTGGTTCAGTGTCGAGAAAATGCCGTCGTGGCAGACGAGGGCCTTGAACTTGCGGCCAAGGTCATGCCCTTGTATCCAATCTGCAACAGTCAGTATGACGCCGATACTACAATAGGCAGTGGGACGTACTGATCATATATCCTCCATACGACCCTCCCAAGGCAACTGCGTTCTTGGTGTCAACGTAGCTGACCTCTTTCTCTAGATGATCGAAGCATTTCACGAGATCCTCGTACGGAGTTCCGCCCCAATTCTCCGTGATCGCATCGACATGATCCTGGCCGTAACCCGTGCTGCCCGTCGGATTGGGGCACACCACGACGTAGCCTTGCTCCGCGAACACGGCAGGGTTCCATCGAGTGCTCCAGTCGTCCATCCACGCTGACTGCGGGCCACCGTGGATCAGAAAAGCCAATGGATAAGTCTTTGACTTGTCAAAGTTTGAAGGGGTCATGACGAGGGCGTGGACGTCGTAGCCCGCAGCGCCCTTGTACCAAAGCTCCGAGCACTGATCTCTGCTGAGCCCGAAAGACTTTCCACGCTTGGAGCTCGAGGATAGTTCCCGCACCGATCCGTCTTGCGTGTTCAGGATCGAGTAACAAGAATTCTCGATCCGCGACCTGGAGGTGACCAGGAGCGTTGACGTGTCTCCCAAGAACTTGGCGTCCGACACACTGCCCTGTTGGAAGAGGGCTTTCGACTTGCCCTCCTTCAGCGATCGCGCCGACAGCTCCCACAGTGATACGCGTCCGTGCCTCTCGGCTGCGACGATCACCTGATCGTCTTTGCCCCAGACTACCGAGTCTGGCCGCCATTGCGCAGTTTCCTTTGACTCTGCAAACTCCTCAACGGAGTCCAAGTCGGAGATGTTTGTGACGACGAGTAGCCTTGGCCTGTCTGCTTCATACTGGTCCGACTTCATGCGGGTGAAGGCCACCTTCTTACCATCTCGAGAGAATACTGGTGACATGCTATAGCCCCGCAGGCCCTGCGTCTTGATCATCTGAGGCCCCTTGCCCTTGGAGGCAGCACCGTTTTCTAAGGGGATGTAGTACAGGTCGGATTTGGTGTATCTTGCAGGGTTCAACTTTGGGTCCTTGGCTACAAAGACGATGCCATCTTTGGAAATGTCAAAGTCGCCAGTGCCGCCAAAGGGCGGAATAGGACTGCTGAGGCCAGTGTTGGCCAGCAGGTTGGTCAGTCCTGGGCTCTCAAACGCCCACTTCCCATCCCGCTTGGCCAGCTCGCCAAACCACAGCGAGTTCTCGTTCTCGGACGCCCAGGTATCCCAGTGTCGGACAAAGAGAGACGTGTAGATTTTGGCAGAAGAGTGTTTCTTCGGCTCGGCAGCTGGCCAGTAAAGCTCGCCCTTGGGGGTCGTCGGAGCTGAGCAGCAGAAGTACACGTTGCCATTATCCAGTCTCTTCGCTTTGGCATTGGCAAGACTACCAGCAAAGAACTGGACCATCTCTGCGGATCTGCAACTGTCAGTCGTGCACTCATGGTGCATTCGAAGCGAGTTGCATACTCAGCTGCCTGGAAAACATTCTGATTCACCAAAGCAGTACAGCCACGCTCATTCGGCTTGAAATAGGTGATTTCCTCCTCGCCAATCCAGACTGGGTCGTAGGCTGAAGCATCCTCGGACACCAAGTGAGAGTGGCCATCAGGAATGCTCAGCACCCGGATCTGGGAAGTCTTGCTGTGGCTTGTAAAGTCGTACGTTGAGACCTGCGAGCGTCAATACATCTATCTATGTTATGCAGACAGCCATCAAAGCGCTGGACATGACCGATTACTGACCGTGTAAAGTAGCAGCTTTCCTGAAGCATTGGGGATGCCTGGAGACCGTCGAGGTGCCGAAAGCATCACCTCTGGGGTGAAATGGGATGCTTGGATGGTCATGCTGAATGGAGATGCGTCCGCGTACGCGTGCCACAAATAGAAGTCGACGAGACTGCCGCTTTAGGCAATCGTAATGCAAGAATCAGGATGAGCCGGGATCTGTCCTCGCATCGACCCTAGCTTAAGGTAAGCTTAGCGTGAGAAGACCGACAGGCACCGATTGAGGAGCGGAAGGAAGGCAAAGCTCTTTGCAATTTGAGAGCGAGCGTATCCTCAATCTTATAAGAAGAGGAGGAGAAGTGTCCTGCCGTCAAGCCCGAGATCTTTTGGCAAATGACATATATACTTTGTCCCATTCCTATCTTCCCCTCTTCGCGAGCGCCGTCGACTCGAACAACACCCCCTCTTGCAACAGCATCTTCCCCTCCTTTCTGGACTTGAAGAGACGCCAACAGAGGGGGTTTTCTAGCTCAAGTTGTCCGACCCCGCACAATGATTGCCTCATGGGGACTTTTGGATGGGGGAGGGGCCTCAAGCAGAACCTTGTATTGTTGATAGTGGTTCCCAAGATACAGTATACGGCGATCTTGGTTTGCTGGCTTTCTTTGGGTTTAGCCGTTTGTGTGCATGCATCATCTCTCTTGCCTTGATATCAAGGTTGGTTCCCAGGGTACAATTCCAGCTCACATGCTCGCACGGACATATTGCTTGCTTGTTCGGTGACCCTGTGTGTTGTCCTCTCGTACCCAGACGGGCAAAATTAGCCCTGATGTGCATGCGCAGCATCGAAATGCACACATCCCGCGCAGTTGTCTGTCGTGCCACGACGATACACCTATTACAAAATCCCATGAACGCCATTGTCCTTCCTAGACCCCCGATCCAGAACGCCGAAACCAGACGCTCGAAAAGCATGCCACCTCAGCAGGATACGGTGCTGCTGTGTTTCTGAGAGATAGCCATCCCCATCCGCAAGGTTGGTCGAAACTGAGAATGTAGTCACTGGGATATGCACCTGCGATACCAGCTGTCTGGTGGCCGATCACCAGGATCCCTCGTGCCATCCTCCACTGTGGCCCCATGCCTGTCCGCATTCACCGCCTCTCGTCCTTGTGGTTCGACGGAGAGGTTGCTGGGCAAGTCCGGCACGGAGCTCTACTTCCTGGATGCGCCAAGGTTGACCCTCTTCTTCGCCGGTGGCACGTCTGCTTCGCTGTCTTCTGCCTCGGCCGCCTTCTTCTTCTTCTTGCTGTTTCCGCCTCCCGTCGTTGGCGTGGCTGTTCCGCTAAACGAGCCGGACACGGGTGTGGGAGCGTGTGAGGCTGGCGTCGATCCCGGCGTGCCGTCCTAGACCTTTATTAGTACAGTCGCGTTCCAAAGGGTTTCCAGGCGTACGGTATTTGGCTTGTATGAGATGGAGGACCTGGAGAACACACGGTTCTGCTCCAGAGGGCCGGTTTTCCGTCTTTGGGCTGCCGCGCCGCTTTGCCCCTTCATGTAATTATCAAAGCCCGTAATGATGTTTCCGCTCGGCGTGCTCTCTAGATAGATGGCTTCTTTCTGTGCGATCGCTTCCTCGATTTGTTGCTGCGCACAAGTCAGCGGCTGTCGTTGCGTCGCAACAGGTCAAACAGGAGGGGTACCCACGAGTTGCCGCTCCGTCCTCCTACGACGCTCGGTCATCTCGCGAACTCTCTGGAGGCATTTCTTGTATTCCGCCATCGTCGCAGGGGAGTCTTCGGCGGCTGCTGGAACGGCGTTCGTCGTCGCAGGCGTGGCTGCGGAAGCCTGTTGTTGTTGCTGCTGCTTGTCGGCCATCTCGGCCACCGGAGGGGATTTGACGCGCAGTTTCGCTTGCAGTTTCGGGAATATGAGCACGCGCCGACGATTGAATTTTGCTTGCTTTTGGTTGTATGCTAGATAGAAATAAGTTGGGTGCGCTGGCACTTGCGTCAGTCGCGATAGTTAACGTTAGTATGCGCGCAAGCCTTTAGTACTTGAGTAACTATTTTTGTGGGGCCAAAGCCCTTCGTCACTCTACCTAGTGCGGTACGGCTAGTATTAGCCTAGACGAAAGTAATTAATGCTCGTAATCTTGAGTACTCACATTTACAGAAACAAAGAGCCAGGCTTAAGTATTGGCAAGCAACTCTGGGCGAGCACTGAGTCTAATCCCTAAGTTGCTTTACCACTAGCGAGAGGATGTCAAGGTATGGAGTAATACTTGTGTCCGCTACGTAGTTCCCCCTAATCTATCTGAGTATAGGCCACGATAATACAAACGATGCTTGTTCTGTGCTATTGGAGTACCGAAACCTGAGGGGCGATAACTAAGATGCAGACCGTACCGCCGCGAGGGCAATAAGATATTTCTCACCTGTCCAGCGAGGTCGATTCGTTGCGAGACGACGGAACGAGGACGAGATATACGTGTATCGCAAACATGTATGCGCGCGTCGCAAAGAAGCAGTGAACCGGGCCTTCTGACATTGTTAGCCTCGACCAGTGCACCATGATCCACCAGCAGGGGATCGCATTTCATGGTCTTATCCCTTGAGAGCTTCTCCTTGGGCACATTGGCGCATTTTTTGCAATGTGAAAGCCTGCTCCTGCTGGTGGTCAGTCCTGATCAGAGCATATGCCACACAGTTGTTCGCTCGGCACCTGCCCGAGGTCGTACCAACCTCGGCCTCGTTTCTATCCACTGCACGCTGGGATATGGTGCTAGTAATGAATGACGGCTACCCTTGGACACATCAGCCTATCCGCTACGATGTTTGGGTGGTGATGATGGTGACCCCGGCGGCGAGGAACTGTTGCGTCGTGGCCCGCGCGTCTCTGACGTCTCTCGCCTTGATCGCCCAGTCCTCTTCTCTGCTCCAGATTCGTGGCTGGAGACGCTCTGGCTGCGCGGGCGTCGTCTCCGGGGCGATGGTGATCGTCTGCTGTCGCTGGAGTAAGACCTGCGGCTGCGGCTGCGGCTGCGACATTCACTTCGGCTTCGTGATCTCGTGTAGCTGCGTGAAGAACCAGAGGATGACGGAGAGCGCCTGCGTCGGGGAGTGGCGGATCTGCTTCTAGATGACGAGTATCGGCGCCTCTTCGACGATGGCCCACGTCGATCAGGCGATGTGGATGGCGATCGTCGTAGGCGGCCGTCGCGATTCCTTCCGGTTTGTGCTCCGCGTCTGCGTTGCGGCGACCTGGACCTCGACCTGGACCTAGATCTAGATCTAGATCTTTTCCGTGAGCGCCTGGCTCGTCCCGCTTTGGAGCTGCCTCTCGAAATACTGCGACTGCGCGAGCTTTGACTTCCCCGAGATGATCTGGAGGAGAGCGATCTTGGGCGGCCCCGGTCCATGTTTCGATCACGCCCTCGATCCGACTCCCGATCACGGCCCCGGAATGATCCGCGACCACGGTCACTTTCTCTTCCACCACGACCCTGCGGCACGTATCTGTCGCTAGGGTACGTATCCCTGGGTTGACGAAATCGATCATCTGGCGAACGGGAGCGGTCGCGACCAAAGCCGCCACCACGGCCACGACCTCCTCGGTCAAATCCACGATCCCCTCGACGTCCTCCACGGTGATTATTGAAGCCGCGGCCGCGGTCGGCGCGATCTCGTTGGTCACGCTCTCTCACGTCGGAGAAATCCCGGGCTCGGCGGTCGTCCTGGTCGCGACGGCGACGGGTGTCGTCGACACTACGGTCCGCATCTGCCTATTTGCAACGTCAGAAATGAGCGTCCAAGCAGTATAAGATGAATGTTGACTCACCTTTTCTTGCATCAGCTCCAGCTTCTTAGCCTCGAGAAGCTCTTTGGGGACACCCTGTGGACTAGACTGGGCACTCAGAAGAAGCTTCCAGAGCTCTTTGCAGAACGTAGCAGTGTCCTTCTCGAGGAACCCTGTCAACTGAATTTGTAGAGACTTGATATCGGGCTGCGATGGTTAGCGGATGCGTACCGGCACGGTGTGTGATTGGAACCTACGTTGCGCGCTCCCTCAATCAGGGCGAAGCAGAGCTCGATGATCACGTCGTCTTCGTTGCCCAGGATCTCGGAAATGCGGCTGGCGATCCATCTACAGTCAAGTTAGCACACAGAAACATCCATGAGAACAGAGAGGGACTGACTTCTTGATGACATGGATATTGACCTTTTGCATGTCCACCTTCTGATTGAACTCTGTAGGGAACTTGGTCGACTTCAGCAGCCGAGCATCGACGCCTGACGCCATATTGGGCGCCTTGTGGGAGATGACGCGTTAATAGTGCTGCGTACGCGCTTTCTGGGCGTGGTTGAGCGCGGTAAGTTATGTTAGATTGAAAGGTTGAAGAAAATCCGGTCCAGGTGACGTCGGGGATCTGGTGTATACGGATAATTAATGCTTGATCGCCCGCGCCGGCTCTGCACCTGCATTAAATCATGTGCACAACTTACAGGCACTGGTGGCAGTCGCGTCCCTGAGGACCCCGCGGTACGTACAATCGCCTACTCACTTACATGCAGTGCTCACGATCTAAATGATCGATTTCCTTCTCACATGCTTCATTTTTCCACAGATTCATCACTCAAACCCCGTGTTTAGTTGCTCTGCTATCTCCAAAACTTGTCGAACAAGGCTTGCTCTCATTTGAAGATGGAGAACCTACACGCACCGACCGTGCCTTCGGGGCCTACCAGCGATGCGGCCACAAATGGGAACACCACCCACTTGAGCTTCAACCAGCTTCAATGCAAGAAGAACGACGTAGAGGCCCAGCTCCGGACTCTCGGATCAGTTTTGGACTCAGTATGACATGCTCCAGGTGTTCTTCTCGTTTCTATAATTTGAGCTAATCCTTCTACCAGCATGGGGTTACTATGGAGACGGCTCTGCTCACTAGGGACGGCTTTCCACGTTCAGATATTGATGTAGCCCAAAGTATGATCTACTTCCCTGGTTGGAGAACTAAAGCTAATCTAAGTAGTACGAACTACGAGAGCACAGATCATCCGACTGCGGAATGATTACAAGGAGATCATGAAATCCATTGAAAAGCACCTTCATGAACATTTCGCGAGCCTGAACGACGCACCGGCACCGGCGGCAGGTGAGAGCCTCCCCAGCGAGCCTCTTCCGGATTCTATACCCGAGCAACTGGACCCAACCTTCGCCCGAGTGAACACAGTGGCGCCCAACAGCCCTGCCGAAGCGGCGGGACTGAAACCCAATGACGAGATCCGCAGCTTCGGGTGGGTGAAGCGGTCAAACCATGATAACCTACGCAAGGTCGGGGAAGTAGTCCAGGCCAACGAAGGGGTATGTGTGTTCACCCCAGTGCGGGCTTGTCACTAACCATCGTCAGAGTGATATTGTGATCCGCGTGACGCGGTCGCTTGGGTCGGTGCAGACGAGTGATCAGAGATGGGAAGAGCTTCGTTTGACATTGCGGCCTAAAAGAGATTGGGGCGGTCGCGGGACCCTTGGGTGCCATATTATCCCCATCTAAGGTAGTTTGGACTGGTGTTCGGAATGAGCGATGCTGAGGAGAAGGAGATACGAGAAGAGGACACAATAACATCGTACCTTATTATTAAATTGATCTCCGCGCAAGGTAAAACAACAGATGCCGTCAGCCATAATTCTAGCATGTGTGAGCTTGCCTCTCGCTTAGGCGCTTATGAGTTTGTCAATAAAATCGGCTATTAGGCGAGGTTTCGAGCTCGGAAGTATTGAGACAATATCTTTGAGCGTTATTGGTAGACATACTATATACTTATTGAGTGATACGTTTTGAATATATTGTCTTATCTAAGTTAGAGTATTCAGTGACTCGTGTTTTGCCTTATTGTTATATAAGACCCTAGCTATTAGACCTAATTCCTTTACTTGTGGCACTGTTCTTAGAACTTATTGAGTAATACGTTTTAAAAATATTGTCTTATCCTAGTTAGAGTATTCAGTGACACGTGTTTTCCCTTATTGTTGTACAAAACCCTAGCTATTAGACCTAATTCTTTACTTGTGGCACTGTCCTCAGAACTCTTTCACTTACAAACGTAAACAAACACTCATTTCATTTCGCTCTCACTACCTCGAGTTAGCACAGCCATCTTTCTCTTCACAGCCATCTTTCTCTTCACAGCCATCTTTCTCTTCACAGCCATCTTTCTCTTCACAGCCATCTTTCTCTTCACAGCCATCTTTCTCTTCCGCACGCGGTATTGCGTATATTGCACAAAATCAAGCCATCAGACCTTCAGCTCAGGACCTCAGACTCTAGACTCGTATCGCATTGCGAGCGTCCTTCGTAGGTACCTCAGCAGCTGCGCGGCTATTCCAGTCATCGTGTCATACTAACCCATCTCTCAGGTATCGACAGCATAGTCGTACGCCAACATCAGTTCCTCGATGCCACCCAAACCCAAAGACGAAACCACCATGCCCCCACGCGTACCTCCGCCAGAAACGGAGTATCAACCAAAAGCCTGGGCTGCCTATACCGACCTCTCATCAGCGAATGAGAAGGAGCCGCTCGTCGACGGCGCCGAATGCCTCGAAGTTGGCCTCGTCTTCGCCCCCGACCCTGCCTTACATCTCACAAAAGGCTAGAATGGCAAGTCGAAGTCCGTCAGAAACGCTCGCCAAGAGCGTGGAATCGAAAGCCGACAGATGATGCTTAGGGTCTATACCAAGCTCAGCGACACGTTCCCCGAGCAGATCAAGGTTGTCGTTGCTTGCCACAAGGAGGGAGAACACTTCAACTCGCGCAGCATCCCCATCGCCAATGCGTATTGGTACCCCGAGTTCTACCTAGGTATGAACGAGGAGTGGAACGATCGTGACAAGCAGAGCTATATCACTGGCATGGTCAATTGGTTCGTCGCCGACTGGAAGGAAAATCCCCAAGACGAACGCCCCTCGAGCAAGCCACTATCTCTGGCGTTCCCATGGCAGTGTGTACCCATCCTCACCGTGGTATAATGTCTCGCGCCGCTATGGCAGTTACCGTTATGGAGGAAACAGCCAACTGTTCGTATCTCCAGACGATGATGGACATGATGTCGAACATGGCGCCGCACGTGAAGTTTCACGGAAACACCGCCACAGATGGTAGTTACCGTTTCTTGCACGACGGTGCTCCAATGTCATCGGAGCAGTGCGTCCAACTACCGCGAGAACTAAAGGTAAGTCTAACCTGGCCTTGGAAACATCATGTCTAACTTGATTCAATAGGCCGCACATATGCACATGGATGAGGTTTCCACTGCGACAATCAAGTTAACTCACCGCACCCTTTAGCAACCTCAAGCAGACGGACAGCGCCTAGTAGACCAGTTGTTGCCACCCATGTTGCCGACCTTCCTGGCCGGGTGCGATGTGACACTCGAAGAAGAAGGATATCAAACAGTCCAAAAGGGAATTCCACATGTGCTCTAAGTATTGGGACAGCATCTTTGAGCGGTATTGATAGGCACACTATATACTTGTTGAGTGATACGTTTCAAATGTACTGCCTTGTCCTAGTTATACGTTAGTACATATTCAGTGACCTGATGCTTTACTTATTGCAGCAGCCCTACGCTCTTGTCTAATGTCCTATCAATGGTTGATTGATTTATAGTACCTAACAATGACCGAAGCTTACTTGTACCTATAGCCAAAATCAATCAATCAATGACTGGCATTGGGCCCGAACTTTGCTATGTTGCTTCGCGAAGACTGAAAGCTTGCGTTTGTTACGCAGGTAGTGACCGGGCCGTGGCGTGACGTAACACGTTGTTTGCCCCAGGGGCCTGGTTCAAGGCATCAAGCGCCTGATGGCGGACAGCTCCAGTAATGTCACGTGCATTAGTCTGAAAGATGCCTGCTCAGTGGCTGATTATGAGCGCTATCCCCCCAGCGACTGAAATTTTCGCTTATCTAATAATAAAAGAGCACCTTCCCTGGGCGCCCAAAGAAAAGTAGTCCCCGCCAAAAACCTCACGCCTCGCCCGATTTTGGGATCCTCCTTCAACACTGCACAGCGATTTTCACAAGCTGCACGATCTCCTAATCAAGGTACGCTCGACCCGCGAACGACTGGTTCAGCCCATCGAGCGATTGCAATCGCACTCTTGAGCCATCAAGACACGATCCCGCATCTTCCATCAAGTTCAGGAACTGACCGCATCCACCTCTAGCACCCCGCTTGTTTACATCCACAACCAAACCATCCCCGTCGCCTTTCGATAACATCCGAACCGACAACCATGGCTGAGCAGCAGGTTCCCACCTTCAAGCTTGTGCTTGTTGGCGATGGTGGCACTGGCAAGGTATGATTCCCATCTGGGCTCAGGCGTTTCGGCGGCTCTGGCTGTCGCTGGTGGCCCGTCGATAATGCCCCGCCTTCATGGAGCTCAAGCATGCGCAACATGTTCGTCACAGGGCGATAGATGCTAACGATTGATAGACCACCTTTGTCAAGCGTCACTTGACTGGTGAGTTCGAGAAGAAGTACCTGGCCACCCTGGGTGTCGAAGTTCACCCTCTTGGCTTCACCACCGTACGTTGTCTACCCCACTACCGCGAGTTTCGCCCTCGCCCACATGGCTCGATGCTAATGACTCTCTAGAACTTTGGTCAGATCCAGTTCGATGTCTGGGACACTGCCGGTCAGGAGAAGTTTGGTGGTCTCCGCGACGGCTACTACATCAACGGCCAGTGCGGTATCATCATGTTCGACGTCACCTCGCGCATCACCTACAAGAACGTCCCCAACTGGCACCGTGAGTACTACAGTGAGCATTTTCACAGCAGCGTCTGACCATGGCAGGTGATCTCGTCCGTGTCTGCGAAAACATCCCCATTGTCCTCTGCGGTAACAAGGTCGATGTGAAGGAGCGCAAGGTCAAGGCCAAGACCATCACCTTCCACCGCAAGAAGAACCTCCAGTACTACGACATCTCTGCCAAGTCGAACTACAACTTCGAGAAGCCCTTCCTCTGGCTCGCCCGCAAGCTCGTCGGCAACCCCCAGCTGGTAAGTTCCCCGCTCGAACGTCAAGTCAAGATGCTAACCCCATACAGGAGTTCGTCGCTGGTGTCGCTCTGGCTCCTCCCGAGGTGCAGGTTGACGAGAAGCTCCTGGAGGAGTACCGCCAGGAGATGGCCAAGGCCACGGAGATGCCCCTGCCCGACGAGGACGACGACGATTTGTAAAGGATGAGCGGACGTGCAAGGACTCTGGAGGAAAAGAGTCCAATATGATGAGGATGAGTCATGAGTCTGGTCCGCCTGGAGGAGGCCCAGTTCATTCTTGGCTTACGGGACGACCATTTATGACATTAGGCATCGGGGTTCTGAGGTTTACGTGAAGGCGAGCTTAGATTGGGTGGGACCCTTTCTTCGGGGTATGCCACGAGCGCACGCTGCGTGACGCAGCAATTTCTAGCTAGACTTGAATTATGACGACAATCGATTCCCTTTGTCGCGAATCGGGCCAAAGTACGGATGCATTACTCGATGTGATGTGATGTTGTGTCCGATGGCTACCCTGCAGCAGTGTGTGATTCGTTCGGATGTGGTACCAGGACCAGTTCTGTAGTAGATTTGGACAAGATTTGATGATGTATAAGGCACTTGATACTACAGCAGTTCACTTGCGACTTGGTGCATGTCTACTGGCGGGTGACATAGTGTGCGGTGGTGCTCTGAATGTTATGAGGTTCCCATGTCTTGTCGTTTGAGCAGCATGCTACGACGAACAAACTGACAACGCGCTCGCAACTAATCATTAGGCTCAAGAGGGTCCAATGCAAATGACAACGCAACGCATACTTACAGACTCGTTATTTCGTGTACACAGTGTCACCTCAGGAAAGGAGAATTGGCCGGGTCAATACATGATCGTGGACTGGTGTGGGCGGGCAATCAAAGCTGGCAGCTTGGCAGAAGAAGATGAGGATCCATGGATGATGAAACCCATTCAAAGCCTGGCGCTGGCCCAGCCGCTGGAAGAACTCAACGCGTCTGCGCGTTCGTCTTGGAGTGGGCCAAGTGCCAGTGCGCTGCTGCAGGTAGGCTGGGGCCTCGCGATGCCAAAGTCGGTGGCAGGGGTCTACCGAGAGAGACTGGAGGCACGCGCCTCGCGCCTGGAGTAGCGCGACATGGCTTACCTGCGCATTTGCCAGGACACGGAGTCCGGGACAGCAGCACTTGACCTGACATTTATCTAGTAGCGACGTTCTGAGTCTTGTCGACGCGGCGAGGACCACTGCGTGATGAAGACGGCTGTGGCTCGTGTGACGTTTGGAGAAGCTCTCACAACCCTGGTCAGCGTGACAAGAAAGGTGCCAGCAGCGCCCGGTGTGTTAAAGCGGGTACGATAAGCGGTGTATTGTTGCAGGCGTGCTGGGCCTAGCAACCGTGTTGATGTATTTCCTCATCGGGCAACATCCACTTCTCAACGCGCGACGTGATTGAACGACGCGGCTACCCCTGTCATGTCATGCCATGAACGACCAGCACCCCCAACACCTCCCACCTTTTTGTCTATATCCAGTCTTGGGATGCCGCACGCACTGACGGCATCTTCCTCTCCAGTCCTCTCTCTGTCCGCACGCGCTCGCTGCTCCACCTCCGCCACTGTCTTTAACATCTATCGCGTGTCGTTTCTCTCTCCTTGCTATATACATGTCACCAAGGTCCCGTTGCACGGTGATCAACACGCTCTCTATCGTCCGTCTTGTTTCGCTATACTGTTAGCTGCTCAGCGACGCCATGTCTACCACACCCGACCTCCAACGCGCTGCCTCACCAACAATGAACTCTGACCCGGCCGACACATCCCTCTCGCAGTCGAGCACCGTGGCCAATGATGATTCTCTCCTCTCACTGGACCCAGACACGTCCATCTCCTCGATCGACAGCGAAGACAAGCATCCACGCTCGCGCCGGAAGCGTACCAGGTACTATACGCGTCAACGTGGGGGAGGTTCAATGGCTGACGTGGAGGATAGTCAACGCGACAGGGCCATTCTCGAGTCGACGTATCGCTCCAATTCGAAACCTGATAAGACAGCACGGATGGAGCTATGTCGACAGACGGAAATGACGGAGAAGGAGATCCAGGCATGTGTTCCCCATCATTGAGCCTACCAATGGTAGCAGGACTCGAACGCGTCGCTAACCTGCCGGCCAGGTTTGGTTCCAGAACCGACGACAGAACGACAGGAGAAAGTCCAAGCCGCTCACACAAGCCGAGCTCGCGAGTCTGCAGTACAGCGGCATCCGTCCGATTGGCGGGGAGAACCTCGACGTCAGTCCGCTGAAAGTTGTCCAGGGTCCCTTTGCGGTCACGGACCCGGTCGTGGATGCGGTAGCTACGCCCGACGGTGGCTCGCCGGCAGGCCAGAACGCTTTCGTGCCGCCGGCGGCGCTGCCCTCCCCCGCCGCGGACGACCAGCACACGAGCCACGTGCGGAGCTGTTCAGACGCAGCAGCGTACCCTCGTCCTAAGCTGCCACCCCAGGAGAGCTTCTCCGCAAGCTTCGGCCCCTCGAGCTCGTTACCTAACGTTGGATACCTGGCCAACCGTAGGAGGGAAGGCGGTTCCTTCTCTGCACCCTCATCGCAGACATCTGGCGGGTACGAGAGCTTCTCGTTTCGGTACGTTCTTGGCCCACCACGCGTGATGCCTCGCGCAGACACTGACAATGAATCCTCAGAATGGACAATGCCAACAGCAGCCCGAACGCTCCGCATTTGTATAGCGGCAGCGCCTCGCAGGTCCGCCTGTCCTTCTCGTTGGACGGGAAAGCAGAGCTCATCCCTCACGGTGCTGAGCAGCAACGCAACACTTCACAGGAGAGGTCACCTTTGCAGCCAGCTCTGCAGCGCAGCCAGAGCGCGTACACCACGCGTCCCAGCCTGCCGCCTCTGTCGTCCATCCTCCCACAGCTCAGCGCGCCTCGCCTCCAACGCGGCCGCTCGCGCAATGCCTCTGCGTGGGAAAGCTGTGCGACGAGCGAGACGCGCGACGAGCTCACAAAGATGGCCGAGCACGAGTCCATTGGCTCGGCTGCCGCGTCCATCAGCCTGATCAGGTCGACCAGCAGCAGTGCGCTGCAACCAAGCAACGGGAACAAGAGGAACTCGTCCCTCAAGGGGCCACTCCAGCAGGCCAAGAGGACCAAGTTGAGTCGCACAACGTCAAGCATCGCCAAGCTCGGCGGCAGCGGCAACACGAAGCCGCCTGGCAGTACCATGTCCGTGGTTTCCGCGATAGACTCGGACAAGGAGAACTTGAGCCCGGATGAGGACGGCAATCCGCGACTCGAGCAGCACCCACGCAGACGACCCCTTCCCTCCGCCACGACCACGACCACGACCACGACGACCACGACCACCAAGAGCCGACGTGTGCTAGAAGATGCGAAAGGCGGGGCGACAATGCTGAATCATCGTGCGAGCACCGCGCCTGTGAGACGGGGCAAGCACTCGCAGGTCGTCGAGATCTTCCAGGATGGCGAGGATCCAGAGGTGGAGCGGTTCATGTCGCGCAGCAGCGTGAGCCCGAGCAAGAAGGACCAGATGGATGTCGTTGCGGGACTTCTGTCACTGAGCAAAGGCGCGTGGCGATGACAAGGCGGATAGAAACTCGTGCATGGTGATTTTCAATCGAGCTATGTTTGTCGGTTCCATGGGGGAAGAAAAGGACTTGCCTGGGAGTTTCTGGGAATTTTTGGTTGTGCATAAGGCGGATTCTTCTTTGTATCTCCCTTACTCTAACGGCCACGACGTCGTGGGCCGGGACTGGAGAGGTTGTATATACCCGGCCCAAGGCGCTCTGGAATGTGAAGCTGAAATGTCATGACGAACTTATACCAAAGCGCCAGCTAATCTCGGAAGTGATCGTCCTGCATGCAATGTATGTATGTTTCTTGTGCCTATAAACCAATTCGCTATGCTACTGGGCGGGTCTTCTGCCAACGCCCTTATGTGTGTATGTATGTATGTATGTGAATCTGACGTTTTAATCCGAAATGCAAGCCCAATGCCACATCATTATCATCCAAGAGCAGGCGGCAATTCTACATCCCCAGCATCTGCTTGCGTATGGGGCTGGCCGCAGCACTGCCCTCCTCGCTGGCGTAGAAGCCCGAGTCTGTGTCAATGTCCCAGACGTCGTCGTCCGCCTCATCCTCGGGCGTCCCGGCCGTGCTGTCAAAGGGCTTCTGCGCGGCGGCGCGGACGTTCCATCGCAGGGTGCGGCGGACGCTGTCGAACCACTCATTGTCCGTGCGCGTGACGGTGGGGAAGGGATACTGCGAGGCGGTGATGGTCACATGGTCACCCTGCCGCAGCTCGATCCGGCCTTTGCCGTCAAAGGCACAGTATGCTGTCGCGCGCGAGTCGCGGGGCACGGCCACCCGCAGTGCCATTGTGTCGGAGAGAACCATGGGGCGGAAAGAGAGGGTGTGGGGACAGATGGGCGTGAGGAGGATCGCGGGGATGTCGGGGTGCACCAGCGAGCCACCGGCGGAGAGGGAGTAGGCCGTGGATCCGGTGGGCGTGGAGAAGATGCACCCGTCGGCCTGGACGACGGTGAGCAGCTCGTCGTCGCCGTAGAGCTCGAGGTTGGACACGTAGGGAGACGGCCCGCGGTCAATGACGAGTTCGTTGAGCACCTCAAACTGCTCGCCCTCTTGCGAGTCTCCCAGCAAGCCAGCTCGCCAGACGGTGCAGGTGAAGCGCATGCGGAGGTTGATCTTCATGCCGGCGTCGCCCAGCACGCGATCGAGATGCTCCTTGTACTTCTCAAACTCAAAGGTCGTCATGAACCCGAGGCTGCCCAGGCTGAAGGACAGGACGGGCGGGACGATGCGTTGGAAGAGCCAGGACGTGTAGAGGACGGTACCGTCACCGCCAAGCGTCAACACCAGATCGAACTTCTCGGGCTGGTTCCAGCACATGTCGGGGGTCCAGAACTTGAGCATGTGCTCGAAGCGGGGGTTCTGATTCAGAATGCCCTTCTTGTCGAAGCGTTTTGAGTTGCGCAGCTTGGAGTCGACATAGACGGTGAAACCGAGGTCCGAGCCGTAGCGAGGCGTGGACAGCAGCCATTTTGTCAGCTCACTGGTGAGGACGACGAGCTGGTTGTCACGCGCCTTGGTGACGATCATGACGCTGCGTACAGCACGCTTCAGAGGTCGACGCTGTAGTTGCTTTGACACCTCGCGCACGCTGGTGGCCGTCTGCACGAGCCTGCAATGTGACATGGACTCATCATTCGTAATCTCCTCCAGAACCTTGTCAATGTTGACGGCATCGTCGAACCTGGTGTGGTAGAAGCACGGTGACTTGATCATGGCCGTCTGTGGTGTCGTTGCGTTGCCGGAGAGCACCAGGTCGTTGAGCGCATTGGTCAACCTCTCGCTGGCCGCCGCCGAAGAGGCAGACGGGAGGCGAGTATGTGTGTGGATGGGATGATGACGCTGGTAATTTGAGTCCATGTTGATAAGCGAGAGAGCCTCGGGCTTCTTATTCCGAGACACAGGAGGCTGGGCCCTCACAATGGCCTGAGATGGAAAAGAGGCCTGGGAGGGAGTCTTGTGGAGGAATTGAGATGCCTCCACAGCCGCAGAATCGTCGCTGAGCGCGGATTCCGTCTCTGAGACGGCGGTAGCGGCGGAGGAGACTGAAGAGTAGGCAGATGTTGCGGAGTTGACTGAGGTGGGTGAAGTGGTATTGGTGGTGGTGGTGGTATCTGGGGCGCCGTCCTTATGAGTATCCGAATATCGCGCAGACTGGGCCTCTGTGTCTAGTCGCAAGGCGGTGGCATTGGATCGAGTCGAGGGCAGAGTCACGGCGCCAGAAGGGTCATGTGCCTGATCTTGTCTATAGTTGTTCGTGAGATGCTGGGGCAGGACGGCGGCTTTATCTAATTCGCCGTGTGAGAGTGATGGATGAGATCTGCTGGTGCTGGTGCTGGTGCCAAGGGACGCAGCTTCTGCCAGTGGTGGTGGGTGCGCTGGGTACAGGGGCTGGGGTGCTGCCGCGGCCGCCGCCAGCAGCGCCTTGGGGTGGTCCTTGGCCGCTGTAGGCGCTGGAATGCGTGGCGTCCGGCAGGCAGCAGTCACAGTGTCCAAGTTGATATCATCCATGTTGGGCGACGGGAGTGTCTGGCTCTCGATGTCGTTTCGGATTCCGTCCGCTCAAGATTCGAAATTTGTCCTCTTCGTCCGTCGAGTCCGATGACCGCGACTCGAGCAAGTGCTGAGCCTGTTCTATGACGAGGTCGCGGATTCAAAGGCCCTTTGGATGGCCGGCTTGCGTTATCTCCGAGGTCAACGACTGGACTGTCCTGGAATGGCGTGTGCCCGTGTTCTTTCCAGGAAACGTTAGCGCAGTGATGATGGTCGGGCAATCAACTTGAGCGTACGGATACTGGCTTGTCGATGGGTAATTATGTTATCTGACTTGCAGCCGAGTCGTGGCTAATAATAACGAGCGGACCAGCACAGAGTAATAGCGAACCAGCGCTTTCTTCGGACTTGCAAGGGAAATAACAAGAGCAGGTTTGCCGCGAGCTATCCAGAGCTCAGCGTAAAGAGAGTGTCGATGAGTGTCAACTAGCGAGGCCCATTTGACTCCAGCTCATGCAGTTCCTCCAAGCTCTATTTATTATGAATGCAAACTGTCGCGGCCCGTGCCTCGCTCGATCGTCGCGCCACTTCAACTGTATCAGCATTCTGGCAATGCCATTGAAGATGGCGGTAAGCTAGGATGAGGTGGATCGTCCCAGGCAAGACTTGTCTCGACTTGCGCTGCTGCTCTGCTAGGTATCGGTAGGGGTCAGCATAATCTACACGGTCTAGACGCCGCGCGTGCAGCCATGGCCGGCCTGCTGGCGTCGTTCTGCTGTGACTGCCAAGCTGTAGCAGGCCTGGTCGATAGTAGGAGAAGGGGGTGCTCGCTCAAACTGGCCATGTTAGAGAGGCGGGGCTGCTGATGCATCATGTTGACCGCGGTGAACAGCAATAGGATCCGGCTTCGATAAGGTCTGGCAATTGAACGACCAGTCCCTCAACACGTGGTTTCATGGCCTTGGTGTTTCAGGCACAACTTGTACGGTCGTCGGTAGTCAGGAGGTCGGATCATTGAAATGGGACGTACCAAACCCTGCCACGACTCTACCAGCAAGATTCACATTTCGGCAAAACAAGCTCAGGCGCAGGTCCTGTCTCCAGAGTTCAGGGTCAAAGACAGCTCGGGGTAGCGCTCGAAGTGGGCTGACGCTAGGGGAGAACTGCTTGTCCTGATCTTCCTTGAATGCTAGTCTAGTACGGAGTAGACAGCTGACCTCTCCGTCTGTGGTCATCCACGTACTTGTCACTAATGGATTCCACCCCGACACTCTCGTCTTCCTGAACTGTACGTAGTAGGACCTGTCTTCGACATCCTTGGATGCTTCTTGAGATGGTGGTCGCCTTCCTCATGTGCCACACTCCATGCCGTGTGTCGATGGACCCAGGGGGAACGAAACACAGAGTCACGGAGTAGATGTTTGAGGGACAAACAAAGAGAGGTACCAGGCTGAGCAACAGACTCAGCGTGGCGGCGAAGAGATCCAGCCCAGCGGAGATGGAGGTACGCGTCAGGTGATACAGAAACCGTAATAGCCATTCTGTGTGTGAGAGAGACGCTCTCACTTCCATTGCAGGTCCTTTGCAATTTTCGTTTCCATCACCGATCTGATAAAGTCCCGTATGCTGGTCCCCTCCGTCTCCCCACCCTCCATGGCAACGTCCTCGCCTGCGGACTGGCAGCATATACGCTCGCCAGTCTCGAGAATCTTGGCCCATTCCTCTGGCGTGAAGGCGCCCTCGCTCTCTGACAGCAGCAGGTCTTCGCCACTCGTGAAGCCCACTACGTGCAGTGACTTGGCCTTGGCAGCCTGCACCGCACTTGGGTCAACGACAATCTGGTCCGACTCGGACGGTATCGCGAGCACGGTGGCTGTGGCGATGGTCTTCAACGGTATAGCTGCTGTCAAGAGGCCTAGGATGGACGTGTGCAGAAGAGCTGGGATGATCGTCAAGTTCTGCCAGTCGTCAGTACGATTGCTCTCACTTTCGGAATGTCCATGCTGAGGCTCACCATCTGTGGTTGTGTGATCTTGGAGTTTTCATATGCATTCTCGGGCGTGCCGACTATTTGCAGGGTCACTTGGATCATGCATCGTGGAAAATTCCTGACGGGTATGAGCTGTCGTAGCGCAGACTGAAGTATCGATTCAAGCTGTCGCTCCGCGGTTCCTGGTAACTCATCAGCCGCTTGTCCTGCAGAAACCGTAACTTGAGAAGACCATACCTCCTACTCCAGCGGCAGGTCGTACGTTCACATCGACCAGCGCCTCGAATGCATGCTCGTCTCTTCGCTGTGCTTCCACCGGCCCATTGACGGCGGTAGTAACCGTGTATCCTTGATATGAAAAAGTCGCCGAACCGTCGGACTTGGGGAGGTTGGAAAGCTCTGCAGCCGGAAGCGCTGAAGGGGACATTGTGTGTATTGTGAATTGTGAATGTTGATGAAGACGGTATAAGGGTTGGTGATAATGATCAGTGACTGAACAGACTTCAAAGTTCAAGCGGCTGCCCCACCGTGCCACTAGCCTCAACATCAGCGCCATCAGGGACCCCTTAATTGATGATTACATTCCCTTTCGTCATTCTCCAACTTGGACCCTTCATACATCAACGCAACAATCTTCCTCCACCACAAATATGATGCCCTCGTCTACCACACAACACGCCTCTGCCGCTTCTATTCCGAATCTCAAGGACCGCATTCCCAAGCTCGAACCCCGCCGTCGCCGCCAAACACTTGCGAATCCCACACCTTACCCATCCACGCCCGCCCTACCAGCACCGCCTGCTGGCACCAGCTCTCCCACCCCAGCGTCATGGGAGTTCAAGACGCCCTCGCGGCGCATCCTCTCCCCGCATGACCACGAGCTATTCCAGTCATCGCAGACCGCCGAGCTCATACAAGCGTGGATCTTTGGCATCGCAGACGCCGTAGTGGACACCCCGTGCTCAGCCGTTAAAGATGCCGACTTGACGCCCACCGTCAAGTCCATCTTGTCTATCCTCGACGAGGCCGAAACCTTTGTATTGAAATCACCCCCCGACGAGCAAGGCGGCTCGAGGTTCGGCAACAAGGCGTTCCGCGGCTTCCTCGACCTCGCCCGCGACGCCTCGCCGCGTTGGCACAGACAGATTGGCGTCTCGAGCGACGCCGCGATCGAGGAGGCATCGACATACCTAGATCACTCGTTTGGGAACAAGAATCGAATCGACTACGGCTCCGGCCATGAGCTTAACTTCTTCATGTGGCTGCTGTGTCTGTACCAGCTCCATCTCATCGAGCCCTCGACCGACTTTAAGCCCCTCGCGCTACGCGTCTTCCCCCGCTACCTCGCGCTCATGCGCATCGTCCAGCTCTCGTACTACCTCGAGCCAGCGGGGTCGCATGGCGTGTGGGGTCTCGACGACTACCAGTTCCTCCCCTTCTTATTCGGGGCATCGCAGCTACTGCACCATCCATATATCACGCCTCGGGCTATCCATCAGGATCTCATGCTCGAGGAGCACGGCGAGGAGTTTCTATATCTTAACCAAGTATCCTTTGTCAACTCGACAAAGACAGTCAAGGGCCTGCGGTGGCACAGTCCCATGCTAGACGACATTTCGAGCTCCCGGTCGTGGTCCAAGATTGACGGGGGCATGCGGCGCATGTTCGTGGCCGAGGTACTGGGCAAATTGCCCGTGATGCAGCACTTCTTGTTTGGCAGCTTGATCCCGGCAGCGGAGAACATGGGCACGGACGAGGAGGCGGGCGCAGGCGAGGACGCCGCCGAGGTGACGCAGCATGAGCATGACCACACTAAGCACGGTGATGGGACAGGCTGGGGCGATTGCTGTGGGATCAAGGTGCCAAGCAGCATTGCAGCGGCACAAGAGATGAAGAAGAGAGGCCAGGGGCAGTCACTGCGGAGAATCCCCTTTGACTGAGATGGATGAACATGTTAGGTCCACGAAAAAGTACTGCTTGCGCAATGTACCTCCTCATGCACCTGCCGTGAGGCGTCATGCATCGCACAGGGAGGAGCGTAACGGTATGCCATAACATCTGTATCTCATTATTATTGGGAATATTCGAACATAGCTACCCAGCTATTAGTGCTAACAATAGTCTGTGGCCTCTGATTCCGTTCATTGACCCAACCCAGGCCGTTCCACATTGCATCCATGGCCACACCAAGGAAATTGTGTTCCCAACAAAGGACATTTCTCAAACGAGCTGAAACTCCCACACCGCTGACACCTGATGTTGCAGACCCTGCGATGAGCCACTCCGAAGCAATACAATACACCATGTCCCTTCCAAAACGGCATGCCAATCAAAGCCTATATACGAATTCGAATTTAGCCACCCTAGAGGTATCTCGAAGATTGTAATGATAAAAAATAGGAAAGGAAAGAAAGCGAGGGGAAAGATTCCAAGGATCGTTGGACATCTGCCGGTACATCTGAAGGGCCTCCCACTAGCTCGAGGGCATCGGCCCAGAATTGAGACAATAGGCGGTCATGAGGGGTGGTTGCCTCAGCTGGTGAGCAACGTGGATGTCAATGACAACATCCACCATTGTCTCAACTTCACATCGGAGGCGCTCGAGCTCCTCCGTGTCCGAGTCACGAACCTTCGCGTCGGCTCGGGGCTTGCGATAGGCGGCGAACACCAGCCCTCTGTCGATAGTATCTTGGTCGTCAATGGACGCACAGCGGGCTGTGGACGATTCCTCGTAACGACCCGGGTAAAATGCACACGCATAAGCCCGTGCGAACTCGCCGTCGCTTGGCTGGTCGTCCCTATGCTCAAGCCATCCGTCGGCACGGAGAATACCGCTGTGTACTTTCTCCGAGATCTGGAAAGGGGAAGGGACATTGTGCAGCCCATAGGCAGCAAGAATGCGCCCAGTCATGGCTGATTCTGACCCATGGCGTGATGAGCCTTGTTCAGGCCACAGGTTGACGAGGTAGAGCATGTCAAAGTCGAATTTGCTGGCAATACGAGCTGCCTGGTGAGCCGCAGCGGTTGCCGTTGCGTTCACCGAAGGTGGTTCCAGTGTAAGTAAGGGGCCGCACGAAAATGCTGAAGCATGTTGCCTCGTCAGATCGTCGCCACACACGGACTCTGCGACAGTCACGTCGTCGAGCTGCATGAAGTCGTTGAAAGTTGGTTCGCTCAAAGCGAGCGAAGGTGTGCTGGCGGCTGGTGACAGCACGTCGTCCCAATCGGACTTGGCAGAGCATCGAGAGTCTGGTTGGGCGAGGAAACACCCCACCTCCGGTTTGCCAAAGGGCTGGTCAAGCTGCTTCTGTATATCCCTGCACAGGCTCTCGTCGCGAATATCCAAGGTTGGCTGATCGTCGAGCTGCCATTCTGCCACTGGTCCAAGTTCCGGCGAAGCGTCAGGGGTTAGTGGGCTTACCCAAGGTATGGCCCGGGATCGTCTCTTGGTCTTCGGGTGATGCTGAGCCAGTGGGCTATCTTCGGGGTCGGATGAAGGTGGTGTGTCAAGACGGGAGATTGGAGGAATGCTGATGTGCAGAGGGGAAGTTGGTCTGCTCTCATTGGAACGAGACGGTTTGCTCAAAGGATTCAAGGAAAAGTCAGACCAGCTTGGGCCTTGGAATTGTTCATGGATCAGTGATTTCGGGTCGTCGAGCGCTCCCAGAACTGAAAGCAGCTGCTCATGCTGGATACTGCCGAGAGATGAGGAGCGCACGCGCGAAGCCCTTGCTCGCCGCGAGGTGGCAGTACATCCGGAACGGCTGCTGTTTGCTGAGGGTTTCCGAACGGGTGAGAAACCATTCGGCGTTCGTGAAGGCTTGGGACCGGTCTGCTTATGGGTAACTTCTTCTCGAGCCGCCATGCGAGACGTCTTGGGTCGAATGAATGACGGAGAAGGGAACGAGGGTTCGAGGGCCGGCTGGGTTGGGCTACTTGGCGTGCTCGAAGGCGCAGTGGAGGCTTCACTGGGTGTAATGGAGGCTTTCCTTTTGGAGAAAAACTTCTCGAGTCTGTCGAGACCGTTGGCCATGGTGTTTAGACGTATTTGGAGACTGGGAGGTCACAGTTGGCACAGGGCCTTTGTTCCGGCTCGAGATTTGGTGCTAGTACGATGGCTCCGCAATACAGTTAACTCGCAGTGGTCCTTCTTTATATCATGAGAGATGCTGCTTTCGTTTTGAGGGGATCGCCTGACACTGTCGCTGCGTGTGCCGTGGCCTTCGCAAGTCGAATAGCGAGTCAACTGCGTAAGTTGGTGGCAATCAATTGGTTCGAAGAGTCTGGTAAACTGTATCTGCACAGTTCGAGGCGTTTGGTTCAACAGCTGGTCGATATCTTATGAAGCAGGGCAAGTCTGTGGCGTTGTGAGTCACCGGATCGCCTTCTGGTATCAGTGATATAAGTGAGGACTGCGAAGTGGCAGGGTCGACGATGCGTTCAAGATTTGGGAGCGTGATGGGCACAAGAAACGGAAGAGACCTGAAGAAAACGAGCGAAGCTTTGCAAGCGGTCAAAGAGGAGAAGGCATGAGTGAGAATGGGGAGGCAGGTACGATAAATGGGACGGAGGCAGGTGAGGTGCAGTGTCATCTGTGTGTAAGTGTAGATGTGGAGGGACGCAATCTTACCAGAACAACATATAATTTCAATGTGAGTCGTCTAGGTTGATCTTTCGCGCGTTCAGGGACCCTGTTCGGTAGATTTTCCTCAGGAGCAGGAGGCAAACAGCAGTGAAATGGGCACGAGGCGAGGAAAGGGAGGGTTTAATAAGACTGCGAGACACACCCAGCGAACTCGGGATCGACGGGGCAGGCCGGCGCGCGCAGGGTGTCAGAACTAGCAGGAAGGGCAGACACACCAATGAATTGGCAACTAAACAACAAAGTACCTACTTTCCTACATATAGACGGAGTTGTTGGAGGGACGGGAGCTGCACGGGCGGCAACTCCAGGCCCGCTTGGTCGACTTAACACTTGATGATGCCTTCGTGTCCAAGTCATGGCGCAGTTGTCTAAGCGTGAGACAACGATGCAGCCCCTCCAGTCCCTTGAGTCACTGGCAGGTCTTCCAGGTCTCGTCCCTCGCCGCGAAAAGCAATGACTGGGGCAGGCTGGCAGGCAGCCAACCATCACGAGACACTGCTGAAGTCGTAGGGACGGGCACCACAACTGCGTCACGGATAAACCGACAGCCAAGGCAAGGGCGAGGTACTTGACCACGCCACCCACCGAGCATTGCCCCAGCCCAGCGAGGCCAAGGTGAGAAGAGGAGAGGAGAGGTGAGGAGAGGAACCTTGGCCGAAGTGGATGTGGGGTAAGAGCATACTGGAGGATGAGCTTGAGCAGGTTCGTGAGCACCACCAAGCGTTCACACAATTCGCAGCGCTCAACAAGTGGTCATTTGCATGGATCGAGGATCTGACATGCAGCGATTGCCACGTCTCAGCCAAACTCGGCTGCTATCATGGCACCAAATGCGGGGAACGGAAGCTGCCTTGCCTTGGTCCTTAGCTTCCTTCATGGGCAAGGACGGCATCACGTTACTTTGAGCTGGGAGGATGCTCTATTATACCGTTCCAGAGCCCAGTCCCTCCCTAGAAGCCATATCCGTGACTGAGAGTGCCCAGCCTCAGGAGCAGTTGCTGCTAATTAGTGGCGCGGTCCGGCCCCATCGCGATTGTTTTGTTCCACATCCCGTCTTATGACTGACTGTGGTTCTGGCTAACGTAGATTATCCGCCAACAAGCTAATGAGCTTTTCGCGCATAATCAGACATCCCAATGTTCCATGTACGCGAACGGATTGATGCCAGCACGTACTCGTAGCAGTTCTTCCTAGCTCAAACCCTGCGCTTGAGCCTCCGCCCAAACTGCCCGCCTGCATAGAGCGACGCTATCGCCAGGTGCATAGCATGAAAAGCAACACCAAGCCATGACGCTCACAGGGTCTGCTTTCATCAATCGATCTTATCGAAATCGACTGTACTCGTTAGTCACACTCGTCATTTTCTGCTGCCCTCTGCATAAAGACCCAAGGATGCTCATAATCGGGGTTGGGAGTTGTTTGTCGTCTGGCAGAACGAAGAGTTGAAGCCAGTTCTTCGCTTCTGTTATTAGAGTCCAGTCTGCTGCGAGTCCACTCTAGGCCAGGGAGCGATTCCGGACGCTGACCACCCTTGCCGGCGCACGGACGCCAACCCTCTCTGCTCTAACTAACGTCAGTCGAGCGAGCAGCTTCCAACTCCAGTCATCTCAACTTCTCATCCACATCACTGACACAGCATCAGCCACAAACTCCATCCGACTGCACATGCCGCAAGCCACGCTGCAGTGTTGTCGAACCGATTCCACCATTTGTTCTCCATGGCCCTGCGATCATCTCTGTTTTCTCGATTCAACTTGCCATGAACATCATCGATTTGCGCCACTTTGGACCTCTTGTAGTATGAAACTCATCGCATACATAATTAGGCCTTCTTTCTCACTGAGGAGTGTGCCAGTTATGCCTAGGTACTGCAGGTATCAAACCAGCATATCTAAGTACTACTCAAATGTTGCCTGGTCGCTGGCCCTGTGCCAGACTGACTGCTGACGGTTTAGCAAGAGCTCCCCAATGAAGCGATCTCAAACATCCCCTCGTATTCATTACTGTACCAGCTGTCTGTGTATGCATAGCACGACCCACAGTGTCTCGCGGAAGTTTGCAGCCGGAAATATCGACGAAGAGCTGAGCAACGGGGAGTTACGGATACTCCAGCGTCAAGTCTCCATTGGCCTGCTCTTTCGAGCGTTTCACAACCGACTCCATGGCGAAGGCGCCTCTTCTCTGGTTCACTAGTTTCTGATTGCTAAAAATTTTCCGCGTTTGCGCCCCAGCTCGGTTCCTTGCCGTACGATCTCATGCAGGGTCTCAGGTCCTCAGCTTATTGGGTCTCTGGCCAACAGAGAAACTGCACGCCGACGAGGCTCGAGAACGTCTTGCGGCATATTGAGCTTTTGCGGCTCGCTCTACGTAGTAGGACATGTACCAAGCCAATGGCAATCTAGGCGTCTGGTCATGTCCACAGGTGGACCAACAGCAGGCGCCTGGAGAGCTTAGGAAAAGATCATGGTATTAGAACCGCACACAACTGTGGCCTGTGTGTCCCGTGGCGGTTTTGGAGACTGGAGGTGGTTCTGTGGCATCTACGATCAGATGTATGGTACAGGTGCTACTTAAAGCCCACCGAACGCTTCATGAGAGACTCGGCGATCCTATGCTCAGCGTCCGTGACTACCAATGTGCTATAATTATTGGTGTTCCATTGGCCACTCATATTTGTTTAGTGGTGCTGATGAGTTCTCTCGGTTCGGATCGCAAGGGATCATCGGCGACGAAATGCAGGGCCCGTTTTACGGACATTATTCTCCCTGCCTATCTACCGGCAACGTGCAGAAGCATCATGCATTTGCGGTCAAAAGTTGCATAGTCCGGCGAAACACAAAAGTTTTCTCGGCTAATTCAATGGCAAGACTTCTTTCTCCGTGCAATGTTGACTCTATTGTGGGCTTGTGGCTAGCAAGTCTATTTTGACGCATGATCCGGCAGCAACAGGTCACTTCACGTAGGCACACCACATGCAGACGCTGACACCAGCTTGATGAGCAGGGTTGTAAGTTCAAGACAAGCATTAAATGGCTTGCTTCTGCCGTTCTGCACCATCTCTATGCTTGTATTATGCTTGTATCAGTTTGGATACCGCCTCGTTCCAGACCGTGGCCAGTGCTTCAGAAGCTCATCTCTATACCTACATGCAGTATATCAAATCGCCCACATAGAAGATTCGCTGGCCGCATAGATTTCAAGGTGTCTTGCTATATGGCCATAAATTCATCCAATACTCCTCAACGCTGCAGTCACGTCAGTTATAATGCTGGAATATGTGCGCTTCCTCTCGCGTCTACCGCCATGTCCCCATCATTATTTCCAGTCACGATAGTGTAGGAGCATGAGTCTATTCTTGTATATATGTGTCTCTCAATTTGCTGGAGGATTACATGTATATTGCCCCCCTTCTATTGCCTACCGCGCCGATGTAAAGTTGAATAGCGCAATGTTACGCTCGCTACAACTTCGAGCCGCTCTCATCACCGTCAACCTCTCCGAACAAGTTGAGGAAAGCGTTGTGAACCTCTTCCGTCAGATCGCTGGCCTGCAAGCTTCGCCCCTTTTTAGCAAAAGCCAGTCGGGAGCACTCCTGTTCCATTGTGTCAGTCGCGTGGTTAACAGTTGGATGCTCTTAGAACTTACTCTCGTGATGGCACTGCCGCCAAAAGCAGCCAGGCCAATCAGCTCATCGGCGCTGATCTTGTCCTCACCAATATCCCACAGTCCGTCAAGGTACGCCTTCCTCCAGCCCAGAAATGTGGCAATGGATCCAGTGAGCGTGTCGCCCTGACCACCACTCCTCTTCTTCCCGCCCTTCAAATCATCCACAAGAGTCGTTGTGCCATTCGAAATGAAGTCTTTCCCGCCCTTCTCGATGATTGTCACGCCCCCGAGCGCCTTACACAATGCTTCGACTTTGCCTGTCTCTTTCTCTTCGCTCGCCTTGACGCCCAAGGACTCGCATAGCCTGCCAAACTCCACAACATTGGGCGTCAATATTGCCGACTTGTAGCCTTTGACTAGCTCGGGGCTCTTTTGAACGACCAGTAGAGCGTCGGCATCCAAGACGATGGGCATCTCCTTGTCCCGGGCGGCGCGAATGACTTGGGCAACAGTATCTTGCATGAGGGGATCACGTCCCAGTCCAGGTCCGATTACAAGAACGTGCAGCCTTGGAAGCATATCAATAATTCCAGCAGCGATCTTCTTAGGATCGGTGTCCGCTTTGGGGGTGGAATCTGACAGATGAGGAGACGGGCTTTGGCGCATGAGTGGGTGAACCATGAGATTAGGGGAATAGGTCTTGATGACGGCTCCAGCTCCTGGGGTGCAAATAAGATGGGACTTCGCTTCGTCAGTCGAGCTCTCGGAAAAGCAAGTCAGTGCCTTACCATGTCACAGCCTAGCCTTGCGCTGGCCATGGCTGAGAAGTAGGGGGCGCCTGTGTAATCCTCACTGCCACCGATCACTGCCACTCGTCCGAGCTGACCTATCCAAGGGTTAGAGCACGCATCTTCGACAGAGAGGAGTCAATCCCAACCTTTATGGAATTTCTCAAGCATTGGCGGCACCATGCGCTGGACCTTGGCGAGGACATTCTTCGTTGCGGATGACATCTCGGGCCCAGATGTCGGAGAGCTACCCATGGTTTGATGCCTTGCGGCAAGATGGTTCGGTTGTTGGGAAGATGAAGGCACGCAATGCTGTGTTAGGTCTGGATTCCCGACCAATGGCTGCAATTGGCTGTGGTCGTATGGACTGTTGTATGAAACGTTTCGTAAGTGGCCTGCTAATGTAAAGCTGTTTAGACAAGGCAAAATTAAGCAGGGAGTATTCAGATAGTCGCCGAGGATGCAATGTTGACATGGACATGATGTCACCTCAAGATTGTGGATAGCACGAACGCCGAACTCCGTCTTCACTACCTCATACCGATTGCCAAGTTCTCCTCGACTATAATAAACGAGCAGTATTAGCTATAGATATTAGAACAAGTCTGCAGGTGAACATTAACGACTGGAATATGTCGAGACAAAAAGGGGGGACTAGATATCATGTATTCACTCACATCTCTATTCGATTAGTAGGGTAGTTTTGAGTTCGCATCGACTATTATAAAGGAGTAGCGGGAATCAATACTTATGTCAGTCTATTGGTCAATCCTTGTGACACCGTTAAATTTATTAGAAGAGGCAAGGAAAACGATTGAGTATATTGTTCAGTAGGCCTATTCGGATATTGGGGCCTACGACATTTGCCCTGGATAAATAGTCGGCGAGGGTAGAGGTTAATAGACACTAGGTAGATAGCATAGCTAGCGGACATAGAGAAATCGTAGAATTCATCAGGAGAGGCGACGAAAAGTATTATATATTGGTTGAGAGGTATGTTCGGATATTGGCGCCCACGACATTTGCCCTGGATAAAAAGTTGGCGAGAGTGGAGGTTAACAGACACCCAGAGACGGCACAGCCAAAGGGACATAGACAAATTATAGTTAAACAACAAAGGAAATCGAGGGCTTCAATTGAGTTCTGAGCTCTAATTTACAATGGTGGTACGACTGGCGATATCTCCTTGCATCACCTGTCGTTCGCTCCCTCCGCCTCTAGAGGAACTAAAACGACACAACAGTTATTGGTATAGCCACCAGCTTTCCAGCTTCTCTTTCTCAGTAGCCCCCACCACAGCATCTATTCACCTGCACGAGCCCATGCCCACTCGTCGTATAGCGCTTAACCGAGGAAGCTCTTGGTGAACGAAACGACGGTGTCCTTGAGCTTAGCCTCGAGGTCCTTGCTGAGGGCACCCTCCTTGTCGATGGTGGAGAGGAGCTCAGACTCGTTGGTCTTGAGGTGGGCAATGAAGTCAGACTCCCACTGGAGGATCTTGTTGACAGGGACGGTGTCGAGGTGACCGTTGACACCAGCGTAGATGAGGGGAACCATCTCGTTGACAGCCATGGGGGAGTACTGCTTCTGCTTGAGGAGCTCAGTCAGACGCTCACCACGGTTGAGGGTCTGCTTGGTCGAGGCATCCAGATCGGAACCGAACTGGGCGAAGGCAGCGACCTCACGGTACTGAGCCAAGAAGAGCTTGAGCGAACCAGCAACCTGCTTCATGGCCTTGAGCTGAGCGGCAGAGCCGACACGCGACACAGAGAGACCGACGTTGATGGCGGGGCGGATACCCTTGTAGAAGAGCTCAGCCTCCAAGAAGATCTGGCCGTCGGTGATGGAAATAACGTTGGTGGGAATGTAGGCAGACACATCACCACCCTGGGTCTCAATGATGGGCAGGGCAGTCATGGAACCACCGCCGTGGGTCTTGTTCATCTTGGCTGCACGCTCCAGGAGACGAGAGTGGAGGTAGAAAACGTCTCCAGGGTAGGCCTCACGACCGGGGGGGCGGCGGAGGAGCAGCGACATTTGACGGTATGCAACCGCCTGCTTGGAAAGATCATCGTAGATGACCAGGGAGTGCTTTCCGTTGTCGCGGAACCATTCACCAATTGAAGCTTTTAGGCTATTAGTACATGAGTTATTGAGTGCGGAGTAGTCTTCACTTACCACCGGTGAAGGGGGCGAGGTACTGGAGAGGGGCGGCCTCGGAGGCAGTAGCGGCGACGATGATGGAGTACTTCATCGCATCGTTCTCCTCAAGAGTCTTGACGAGCTGGGCGACGGTGGAACGCTTCTGGCCAACGGCAACGTAGACGCAGTACAGCTTCTTGGTCTCGTCGTTGGTGTCGTTCCAACGCTTCTGGTTGAGCATGGCGTCGAGAGCGACGGCAGTCTTACCAGTCTGACGGTCACCAATGATCAGCTCACGCTGACCACGGCCAATGGGCACCATGGCGTCGACAGACTTGAGACCAGTCTGCACGGGCTGGTTGACGGACTGGCGAGGCAGGATACCGGGAGCCTTGAGCTGCGAACGGCGCTTCTCGGTGGTCTTGATGGGGCCCTTGCCGTCAATGGGGTTACCCAGAGCATCGACAACGCGGCCAAGCATCTCGGGGCCGACAGGAACATCGACAATTTCACCGGTACGCTTGACGGTCTCACCCTCGCGGACGAGACGGTCAGAACCGAACAGGACGACACCGACCTGGCCGGCCTCGAGGTTCATGCACATGCCCTTGACGCCGGAGGCGAACCTGATAGATCGTTAGACACGGATGTGTGCGTTGTTGTTCGAGGTTGTACTCACTCGACAAGCTCCTCGGCCTGGACGTTGGCCATACCGTGCACACGGGCAATACCATCACTGAACCTCCGTTAGCCATTCATCCTGTGAAAAATAGCGGCCATGCGAAAGCGTTGCATCGCGCGTCAAGTATAAACTGTCGTCGCAGTGTCGCATTCGGAGGCCACCTTGCACAATTTCCACATACCCGACAGACAGGACACGGCCGGTCTCGGCAAGACCAGACTCCTCCTGAACACCACGGATCCTCTGCTCGAGAATGGAAGAAACCTCAGTCGGCGAGGCCTTGGCGTCGGCAGCGTAGGCGCGGGTCTGCATGGCAGCGCCGTTCAGGGCGGGTGCGGCATTTCGGACCTGGGGGAAAAACGATGTTAGCCGAAGTCCAGCCTTGCGATGGAGAGAGAAGCAGCGCGATTGCTCAGAGAGCTCCAAAAAAGCTCAGAATCGCTTATTTGGAACTCAATTGAGCCGACCGAATTGATCCCAGATGGATGCACGATGATCGCAGGGTGTTGTCGATGGCGTTGGGTGCTCGTCGGTGTGTTGGGTGAGGCGTAGTGAGGAGACTTACCGCAGCGACCCTGCCAGCGGCAGAGGCAGCGCCGACAGCGCGCGAGGACTGGCGGAGGGCGTTGCGGAACATATTAGAGGAGATATGTGAGGATGGGAGACGAGAAGAGAGCAATTGCAGCGGACGTGCAATTGGGGAGAGGGGAGATTGAGGCTCGTGGTGTTGCCTTTGCTGAAGAGCAAGATTCGGGGGAGTTTTTGCAGAGAAGAGCCACTGGAGACGGAGCAGAGTCTGAGGGAGAGGAAAAGCGGGGCGGAGCTCGGCTGATCCAATCGCCGCTGCGTGCGCGGTTTTGCCCTGGAAATCCCGATCCCGAATGGCTCCTCTGCCACTGCGCGGCTGGCCTTCGCATCCGCTGACCTCCACCAGACAATTTCCATCTGGGGAGCCTTAGGCATCACGGCTGCCATCATGCATGCGCGTTGGCCCGGCAGACATCGCATGGTCTCAGCACGCATTGACCAGCCGCCATTGAGGAAAGATCTCTTCACCGCGATGAATGCGCATCATGCTACGACAATCTTCTCAGTGTAATTGAGTATTTCTCAATAATCTAAATACTCGATGTGGCTTCAGAACCTTGATTGCACCGGATAATACCGTGAGACACGTAGCGTGCCATTGAAGATGAGGCGGCCTGTAGGGAAGCTGTGACCACCATATGAACTGCGAGCTTGCATGCGCTGAACGAGCCAGCTGTTCATCTACAGCCACGTCGCCTTGTGCTTTGCAATATCGTGCTGTCGTCGAATATTCTGCAGCATGAGCATACAACGGACGCTTGCACCATCTACGTTCCGGTCAATCCGCTGAACATCGACGATGCCAGGCTCAGTCAGCACGTAGGCTACGACACAACCTAAGAAGTTGCGCGACCAAGGTGTCCCGTCACCACGCCATATCAATTCGCAAGGTAGGGAGAGCAACATGGAAATGCGCTGGGGCGGTAGGTGACGTGCATCACATTCATGATATACGAAAGCCGGCATGACGCCGGTCGGTCTCTGAGGCCGTGCTCGACTCTATTCCAGTCGGAGCAAATGCAAAGTGCAGCGGAAATACATGTCCGTGAATTCCCTTTTGTTCCCAAGTACTCCGTTTCGTAAACCATTCCGAGTGAAGCTAAGACAGAAACCAGCAGAAAGACCCATTGCCCCGTCTATCGGACAATGCCGTCGAAGCGCTGCTTGAACCACTTGACAGTCTCGTCGCGCTTGATGCGGTGGCTGGCGCCAATGGTCGACTTCATGCGGCGGCGGCGGGTGACGCGCTCACCAGGGCGGGTCATGCAGCAGTAGAAGTCCATGCCGTAGATACCGATGGAGGGGTCGTACTTGATGCCGAGATCGATGTGCTCGCTGATACCGAAGCCAAAGTTGCCCGTCTCGGAGAAGTTACGCTTGCGGAGCTCGTACTCCTTGACCTTGAGGCCACGCTCGAGAATCTCCTCGGCCTATCGAGTGTTAGGATCCTGCCATGGATATCGAACAATCGGTGCGGTTTACCTTGGGGCCTCGGACAGTGACGTGGACAGAGATCTTTTCGTTACGGCGGATACCGAAGGTACGGACAGTGTAGCGGGCCTTGCCTTGAATTGCTGTCAGAACCGGAAATTCACCTCGAAAGCGATAGGTTGTAGCACATACTGTAGACAGGAGTCTGACCAGACAGCTGCTCGAGCACCTTGGCGGCACGAGTAAGTCTGTCACCAGACTCACCAACGGAGATGTTGAGAACCAGCTTCTGGATCTTCAACTCCTTCATGGGGTTCTGCGTCTTCTCGGAGGCCATGGCTGCGGTATTGGTCGACGACGGTGGTGGTTGTCGAGGTGGTTGTCGGATGGGTTGTCGGATGGGTTGTCGCAATGGCGGAATTGGGGATGCGGAGGTTTGGTAGATTTTGTGAGGCAGCCGAAAATTCGAGGGTTTCTCTGCCCTCGCCGGTGTGCGAGGGAAATGTGGGCCATACGCTCTGTCCCATTTTAGCTTAGTGGCTTCTGGAGGTACATCGCGGATGTACCTCGATCTTTCAGCCTTTCCGGTCAGGCTCCGCAAATTCTCAGTCGGACCTCATCCTCGACCTCCCAGCACTTGGAAGGTCAACGTCGCAGTCGCGTAACAGCATCTGTGGCCAAAGCTCAATTTTTTGCATACCACGAACGTTGCGCAAGCAATTCGTTCTAAAAATCAGTCACCATGTCAAACAAGCAGGGAAAGATGGTACGTTTCCTCGCAGACCGCCCCGTCTGGACTTGTGGTTGGAAGCTTTACTGACGCGATATTGATCATATAGGCTGGCTATGTACGTACCGTCCCTTCAACGACCTCACCCGATCGAACGACACGCTGTACCCCCCAATTACCGAGTCGCATGCTGACGTAGAGTCTGCAGATCAACTGGCGCATGCGCGTCACGTTGAATGATGGTCGCGCCATGACCGGCCAAATGCTGGCCTTCGATAAGGTATGCGTGAATCTGGTCCGGATTTAGACACGAGCTGACAACAGAAAACAGCATATGAACCTTGTACTGGCGGATACCGAGGAATTCCGCCGCATCAAACGACGACAGAACAAGCCCGCGGCTCCTGGCCAAAGCGGCACGCAAACCGTCGAATCTGAAGAGAAGAGGACATTGGGCTTGACCATTGTCCGCGGTGCCCACATCATCTCTCTGTCCGTCGAATCGCCGCCCCCAGCGGATCCCAGCGCGAGGCTGAACAAATCCGGGCCAGCTGGCATCGGCTCTACGTTGAGTGCTGGTCCTGGAGTCGCGAAGCCCGCTGGCCGTGGTGCTGCTCCTCCATCTCTAGCCGTACGCTTGGTCTACCGGTTTTCATGGTATATTTGACTGACTGTTTCTTAGGGTCCTGCTGCTGGTGTTGGCCCTGGTGCGCCTCCTGGCTTCCCCGGCTTTCCTGGCGCTCCCCCCGGTTTCCCTGGTGCCGGACGCGGTGGTACGACTATTCCCTCTTGCGATAACAAACATCCAACTAACGAGATGCAGGACCGCCTCCTGGCTTCCCCGGCGCCGGTGGCTTCCCTCCTGCGGGTGGCCCTCCCGGCGGCTTCCCTGGTGGCTTCCCTGGTGCTCCCCCAGGCTTCAACCCTGGCGGCGGGCCTCCTGGGTTCAACCCTCCCCCTCGACGATGATTCTTTTATGGCGCACATGGTGAATATTGTTTCGGGTAGACAAACGGCAGGCAGCTGTTTTCGACTGGATAGCCAGGACATCAATTTGAGGATAATCACGAGATCGACCACCATTGGTCAAGAAGAGAAATGTACGTGTTTTCCTTTGACAACTCAATCTTCATATAAGTGTTGACTGAATCGCAAAAGACCCGACATCCTCAGGGGCGCTGTTGCGTCTGGGTGTGAAGTCGTAAAGCTTCAATGTGACATTGCTATTGTATAAGTATCGTTATGAGATCGGCATGGGCGCAGTGTGGTGCACCCGGGATTGACGCATTACTGGGATATCTTATCTGACTATCTACGAATTTAACGACTTGAACGGATTGACTGACTCTACCTACGCCTCATCACTGCGTCGCTTACACTCCGACAGCGTGACTGAATACCCTGGCGGCAAGCTGGCTCAGCAGCCTCGCCCTGTCACCTTGCGGTAATTCCTGTTCACCACAGCGTTAGGTACTGTCGGCACACTGCACGTTGATATTTACCTGGAAAACCGAGTAGACGCTCTTGCCCTTGGCGTCTCTCACAGCGCCGAGCCTGTTGCCGGCGACTGCACCCGCCACTGCGCCGGGTACGTTGGCGACGATGAAGCCCAAGGCGCCGCCGCTTGCGCCGCCAATCATGCTCCAGAACCTGCTGGTCGGCCTGTTCGAGCCATCCTCCGCCATGCCCTCGTCGCGCATCATCTCCTCAAAGACATCCTCAAACTGCGCATCCTCGGTGCGCTGCCTATCCTCGGCATCCGCGGCGCCACCGCCGCTCTGGTTCTTGAAGAAGTTCCACGCCCATGACGGGAAACTGCCACCAGCCCCGGCCGCGCCGCCAGGGAATGCGCCAGGGATCTCTTCGTCTGGGTCGCCGAACGGGTCGTCTGAGCTGCGGCCGGGTTCGGTTGATGGTGCGCCACCGAACAGCTTGCGCTGCGCATCGTAGTCACGGCGGCGCGTGGGGTCTGAGAGAGTGTAGTAGGCGTCGTTGACGAGCTGGAACTTGCGCGTGCGCTCTGCACGGTCTGGGGATTCTGACGCGACCCTATCGGGATGCGTCTTCAGTGCCGCTCTAGGTTCCTTGATCAGTATGTGCACATTAATGGCATGTTTGCTGCGACAGGACACACTTTTTATATGCATTGCGAATCTGCTCTGTGGTTGCAGTATCCGATACTTCTAGGATTGCGTCTAGTTGTCACTGTGTAAGCGCCTCACGTTCCTCGCATGGCGGTCTTGGCAACTCACAATAATTAGGCGGTGGTCCCGACATGTTCGTTCTGGCTTATGGGAAATGAGGGTGCGTTGATGAGCAAGCCTTGCGAACCAAGATGAATTAGATCTGCTTTGGATTACCGTTACTTGTGACAGTGAAGACTGCCATGACGTCGGGACGAGGAACGTCATGTGTGGCGGTGCGGCAGCAGGGAAATGGTGCGCCACCTGTCCTCTTCGCGTGCTCTCACTTGACATCCTGCACACCCTACACCCAAACCCAAGACGACACTTGAGCTGATTTGATGACTGTTGCAATTGACATACACAGAAAATGCGACATTACTCAAAAAAGCTTGAGATTATGATTAAATATATGTCTATGTGAGTCTTCTCTTGCTTGCTTGAGTTACAAATGCCCATGGGATGTGTGTGTACACCAATGTCCAGAACACTTCCTCCATGCGTGGGTTATGTAGATGACACCCACAATCGCTATGCCCATGTATCATATGACCGGTGATCCCAGTGACCAGAGGGATATCTTGTGCGCGAACGCAAATTCCAAACCCCAACTCCTATAATGCCCCGTCGAGGTCGCATTAGACCTTCCCATGATTAAGTTTGTTGTTCTGGGCTCCCCCTCTACTCGCCAGCCCTGGAAAATTTTATCCTGGCAAATCCTCTAAATAGTCCTTGGCCCTGTTGATGGCGTCCTCGGCGACGTTTCTTGCTTCGATATTTCGCCCAGTCCGTTTGTAGTGGTCGGCCAGCACCCACATATCCCTGACGACTCTCAAGTTGTTGCTAGCTCCATGGGCTGTCTCGCGGCTCATGATAGCATGCTTCAGATTCTGTTCGGCAACGTCCCAGTCGGACCGATCCTGGTGTACGCGAGCGAGCATCTTGCGTGCATAGGCGTGGAAGCGTGCGTTGAGTCTCGGGTCGGAGCCAGCCCCTTCGGTGTGACTGAGGAGCTGGAGTGCGAGCTGCTCGGCTTGAGGCTTGTCGCCCAAGTCCATCTGTGTAAACTCGAGCGTCAGTGCTTCGACACGCAGGCAGTTGGCTGTGGGAACGTCGCCAGTGGCCTGGTATATATTGCTGAGGTTCCGAAGCGCGGCTGTCAGTAGCTCGCGCCGTTGCTTCAAATCACTGTCCTTCCGTAGCTGCGTCCGACCGTCCCAGATCAGCTGCTCATACAGCCAGAGGTGCTGAGGCGCGAGCGACCCGACCTGCTCGCCGAGTATGTGTACGTTGCGCAGCCATGCTTGGTGTAAGAGATGGCGTATGTACTGTCGCCCTTGGTCAGTGGAGTAATCGCACTGCCGTAGCTGCACCAGAATCTGCAGGAGGGGATGCTGCGTGGGAAGCTGCCGGTGCGCTAGCACTGTCGCGTGCTCCAAAAACATGCTTAGAAGTTGAATGTGGCCCCTGTCTACCATGTCATAGATGGTGTCAAGCATGTGCCAGACGAGGTCGGGATGGTCATCGGTCAGGACATATTCGAGGACGTAGAACCCCTTGCGCGCGGCCATGCCGGCCAGGTCACCTCGCTCGTGCTTCCAAAGATCAAAGACAAGCTCAAAGGTGCGGTACATGGTCCGGCTGTCCTGTATGGGGGGCTGGTTTGGGTTGGCCAGATAGTCCGACATGGGGTCCGACGAGAGTCCGTGGTTTTCCAGTTTGGCTTGGCTCCAGCTCCACACGTTGCCCAGGACTATCTCGAGTCCCGTGTAGGGGCCCTGCCGAGAGACCTGGAGCGGGAGAGAGAGCGCGGTGTTTTGCTTGGTCCGGTCAGGGGTGCGAACGACCTCCTCGACGCCAGCGTCATCTTGGTCGGTTGACTGCTCCGCAAAGGATTCCGGGGTGGACACTGAGGTATTCAGTGAAGAATTGATGGGCGTAGACTTTCGATAGGTTCGCTTCCTAATGTTCCATTTCTTGAGGCGCTTTTTGTACATTTGTTCCCTTTATGCTCCATCAGTCGACATGTCCATTGGCACAGCAATACGCACCCCTTTTTCGAGAGGAGGGTAGACCCACGTGGCAGCAAAGCCGTGTTTGGACTCGAGAATGGCCATGGTCTCGCTCAACTTGCGGTTGTCCTGGATATACAGTTTCTGGATCAGTTCCCGCTTGGCTTCCCATTCGGCCTCGGTGTGTTCCTTGGAACTCGGCTTTTCGACGACCGGCGGCGTGACGCCTGCCAGGCGAGGTGCCAGAACGGGGAGCGACATGGCGGGCTGGCTTGTATCTCCCATCTCCCACGGCACCTGGCTCTTGGACCTCTGGACGATATGCCAACGCCCCTAACGGTATCCTTGTGCAGGTGTGCGGCGGACGGGTAGAGCTACCTCGTACGGTCCGCACGAGAACCAGCTGATCATCAGAGCAATCTTCAGGCGATGTCAGTGCTGCTATCATGGTCGCTCGAAGGAAATATATGTACAATAGGAACCTTGCAGAGAGGACTCTGCGAGTGCCCAAGCATGATTGGAGGTCACGCACAAGCAACCTTGGAGCCCATATGCGGAACCAGGGTCAAAGCCCGCAGTTATACTTTACACGGCCGCTGTGCCATTTCTGGATCTCGAGCGACCCTTCATGCGTCGGCGAAGACCGTTAGTTTGAGATTCACCGTTGAAACAGAGGCCCGGGTGATTGGGTAGTCAAGTTCCTCGCGTTTCGAGACAACAGCCCAATCAGAGGAGCGGGGAAGCCACCCGGAGCGGCAAGTGGATGGCCGCCTCTATGTACTGTGCCATGAGGCCCGAAGGGGCGGAAAGTGGAAACCGCCTGAGGTCGTTGGGGCGGGCTCCCAGGCGCAAGCAGGGCGGCGGAAAAGTGAAGGGACCTCGGAGGCTGTAGGACTGGACGTCGTTGTGCGGAACGCGCCAACGTGGTACTTGGTAGAGTTGGTGCCGTCGACGGAGTGTACTAGCTTGCTCCCCTAGCTGCACAGCCACCATAGTCCCAAACCCTATTTCGCGACGATCTGGCCTAGAACGGTCGTCGTCGGGTGATAATTGGGCGCTGGTGGGTAATATTAGCGAAAACTGTACTGGGACCCCAGTCTGCCAGTCCCGGGCCTTGGTTCGCAGCTCTCCAGGGGACTGGACATGGAGATCATCACCCCACGAGTGCCGTCGAGCGGTGTCCTAACAACAACAAGACACCGAACATTACGAATACATCGCAGCCTGACCCAGCCTTACGTGGGTGTCTCCAGTCGTCCATCCCGTAGACTTGTCGGACCGAACTTGTATGATGGGGCTTGGTAGCCTCGTAGTTCGTGCTAGTAGGCAGTGCAGTGGCGGCCCCGCGCAGGGTGCAGCCCTGTACAGAGTATGAGTAATCTATTAAATCCCCTGATCGGCACATTCGACTTGTATTGGCGCACTAATCAGTTAGTTGTTGTCAGTTGATGCTGAGACTTCGGATCCGCCTATCTGAGTACGTACGGATAGAGAATTTTTTTGTCGCGCATGGCTACTCTGTCTGCGCCATTGTTCTTGGTCCGCTTGGCACTTGGCAGTCACTGAGGCGGTTCCGCAACTTGCTCGACCTTAGTACTAATAATACCTAAGGTACTTAAGTATTTACTGCCTGCACCGCGTTGACCCATGGCCGTTGAGCGACTGAACGCGCTTCGTCTTGAATAGCGGGCTCGGACAACATGGCCCATCCGTATCAAAAGGTCCCCTGTCGTCACGGCACGTCCTCATGAGACAGACTCCCTTTGGGTTAAAGCAATGTAGATCCGCTAGAGTTGATGCCTGATCGTCGTGTGAAGTCATGGTGGCTTGCGAGTCGCACCGTCGCATCGAGGCGAGCCGCATTGCCGCATCGACTCCAACTTGAATGCCGACGGGGAGAGCAAGTCGGCTTCGTTCCCCAAGCTGAAAAATGCCAGGTCAATAGTACGCCATGTGGCCGTAAATTTTCCTGCCTACTGCGAGCCATCCGTGCACTAGTTACGCCATGCCCCTGAAATAATCGGGGTAATACATACGGCTACTCCGTGGCACCGTGTTCGCCGTCGTCATATACTTGCGGCGTCTATTATTATTATCGGGTGCCCACCATAATCATTACGGCGTAATAATGGCATCTATCATGTCTAATGGCCTGCAAACTCGTATCCGTAAAACAGTGCAATGAGGGACAAGCGCACGAACACAGCTGTGCCCCCTATTCGCCAGGCTCGTCGCCGATCTTCTGGAGCTTGCCCATCTCCCGCTTGGCCCCAGCCTCTCCGATCAATCTGAGCCTGTCTACGCGCACGGTCTCGGCCTCCCCATCGCCTCTCTGCACGTAGACGATGACTGTGTTGGTCTTTTGGAACTTGACAAACCGCAAAGGAATGTTGGCAGTGCCATTGGCGTTCCAGTCATTCGGGCCAAGCTCGATAGCCTGTGTTGGTTCCGAATCGTCGGCCTCGCTGAAATCCATGTTCTGCGGTCGGTTGATGAATAGGCGCACGACGCCAGGCCGGGCCGGGGCGTCGTCGCCTTCTGCAGGTAGCGACGTGATCTAAAATGTATATCAGAAACGCATGCCAAGCAAACCAGTCGCGGTCGACGTACTTGTAATGTGTGGAGTTTGACGGTGGACTGGAAGGGGATGTAGAGCAGAAGCTGGTCATCGGCGCCGCTCTGCACATAGTCCCTCGACGTGCTCGCCTTTTCGAAGCCAGTGGGCTTCTGGGTCTCGAACAGAGTCTTCACCGTACCAGCATCTTCGTCCGCGTTGAGAATCTCGCAATTCCTGACCTCGACCTCATCTGTAATCTCCCTGTAGCCTCGAGGTACATCGGCACCAAGCCATTGGCCACCACTGCCACTGCCACCACTGCCACTGGCCTCCCCCATGGACTCAACTTCCGAGAGCAGCTTCTGTACAATGTTCTTCAACTTAGTCGGGTCTGCCCCTTGGACCGTATCTTCGACCTTGCCACCCCGGAAGACGAGGAATGTTGGCAAAGCGGTCACATGGTATTGGGCGGAGATGTCGCTGTTGTTCTCGGTATTGACCTTGGCAAAGGCGAGGGCGCCAGGACGGGAGAGCGATTTGGCGAGAGATTCGTAAACGGGCGCAATCTGCTTGCATGGGGCGCACCAGTCGGCATAGACTAGATTGAGCGTCAGCCATCCATTCCAAACCGGCTTTCGACGATGCTCCTCCTGGGCGAGCGGGAAGCTGAGGGGCGCCTGGTGGTTTCCTCACTCACAGTCAGCAACGACAAGCGTTGAGCTTCGGAGCAAGTCCTTGAACTGCTGCGACGAGGTGATCTCTGTTGGTCCCTGTGCCATTGTGACGGAGTACCTTGACTGGAGCAAATGTTCCACGAGCAAACGATCTGCAACTGCCAAAAGATGCAGCTCGCGACTGGCGCGAGTGCGGGGCAGACACCTGCTTACTAAGGTGAGGTAAGGTGCCTTATCGATTAGCCGGGTAGTATCGCTGTACTGGGGCTGACATCATTGCAGCCCGTACTCTCTCGCTCAAAAATTAAGCTTGATTTGTTACTCCTCCATTTTTCAAACAGGTTGAGGCAGGACGAGGTTTTAGTAGCTTGAAGTAATACGCAGAAGTAGTCCTTAAAGTAATGGAAGCTTTAAGAATATGCATTGCGGATATCGCATTCAGTTCGACTTGCGATGGGTCCAACATGCGACCTAAGTAAGTACGTAAAGTAACAGGCCCCGCCGCTCCGAGTCCTAATTAGATCGTGGGCGGCGCTCCGGGGTCCGGATAACCCACCTTCAACCACCAGCCTTCAAGGCCAGCCTCCAGTCGGCTACTATCATAATTACATGTACTTATACGGAGTACCCAGCGAACGTTGACGATAGCTGTAGGCTGCCTGCTGCCTGGCGGCTGGACTCAATCGGTGCACTCCAGTTGGTCAACGGCGGAATGGCCTACATCAGGAAGGACCAGCCTGGCACTCAAGTTCCGCCACCGCCCTTTCTTGCAGCAATCTCCATGCTATTGCGGCTTTTCTCATCTTGGGGGAAGGTGCCGCAAGGGTTGCGGCCTGACAACCTACGCCAAAACCTCCACGGGACCTACAGAATTAGGAAATTGTGACTGGCTGACCACCATCGAGCCGGAAGATAAGTATATGGCAAGACCAGAATGCCATATCCGGGCCAGAATAGGAGACTTATCATAGAGAGACGAGGCTGAAGCCAGGTCAAACAACAGTCGGGTGAAGTTGCCGCGAGGCTGATACACAAGGTATCGTACTATCTGAGCAGGTGAAGTGGCTGGCGTCGATTACCATTGCAGCATTCACATGTTTGGCAAGGTGAGGTATGTAGTAGGTACCTTGCATGCCCTCTTTAGCACTAATAGCAGGTGGCGGGTTGAACAACACTTCCGTCAATGCCTCCTGCCGAGCTGCCGCCTCAGTTAACTGGACAAAGTGCAGCCTACAACTGGGAAATTCAATCATCAACCATTCCACTACCCATAATCTCATACAAAGGGAACATCACATATGATATCCGACCTTGTCAGCTTTTATGAGCAGCGTCCTATCTTGTATTATCGCCTACTTTAGTCCCGAGTCCGTTCACGTTACACGACCCGACGACTTCAGGCGCCAACGCACGCCAACCTGAGGCTGTTGTGAGAGAAAGCAAACCAACAATCCCGGGGCTCCGGATCAACACTCTATATCTTTCTTACCGTCATGCCGTTATGACAAGCTCCTGAAACCGACCTCGCTTTCCTGGCTCTTCCCTTTATTTCTGCGCGGTGCTTGAGTGGGCCTGTAGTCTCGAGCATCATTGCCGGGTCATATTGAGGCGCAACTACCACGAACATCTGCAGTCAAAGAACGATGCCTCCTGGACGACACGCGGCATCCAGGGCAAGCTCGTCAAACAACGGAGACGCGAAGGCGCCGCAGAAGCGCGAGCCTTCCAGAGCAAGCTCGTCAAACAATGGAGACCCCAAGGCGCCCCAGAGACGCCAGCCTTCCAGGTCACGGAACGCGGCAAGGTCCGAACCGTTGTCCATCTTGGAATCGTCGCGGATGTCTAGACTACAGCCCGCCCCGATACCACGTATCAACCCATGGTTGCAAGGTCTAAAGTTGGGCGCGAAAGTTGAACCGTCACAGCCAATCCCAGCTCATCTGGAAGAAGAGTCACCATTGCCGTCCGCATCCCGGAAGAGGAGTCGACCAGCAACCTCAAAAAAAAGGTCGGAGAAGGGTGAACCGAGCGTAGCCAGTGGCAGTCCAGAAGGTACTGCCAATGTCCCAGAGTGCCCAAACGCTCCAAGGTCCACGTCAAGGTCTCCGACCGACATCCTGCGACATCACTCACGCAGTCCAACGTTGTCGCAAACTACAACAGCAGAGCCTGTGTCATTGGAGGAAATCAACAGATCGACGCGATCCCCGTCTACGAGCTCGGAGGCTTCGCGCTCAGCTTTGATAGCAGCAGCTTCGCGCGCCGAGTCAAAGTGAGTTATGGCGCGTACTCGAAACTGGCCATGGCATTGACAATAGAGAAGTCTTTTCGCGAATCCGATAGGTGCTGATGTGCTCGTGTGCGCCGGCAACTGGTCCTGGAAAGTTCATCGCAACATCTTGGTCAGAGAGTCTGACTGGTTCAAAGACAACCTACCGAAACTCCAAAAGGTAACTAGCTCAGTGCAGCAACTACAGAAACAAACTGACGTGACCACTTCAGGGCGAAGACCTCATCAAAATTTCGTTTGAGTGTGCGCCGGAGACTCTCGGGTACTGCATCAGATTCATGTACATGCAAAGTCAGTACTGCAAAGCTTGTGGCCTCGGGTGACCCATGTTAACTTATCGCTGCAGAGGTAGAGGGGCTACTGGAAGCGAAGCCCTTCGACGTAAGCCATCTGCCGCGATGTGTCTTGTGCTATTGCGCCGCCCTCTACTTCCGAACCAAGGGCATGATACCTCCAATATTGGGTATTGTGGACGCTACTGCGAAAGATCTCTGCGAAGACCTGAGCGGATTGCACCTGAATAACAATGGAGTATCAACGACGGCGCTACCTTTAAACGAGACTCACCTTCTCGATGCGCTTGACCTGATATACAGTCAAGAGAACCAAGTCATCATGGAACCCATGCGGATTGCCATGGTGGCGGTACTGGATGCGACGCTGTTCTTTCAGCTTCACCGGGATGCATTCATGGAGAAGCTGAGAGCATATCCCTGGATTTCACGAATGCAAACAGACTATGCGGAATTCCGTCGTCAAACTGGGTTCAGCCGTCAGGGCTTGCTTATTCCCAGTGGCGAGGCATTGGACACGATACTTGCCCATCCAGACCTAAAGCACACCGCTAATATCGAGATTTAGCAGGTCCCGAGGCCACAGACATATTGGCACCTTACCCGATCCTTCTTAAGCTCTCCGGAGTCATCTCGGGCTGTTGCGCAAAACCTGCGTCGGCCGAGCTCCCAGGCCACAGCAGGAGGTGGACGAGGTGATGGTCGACGGGTTACCTTCGACCTTGGACGCCACTCCGTGGCCTAGGGTGGCGTTTTCGTGCGGGTTTCCAGCAGGCGGACTGTCTCATTTGATCCATGGTCAGAGATCGTCTCGTAGAGGACATCAAGGACAAGTGCACACTATAGTCTCTCTCGCTCTCACCCGAGATAGTCACTAGCACGCAAAGCACGAGGACCTGGCGACTATACAGCGGAGCCCCGAGCGTTCGAGCGTGGATGGAAGGAATCCATGGGTATCTCATTACGGAGACAAGCGGCATTTGACTAGAGCGTTTTGGTTCCTAGGATTTGGATTATTAGAGATACCAAAGTTGCAGTCAGCGAAGACCGGTCTGAAAGATATTATGTGATCGAGTCTCGCGCGAAGCTCAGTTGCTGGCGCAGCGTACAACTAGAAAAGCGAACGAAGCGGATGTGTTGTAATTCATGTTCAACAAGCCCCAGCTATTCCAACTGAAATCAAACAAAAAACTGCATTGCTTTCATTATTCATAATCGTGCAAATAAAAAATCAGTATCTCCTATATCGGTCATCGTATGAATCATAATAATGATCGTGGCTCCTCTCTCTCTCCCTCTCCCTCTCTGTATCAGTGATGTGAATTCGGGTCTCGTCTTCAATCATCCGCCGTGGAGGCTCCTCGCGGTACTCGATTCTTTGTGGCGCATGTCGTCTAGGCGCATCCACGTAGCGGAACGTCTCGTACTGCGGTTCCTCGCGAACGGGGTATGGGACTGGAACAAAGCGATCGCGCTCAATGTACACCTCTCGCTCAAAGGATTCCCGTCTGTCGCGCGACCTGGATTTGGAGCGCGACTTCTTCTTCTTTGGCTTGCGCACCGGCGTCGGGTCAATGTCGACAGAAATGACATCTATGGGATCCGGCGTAGGCTCCCTCGGGGGCGGAGGGGGAGGAGGTGGTGGCTCTGGGATGCATGGCTCTGGTTCCGGGACTGGGAGAGCAGGAGGAGGCGGTGGTGGAGGGGGAGGTGTTGGCTCGCGAGGCGGTGGTGGTGGCAGAGGCTCGTAGTAGACCGGAGGTGGAGGAGGTGGTGGGACGAAGCGAGTGACCGATTTGCGCACAACGGCGACGTCGGGTTCTGGGTGACCCAAGTAGAGTCGCTTCTTCGTGCCGTGACGCTCGCGAAGGGCTGAAGATGGTTAGTCTTTGGAGCGAAGCCGGCGATGAGTGCGCAAGTATGTACTAACCCATGATGAGATGCTCAGCGACCTTTCACAGGTTTGGTGGGCGATGGCGGTTTTGACCTCGCGTGTGGCTCAGTCGTTTCTAACAATCGGAGCAGACAAGCTGATGGAATCAGATGCGAGAGTATTTACGCGCCAGAACTTTGAGAATCAGGAGGTAGACCGGAGCGGTTGCTTGGTATTATGGCATGGTCACGACGACCTCAAGGTGGGGGGTGGTATGACGTTGTGCTTGACGTTGGGCACATGCATGATTTCCAAGATTTGCATCGCAGATATTGGTGATGGAAAGCTACCACTTTAGTTAGCGAGGTTGGCGTTTTCCTGCTAGTGCAGTATTTCACAGCCTCCTGCGAGCAGGGGAATGCCCTGTAGATTGGGTTTTTGTCCACAATTGGACAGGAAGTGACCAAAGCACGGATACGTAGAGCAATGTTGTCTCCTAATTATGATACATTACTTTTGGTACACGGCCTGAAGCTTTGATAGACATGAATCCGTGCGCCATTCAGTGCCCGGATCTCGTCAGTCTCTAATTATGCCCGTGCTATACCAGTCTCGGATGTACGATTCCACCACATTCGGAGCTGCTGCTCATGCCTCGAATCTTACTCCGTACTCCGTACATATTAGTCCTTCGGCGGCTAAATGTAATCCAAGGGGCATAATGCTTGCGGCAGCAGGGGCCTCGATAACCATCTGGTGGGGTGCAGATGCAGCCTCCATTGCGATCGCTGTTCTTGCCTGTGGGCAGATGCAATGTCAAGTTTCAGCATTGCAGCAAATCCAGGTACACACACGCAGCTGCAGCACCGACGGCGCTGATACGGGGTTGATATCCAGTTTCAGCTGTAGATCGTAAGGAGTACGCGCCAAATAAATATTACCCACGACATCTCTATCACGGCCCCATGCCTCGCGAGATGGCGTTTGTATCGTCGTGAGTGATGATTGTGGAGAGCATTCCACACCGCTTGTCCAGGGCTCGTTATTGATTATCAGTAGTTCCTGGACTTACAGGGGAATACCTGTTACGGTCAAACGGTTGGTTGAAGTGAGACAGCACAATGGCTGGCACGGGCTGGTTTACATTAACTGCATCCGAAGAAGAATGTCTAAGCGCGAGTTATATCGGCGGTTAGGAGGAATCCATCGAACGTTGACTGAAGTTACTGAGCCGCCCCTATGTCACTGTCAATTTTGGGCGACCCTAATCTCACCTTCCAAGTTAGCTCATGCAGGATGCTTCAACGGGCTATGTGATCGACTGCGTTCGTGTTATTGACGGCCTCGGAAGCTGGGCTGGCAATGTACCTGAGGTAAGGTGGTCTAATTAGAATGCCAGGAAGTGTCCCTCCTAGGCTTCTATCACAGCAGTTGATGTTGCCTACTATGTAATTAGTAAGCTTGAAAATGCAGCGCAAAGAAAAGAGAATTGCTCTGGACAATGTTATCTAGCGGGTCTTGTTAAATACCAGGTAATTACTTACTAAAGTAATTAACCTGCTTTTTGACCACGACTGGACCCGACAAAACCACCTTGGGAAAAGGACTGTAAAGTCCAGGCTGTTGACTCGCTGATTCGCGCGCTGGAAATTTGTATGGGGCACCAGCGCTCCGGCAGATGGCTCAGATGATGCGGCCTGGCCCATCCACTCTAATTAGGTCCATCCTGACTCCTGCAATCCAGGATATCACTCTTCCCCCTGATCCTAGCCCGAAGCATTGCCAATCCCAGTCTGGTCTGGGCACCGTCTTGTCTATCTGCTGGTCATCGGACTCTGGCTAAGACTGGCTCTGCACAACCGCACGCGGGAACTAATTACTCAGGTCGACACATCTCGACGACTAGCCCGCGCAACGTCTTTCCTCGTCGACTTGGGACCTCGCTCACGGCGTCAAAAGCTTGCTTTCATTGTCTGCTGTATCAAGACCTGCTCGTTGCTTGGGTCTCTGCCGGCTCGACCCCACTGACAAGGGGTGACGGTCCCCAACCAGGGACAGGCTACAGCACCACCTGAGATATCCATATTTCGTTCTCTCCTATTCGATGCCGCCAACGACCCGGAGTACAGGGACCGGCAAGCCACTCATCACAGCCTCCAGTGATCTCTGGAGAGGCTGATCGAAGATGCCATCGCATCTTCTAACTTCAACCTCGCCTCGCAATGCGTCGAATCCGTATCCGAATAGCAGTAGCCAACCCAGCTTCCTCAACGACAGCCCTACCGTCGTCCGCTCGGTGAACACTACAGCCTCGACTTCGAATGCAGAGCTCCCCTCCCCGGCTTTTCCAGCACAACAGTAAGCATTGCACATTTTCTTGTCCTCCTGCCACAAGGCGCGTGTATGTCCGAGGTCCTGCGCCGGATGCGTTTCACATGGGTTCGCGCTTGACATACCCCGTCTTTTCTGCTTTACTCCCATTGCGCACTCCGTACCCCGTATCCAGTTGCTATATGCAAGCTGCTCTGGTCTTCCGGATCGTTGCTCACATTCATGCCGCACGGTCCCGTTGTGCAGGCGCTCCTGTCGTGTGACATCTGTACCCTCCTATTGTCAGTTAGTGGCATCTTACTCACCCACCCGTCATTGCAGAAGATATCCACAACGGTCGACACCTAGTCCTTTGGCAACAGGCAGCCCCCGAAGCGTGACGTCGCCGACGAGTCTGAGCCCAGTATATGACAATAACTCACCTCGCGCTCCTTACGTACGAGCCGTGAGCTCGCCCATGAAGAGAGAACCACAATCGCCAGCTGCCAGGCAGACCACGTTCTACAGCGACTCTTCCACCGCACCCAGCCCTGAGTCGAGTCCTAGGTTAGTCGCTACATCATATTTGACATTGGCATATTGTATCTGACCGAGTTCTCGCAGACTACCGCCATCCACTCATCCCGATGATTCCCCCGCCTCGACCAGCCACTTGAGTTCGACTTCGAAATCACAGGCTAGACCTGTCAAGCCGGCAATGGCTGGTCCAGTCGCCGCAACGAAGAGTGCATTGGACGCGGAACTGACCCGGAAGAACTCGATCGATTCTGCTATTTCGGCAATATCGTCGCAAGCTCCGTCAACACAGAATGGGGGACAGGATGCGTCGTATGCGTCTTCGGACGTGGCTGCTCTTGTGACCAAGGCTGGGAGTGCCGAGGCGGTCATACAAAGTCTCTTGAAGGACAAGCACTCGCAAGCTCAACAGAACAGCCAGCTCTGGCGACTTGTGGATAAGCAAAGAGCCATGATCCTTGGCCTGAATAAGGACCTCGAACGTGCCCTCAAGGAAAAGGAAAGATACAGGGCCAAATTGAAGCAAGCCTTGTCGGGCCCAGCACCAGCAGGAGCCGATATGGGACGACAAGATTCGCAGATTCTATCTGGCCCCAGCTTACCACAAATCGATGTCAAACGGGCCACGGAGGTGTTCAACAACCAAACGGAATCCCCAACGACAGACTCGCCAATTCAGAATATGTCTCCTATCAACACTGTCCTTGCGCCGTACCCAACATCACCTCCACTGGGCGGATTCACGACGGACATGATTATGGCGGAGCCAGCCGAGGCGATGCCAATCCCTCAGGAGCACGCTTACGGCCAATATGATCCCGACGCTGATGAGAGAGCGGCCGAGCAAATACGCAAGCAAAAAGCCGAACAGCAACAGCCCCATGGGCTGCACTACACGAGCGCTCTACCACCATCTCGTGGACTGCCGCCAGATCCACCGAGGGGCCCGCCACCGAACCCGCCCAACCGATCACCTCCCAGTGTGTCTGTAGTGGGAGCAACACCACAAGTGGATGAGGGTATCTCGAGTTTCCCGGTTCCACCTAGAAAAGCGCCGCCCGCACCCTTACAGCTACAGCAGCATATCGCCCACGAGAACGCAATCGACGATGACACAGACTCGGATCTCGACGACATTCTCGAAGTGGGCGAACTAGGCCAGAAACGAGGCCGCAGGCGAACACGCGCAGAAGATGACAGGGACCGGGAGATACGTGCCTGGAAAGAAGCCGAGGCGAGAAGCGCATCAAAGAAGAGCAGCACAAGCAAGCCCGCGTCGCCTGTCGAGCCATCGCCCCCTATTGTTCCCGGAGCGCCTCATATCATCACACAAGAAGCTGGCACCGCATCCCTTGACGCGGTCTTATCAGGGAGCGAGCATAGTAGGGAGCTCATGATGCCGCCTCTTATGAGCCCAGGGCTTCCCGCGAGCCCGAGACCCGGTGCAACGGCCAAGGGGTCTACTCTTCAGTCGCCGCCTCTATCGCCACGGACAATGGGCAACTACCCAGCAGCGCCGCTGTCGCCACGACCACCGCGAGCACCGATACCGCTCCCACCAAACACGCCTCTTGCGACACCCGCGGCCGGCCATGGGGACACCGTGACCAAGGGACCAAAGCCCGTTGCGGCTCTTTCGAGAGAGACAGGGCCCTCAACGAACTCGACCAGGAGTCGCGACAGTCCAGTCGAAAGAACACAAATATATAAAGGACTGACAACTGAAGAATATCCCGATCTTCTGTTGCCGCCCAATGCTCTTCCCTCTATCACTATGCAAGTGGCGTCGTCGCGGATGAAACCATCGCGCGCCAGTCTCATGTCCTTGACGCAGCTAGAAGAGGATCCCGTCTTTACTTTGGCCATCATCTCGAGATCGGACGGCGGCGAATTGTGGCGCGTCGAGAAAGACTCGGCTTCGCTACTCAAGCTCGACAGCAGACTCAAGCAATGTGCTGCGTTTACTGCCGTCACTCCTGACCGGTCGCTCTTTGTCGGCCATGCGCCCGCAAAGGTGGACGCGCGCCGGGCGGCACTGGACCACTACATGGATGAAGTACTCAATACCCCCTTTGACCTTGCTACAGCACTGGACTTGTGCAAGTACATATCGACAAATACGCTGCCACCCAACACCGACGAGATGGGCGGCTCTGTAAATGGCAGTGTCGAAGGAAGTTCTCATATGATTGGGCCCGATGGGCGACCAATCCGCAGCGGTTACCTGACCAAGCGCGGGAAGAACTTTGGCGGCTGGAAGTCGAGGTTCTTTCTACTTGACGGGCCTCTACTCAAGTACTATGAAACGCCCGGCGGCGCCCACCTTGGCACAATCAAGCTTCAGGGCGCGCAGATTGGCAAGCAGCAAAATCAAGGTGGCGAAAGCCAGTCGCCCAGTCAGAGCGGAAACGCTGAGGATTCGGAGAGTCAATATCGGCATGCCTTCCTCATTCTGGAGCCTAAGAAGAAGGACTCGAATACGCACGTCAAGCACGTGTTGTGTGCAGAAAACGACCGCGAGCGCGACTTGTGGGTTGATGCCTTACTACAATGGATCGACTTTGGTCGCGACGACGATGACGGCCACGATAAGAAATCGAACGGGGCCTCAAAATCTTCTTCGGGACGGCAAGGAAACAAGAGCAAGAAGGGAAGCGGTAGCCAGGCCAAATCGAACCACCATGCGGCTGACTCAGATGCCCTCGTGGGGGTGCGATATGACGCAGTTCAGCCTGGAGATGCACCCTCGAATAGTTTGGCAGGCCGCCTCAAGCCGTCGGCCGGTCCTGGTGAAAGCTCGCAGCTGGCAGGCGACACGATGAGCTCTCAGGTCAAGATCATCTCTGGACCAAAAGACCCACAGCCAATATCAGACACAGCTGCATGGGGCAACAAATCCGGCCTGACTGCCCCTACGTACGAGGAGAAGAAGGCTCGAAAGCGTAGTTTCTTTGGCTTTGGGCCCAAGATGCGCTCTAACTCGGACGGGCAGGATTCGATCCCAGGCGTGGGCGACCTTCACAGCTCGACACCGCCATCAGGGCATTATCATGCCCAGACGCCAGTCCGCCACGTCTTTGGCGCGCAGTTGGCCGAAGCGGTTCGGTTTTGCCCGCCGTCCGATGTGAATGTACCGCTACCGTCTGTCGTCTACCGTTGTATCCAGTACCTCGATGCCAAGGACGCCGTGCTGGAAGAGGGTATCTTCCGACTGAGCGGATCTAATTTGGTGATCCGTCAGCTTCACGAGCGCTTCAATACGGAAGGCGACATTAACCTGCTCACGGACGAGCAGTTTTACGACATCCACGCCATAGCATCCTTGCTAAAACTATACCTGCGAGAACTCCCAACATCGATCTTGACAAGCAATCTTGCGCCGGAATTCGAGCAGACAAACGCCATCCCTGATCGTGCACAGAAGTTGGGTGCCCTGCGGGAGTTGGCGCAGATGCTTCCCCTTCCCAACGCGACTCTACTCAAGTACCTTTTGGCTTTCCTCATCAAAATCATCAACAATTCCGACGTCAACAGAATGACGGCGCGTAATGTGGGCATTGTGTTCTCGCCAACCTTGAACGTACCAGCACCTGTTTTTGCGACCATGATGCAGCACTACGAAGCCGTGTTTGGCATTCCGCCTGAGCAGTACGAGCTGCCAAACTCAGGGTCGGAGCCGAGTAGCCAGGATACCTCGTCACGTTTCGAGCCACCAGCTCTCGCGAGACCATCGACGTCATCTGGCACGCCTTCGCCCCATCGCCAGCCACGCATTGATCACACACGCGACTATCAAAGGTCAACGCCGACCCCGCCACTGTCGAGCCTGAACCCAGCCCGCGAGTCGCCGACGCCTCCTCTCAGTCAAGGCCACAGCTATGAGCAGAGGTACCACGCCCAGCAGCAAGACCCTGGGCTACGGGCTCCTCGCGGCGGGTACGACGCAATGTACGGCGCGCCTCCCCAGTCAGCTACACACAGTGCCTTCCCGCCCCGGAACCAGTCTGCAGCTTATGACCGTGTGCAATACCATCAGCAACCGTACCCAGAGAACAGCTCAAAACTGGCCGTGCAAGATCAGACACACGGTGTTGGGAACCGCGGCCGACGCGAGAGTGCCATGTACATGGGTCTCCAAAATCAAAGCTCCAGAGGCTACCTTCGCGAAACTCCACGACAGTGAGGGTTCCTGCTGGGCGCTCTCCATTACATGGCCACCAATCTTTTGCTTTGCACATTTCTGTTTGCTCTTGTTTTTGCCATATTATAACATCATGATACCACTTCTTGCTTCATGATACCAATTTTTTTTTTACGTTTCATCTTCGTCGCATTGATGGAGTCTGCGAGGGCAGTTTGACATGAAGATATGGCTTGTTTTAGGAATACTATCTGGAGTACATGCCCAGGAGTTGGAGGCAATGGTTGTCGAGATAGCTCGATCACATTCTGGACATAATTTCAATTTCCATAAACCTCTCTTGTCCTGATGTCGGTGTCGTGATATGAGCGAGCGGTACTTGGACCAAGGGACAGCGACCATGTAAGGTAGTGCAATGCACAAGGACAACGTTACTGAACCCCTGAAGCTTGATTCTGGTGTCACCGAAGCAAGCACACGAAGACTCCGGAAGGGTTCCAAAACAGGCGAGGTGTCCAGCATTCCAGTATCAGGGCAGATCGTACGCACATCTTCACGCTACTTATCGACCCTCGGGTGACACAAAGTTTCTGCTATACACTGCCGTGAGGGAGTAACCACTAATAGCGACTGCGCGTAACGTCGCACTTGATCTCACAATACTGAGAGGTAGATGAGTAAATAGTGCCAACTTCAACAAGTCGAGGTCCGCAACTTGCAAGCATGACATGGAGTCCATCAGCAGGGCTTCTGAAAACACTGCTAGTACCGAAACCCCGAGAGGTGGTTGCCAACTTAGCGGCCTAAGCCTACCTATCTTACCTGGTAAAGTAAAATCTAAGCTGCAATCATACAGTGGCTTCAGTTAGTCCTTAAGTCATGAACCTGATTCAGTATCATGGCGTGAGGCAGAATACCTGAAGGTCCCTTATTGTTATGGTGACAAGCTCAGTGCGACATTGGTGGGGTCCGTGTTTGCGGGGCAACTACCTCCGTTCATGCGTCCCAGTGAGTCCCAATAGACCTGAATGCAGCTCCATGTCTTCACGAGGCACCGACCCGTTCCCATTCATGTTCACATATCTTTGACTTTTATTCCTCCAAACGCGCCATCGATCCATTACAAAAGAATTGACTATCGTACGGCTGCCAATCTGCTAGTTTCATTTGAGACGACGTCGCTCGCAGTCTAGCGCGCCACCAGTGCATTCGACCATCCACTGCTCTGACCTACGTATAAGACGGCAACATCACCTTCACCATCGGGTTAGCACGACATCATGTCGGCAGGCATGAGTGGTCGGCGTTTGATGAAGGAGCTGGGTAAAGTGCGCAAGACGACCCTCGGCACTTTTGATACGCGTATCAAACAACTGCTCACACGTCGCGTGTTAGATTCACAACGATGGGCTTCCTCCCGGGATTGAGCTGGTCTCGTCTGGGGAGAGTGAAGCCGACAACAGCGACTGGCTGCTCGACATCCGCGTCCTGGACGACAATCCCTTATACAAAGACCAAGTCTACCGGCTGCGATTCAGATTCCCGAAAGCATATCCGATAGGTACTTACAATCTGCACCACCTGTCCTCCCGTAATTTCGAGACTGAGCAACTGACGTCCGTGTCAAGAACCACCCGAAGTGACGTTCGAAAACCGCCCCGACCGACCGATCCCCATGCACCCTCACGTCTACTCAAATGGCATCATTTGCCTCGATCTCCTTGGCAGCCAAGGCTGGAGCCCCGTGCAAAGTGCGCAAAGCGTCTGCATGAGCATCCAGAGCATGTTGACCAGCAACAACAAGAACGAGCGCCCCGAAGGCGATGAGCAATTCGTCAAGATGAACAAATCGAGACCGAGGGATATCCAATTCTTGTATGATGATAACACTGTTTGAGCGGAGAGTAACATCAAATTGCGTTTGCTATGGCGATTGCGGCGATAGTGGAATATTAGGTCGAACTGGAGTGATCTGGTATGGCAATGTGTCGGCCAGCCTCGTGCAGAGATCACGGCTCTAGTCAGAAGAACGGCGTATTGGTATTGCTTTCTGTATAATGCGACGCGGCATCCTACGCCTTGATCGCGAACATATGGACCATGAGCCGCGTCAAGGCGAAGAGGGGAACTAAGCACTGCCATTTCTAAGAGCATATTTCTGCTTGCTAATTCCTGAAGGAATCTAGCATCGTCCAAGGAAGCGCAAATCATTCAACTCTCTTGCATGTTCGTTACAAAGACCACACGTCTAACCCAAGTGAAGAATGGCGATCACCTCCACCATCCATAGCACTATAAGGTACATGTAGCGAATGACGTCGCCAAGTCGAGCATTGTGCAGGCAGGGGTGGGGGAGTGATCGGTCGGCGCCCGGGCGGTTCATCACGCCCCGCAGCCCGTTCGACGAACCTTAACCTGAGCTCCAACGACTGGAGCAGCTCCGATGCCTACCTCCAGCATCTTCACCGCTCAACGCTCACAACGAATCTCTTAGCCCGCTGGCCGTCCCATTGACTCAACCTCTGCCTGCGGTGAGCCGTCATGGCTCCACGCACAGAGTTCAGTATCGATCAATTGCGCAACAAGGCTCGCAAGGACCTGCTTTACTTGCTCGAGGGTGTACGTAAGGCTCTCTCTCGCTCCCGTTCGCGCTTTCGTGTACGTCTCAGCTAATCTCACGCTCGCTTGTCTAGGTCCGGGGTAAGAAGAATGTGGTCCTTGATCGCAGCCTCGTCGGTCCGGTTGGGACCATCGTCAAGGTCTCGACACTCCAGGAATACGGCGTCGATAAGTTTTTCGTCCTCGAGAACGACAATGTCGACTCAACACAGAGCAACGTGGTGTTCATCGCGCGAGGAGAATGCGGGCGTCATGCAGAGACGATAGCAGGTCAGTCGCCCACATCGACACTCAACCGCCGTAGCTTCACGAATCCACCACGGCATGCGAGCTCGAGTGTCGAGCTGCGTTGCTGACGCTCATTGTAGCTCAAATAAAGCGGGTGCGACGCGAAAGTCAGATCGGCCACGAGTTTCACATCTTCTGGGTTCCACGACGAACACTCGTATCCGATCAGTTGCTCGAGGAGGCTGGCGTCCTAGGTGATGTCAACGTGTCAGAGCTGCCGCTTTCTTTCTTTCCCCTGGAGAAGGATGTCTTGTCACTCGAATTGGACGACGCCTTCCAAGATCTATATCTCTCGAAAGACATTACGCCGAATTTCCTCGTGGCAAAGGCCCTCATGGACATACAGACCAGCCACGGGCTGTTCCCGCGGATAATAGGCAAAGGAGACAACGCCAAGCGAGTTGCTGATCTGCTTGTGCGCATGCGACAGGAGGCTCTCGCTGGCGAAGACTCAACCGAGGCCAGTCGGGCGGGACTGACACCGAGTACAACGAACGAAGGTGTCATTATCATTGATCGTGAGGTCGATTTCGTGACGCCATTGCTCACGCAACTTACATACGAAGGTCTCATCGACGAAGTCTTCAAAATCCAGAACAACCAGACCAAGGTCGACACAACCATTGTTGGAGCGCAGGCCCAGTCCTCTGCAACAACGTCACAAGCCCGCCAGCAAACCGTCCAACTCGATTCGAGCGACAATCTATACGATCAATTGCGCGACGCCAATTTCGCCATTGTCGGTTCATTGCTAAACAAAGTTGCTCGCCGGCTAGCTGAGATGCAGTCGGACTACGAGGGAAAGCATAAGCAAAAGAGTATCGCGGAGCTCAAGGAATTTGTCGGGCAGCTCCCGGCATATCAACAGGAACACCGGAGCGCGCGCATTCATACAGGCCTGGTAGAAGAGATTATCAAGCATACACGCAGCGATCAGTTCAGAGGATTGCTCGAGGTACAGCAGAACCTCGCGGCTGGTGCAGATCCCTCTACGCAGTTGGAGCGTATCGAAGAACTAGTGGCGCGGAATGCACCTCTCCGCGAAATCCTGAGGCTACTCTGCATCTACTCGTGCATATCGGGAGGTATCAAGCCTCGGGACTTTGACCATTTTCGAAGGTTGATCCTGCAAGGATATGGGCATCAGCATCTGCTGACGCTGAACAACCTGGAGAAGCTGCAACTCTTCTTGTCGCGATCATCGTCACTTGCCAACATGATACCCGTGGCAGGCAATGGCAATGGAACCAAGACCAACTACTCGTATCTACGTAAACAGCTGCGGCTCATCGTGGACGAGGTACAGGAGGACGACCCGAATGACGTGGCCTACGTCTATAGCGGCTACGCTCCGCTGTCTATCCGACTTGTACAGTGTGTCCTTCAGAAGCAGTACTTATTGAACGCGACAAAGGGTGGCACTGGCGGCGGGTCTGGCGGTGTGGCCTCGGGCGTAGGTTCGCAGGGCTGGCATGGATTCGACGATGCAGTGAAGCATGTTCGCGGACAAACTTTCTACGAGCACCAGAAAGGCGAGGACAAGGCCGTCAAAGCGCGAGCTTTGTTGTCTGGAAACGGGAGCCGGCAGACGATGTTCGTGGTTTTCGTGGGTGGTATCACGTTCACTGAGATTGCTGCCCTGCGCTTCATCGCGAAGCAGGAAGAGAGTAAGTCGAAAGCCATGTATGATCCCGTGCCCACTATTAACGCAGTGTCAGGCCGGCGAAACATCGTCATATGTACAACCTCGATCATTAGCGGAAACCGAATGATGGATGCAGCCCTCGAGACAGGCTCCTTCGCGAAAGAGCAGCCGGTCGCTTCGGCGTGAGCTTCAAGGCGACATGCTCTGTCGATGAACTGGATGCAGTGACAGAAACCGGCCGTGTTATACCCAATAATTAAGGTTGACATTGAGTTTAACAAGGATCATGTTGCCGTTGGGATGTAACATTGAATCCGAATCGACGGAGTCGGAATTCTGGAAGTGGCTCTCAGTCAGGACTTAGTTTTGCACGTGACTAGCGACTCGACGACGCCTTCAGCATCGCCAGCTTTGAGGGGTGGCCAATGGAAGCCCCCAGTGTCGGTCTATACCATCTCCTTCCATACCCAGTATAATTCAAATATATCCTCCAAATATTCCCTCTCGCTTTCGAAGAAAAAAGGGACACCCACTTGCCAACAAAGAGTTTGTGCTCCTGCATCGCCGAGGAATTGACTTACTCTGTGCCAAGGGTCAGCAACAGCAGCAGCCAACGAAACCATCAGCCATATGTTATGAGGCATCATACGATCAATGCAGTTCACTGACTTATATTAGAGGCATGGAATAAGGTCTATTCTCTGTCGAACAATGCATCGATCGTTGACGATAGATCGTTTGCGCTTGTACCCATAATATCCCGGCGTGGCGCGCTCTGATTGAGTTTCACGATATCATCGCACGTCTTATATCGTGCCACGCTAGACAAGACGTCGTCCATTACGACCTACGTTTCTTCCGATGGCGGCAACAGCCCCAGATCATACATATGAGGGCCTCGGTACGACCGATGAGAACGCTCGTGTCTGGAAGGCAAATTGCTCCACCGCAAATTCGAACCATCATCACGCGGCTCACCCTACGAGTCCAATGCCATCCTCAGACAGCCATGCGCGCCATATCCGGGCATCATCGCCTCACAGCTCGGCATCGTCTGTGCTCTCGGAAGTCGACGTCGATGCATTGTCCGACATCCGATCCGTGAATATCGATAGTGACGAGGACATGGACGACGTGGGGTTCGATGATGTAGACGGCGGAGAGGACGATGAGGCTCTGGGGATGGTCTCATCAGCCATGGATATCAGCGGGTGAGTTTGGCCCCAGGTTACTCCTGTTCACTACATGATGGTGCCGCTCGCGGAAGGTGAGCTTCTGAGTCTGACCAAGTATAGCAACGAAGACGAGGAAGGTGACAATTCGCACAACAACGATATCGCACCCCAGAACTCGGTCGACGGTGTCGTAGACTCATTCGGGTCGTCTTATTCGGATATTTCAGATATATCTTCGGTGCCGTCAGACATCTCCAGCAAGGCTACAACCCCTGTAGATGCAGAGGGCGCTGAGGATCATCGGGAGGAGGAGGAGGAGGAGGAGGAGGAGGAGGATGACGGCGGTGACGATGAAGAGAGCCGCGAGGACGCTTCTCAAACCCCGACCACCACGTACCGCCCGTCGTACCACCACGACATCGACCGCCTCGCCTTCAACGTCCGCGCAAAATCATCGATCCCTACCGATATTTCCTCACAGCAATATGCCTCTGAATGCATTTGGGCTGCCGAGACGTCGAGACTCAATCCATATGCTCTACATCCCGAGGAGTATCTTTTGTTCCGACATCACATTTCACACGCTCAAGTAACGACGTACCTCAATATCCGCAACGGCATTTTGCGTCTATGGTTAAAAAACCCTCGCACAGGCGTGACGCGCAAGGCTGCCATAGGATGCGCCAATGCTCGTTGGTTCGATGCTGCAAGTGTGTGCTATGATTGGCTTCTTCGGAGGGGTCACATCAACTTTGGTTGTGTGGACATCCCCAGTTCAGGCCGTTCTTTCACCGGGGAACCCCCGGCCAAGAAGGCCAAGACTGTCGCTGTGATCGGGGCTGGCTTCTCGGGCCTTAGTTGTGCCCGCCAGCTGGAGTGTCTTTTCAAACAATATGCTGATCGCTTCCATGACCGTGGGGAGGAGCCACCTCGCGTGGTTGTGATCGAAGGCCGAAGCCGGGTCGGCGGTCGAGTGTATTCTCGAGAGTTAAAAACACGTCCAGAGCAAAACAATCCGGCTTTTGCCAACAAGCGGCATACAGCTGAGATGGGCGGCATGATCATCACCGGATTCGACAGAGGCAACCCGGTGAATGTTTTGGTCAGAGCTCAGCTTGGCCTGTCGTATCGTGCGCTCACGCCTGACACGACGATTTACGACAGTAATGGGAAGGCGGTCGACATAGATCGGGATCAACAGGCTGAACAGCTCTACAACGACTGCTTGGACAGGGTGAGCGAGTTCAAGCACCTGTCACAGCCCTCCAAACTCATTGAGGGCAACAGTGACCTCATCGAGGAGGGACGTGACAGTCCTGGCGACGGCAGCCGGACGATCATGCAGGCCGAGAAGGCAGCCGCCGCGTTACCCCATGCATTACCCATCTCAAAGCAGAGCGTGCCGGATAAGGTGAACATGGTGCCCGTCTCCTCTGACAGGGTGACTGGGCGCGTCCACATGCAGCCTGGTGTTGCCGCAACACTAAAAGCTACAGAGAAGGCAAAGATGATGGGGTGGAAAGTCAAGGCTGGTTCTCACGAGAACGACAGCATTGACTTGACAGCCGCTGCTCAAGAGGATGATGCCACACTTGGCTCCGTTCTCGACCACACAATAACGCAATACCAGAACTTTTTGGACCTGAGTCCTCTGGATCTGAGACTTCTCAACTGGCATATCGCCAATCTTGAGTACAGTAACGCAACCAGCCTTCATCTGCTCAGCCTCCCTCTCTGGGACATTGACGCTGGCAATGAATGGGAAGGGGCACACACAATGGTCGTTGGTGGATATCAGAGTGTCGCCCGTGGATTACTGCAATGCCCAACTCCACTCGATACCAGGATGCAGCACCCTGTTGAATCAATCAAGTACAACAGTGCTGATCCTCAGGAAGGCTACGCCACAATCGTGTGCGAAGATGGGACCGTTGTGGAGGCTGACAGTGTTGTTTGCACAATACCACTCGGTGTCCTCAAGCGAAACACTATCAAATTTGAACCTCCATTGCCCTCGTGGAAGCAGGGCGTCATCGATAGGCTTGGGTTCGGGATCTTGAACAAGGTCGTGCTGGTGTACAACAAGATCTTTTGGGACGCTGATCGAGACATTTTTGGCGTTCTTCAAAATGCCCCTGCCCGTAGCAGCACCGCCCAGCAACATTACGAATACAACCGCGGCCGCTTTTTCCAATGGTTCAATGTCACGCATACTACGGGTTTGCCGTGTCTCGTTGCGCTGATGGCAGGCAAAGCTGGTTTCAAGACTGAGTGTACGGACAATGCCTCTTTGGTCTGGGAAGCTACCAATGTCCTACGCAGTATCTTTGGCAACGACGTGCCATATCCTGTTGAAGCTGTGGTGACCAGATGGGGCTCTGATCGCTTTGCCAGGGGCAGCTACTCATCAGCTGCCCCTGGTATGAAACCAGGCGATTACGACGCCATGGCCCGGCCCATTGGCAATTTGTTCTTTGCCGGCGAGCATACCATCGGCACACATCCTGCTACAGTGCACGGAGCGTACCTGTCGGGTCTGCGAGCTGCTTCTGAGGTCCTGGAGGAAATGCTTGGTCCGATTGAGGTGCCGACGCCACTGGTCCTCCCCAAAGACTCACTACTCCTTCACAAGCGGAATCAATCGGCTCTTGATCCACGCCGGGCTCGTTTGGAATCTTACGAGCTGGATGTTTGGGCTCATGTCCGCTCCAAGATTGGAGAGCGGCCTGTGGCTCCTCCCAAGGGCGCCGTGACTGCCTTCAGCCTGTACAGCAGGCAACACTACGATGAGGTGAAGGCAAAGTGCGAGACGAATCGCAAACCAGGCAAGACTCGCTCCATTGGCAACGAGGTCCGGATGAAGTTAGCCAAGATGTGGAAGGCGACATCGCCAGACGAGCGCGAGCCATTTGAAGAGCAGATCGCCGAGAGCAAACGTCTCCATGCCGAGGCCATGCAGAAGCACAATCAGCTCTGCGAGAAATGGGACCAAGAGGCTTCTGAGCTGCGGAGCGCATATGAGAAAGAAAATCCCAGTGTGCCCGGACCAGAGGAGCTGAACAGCGAGAGCTCGACTCCCAACAAGTTCCGACGTGCAAAGCCAGTTAGCTATGCCGAGACCTGAGGTACTGTACCATTCCTCCGTGTATATAGTAGCTGCTTAGCGATTTGCTTCATGGTTGTTTGGTGTTTGGGAATGGTGGTTTGATCCCAGGCCTAAGTGCACAATTGGGTTGAGGCTTGCATATCACTAGATCGTAATGAAATGACATTACGAAATTTCTCATGTCCAAAAATCTGAATTGCACGATGCATGCCGTACTAGGGAATTTGACGATGTCTCTGTTACATTGTGGCGAACACGGTGGGACGCCGGGGTAAAGTAGATTTGTACAAAGGAAAAGAGGTTCTATTCCTGCAGCTGCCCGCTCAATTCGCACATTGCTCGAGCTTTACATGTCCGCCGACGCGGTGGCACCAGTGATAATCTCGACGAGCTCGTTGGTAATGACGGCCTGTCGGGAGCGGTTGTACTGGATCTGGAGCTTGTTGATCATCTCACCGGCGTTCTTGGTGGCGTTCTGGATCATTGTCAGTCGTTTCCCACGTAATCAGAGGAGGGACAATTTCACTCACGTCCATGGCGTTTCGACGGGAAGACATCTCGCAAGCGTGGCCCTCGGCAAGAGCCCAGTACAGGGAGTTGGCGAGGGAGTACTCGCGGAGGTTGGAGAGGGACTCCTCCTCGACCTCGAAGGCGGAGAAGTTGGCTACACAGAGCTGTTAGAGATGACTGCTACCAAGACGACCTTTTGCCTCTCGATCCTCGATTCACTTACGAGACTGGGTGATGGCGTCCTCGGAAAATGCCTCAATGAAGGTAGGCTCGTAGCTGGTGGCGTTGATGAACTTGTTGTACAGGATCTTGACGTCGGTGTACTCGGTAGGGAGGAGAGCGACCTGGTCGGCGATGGCCTGGGCATCGGCAAAGGTGGGGACGTTGCGGCCGACACCAGCGAAGGTGAGCTGGAGAGACTGGGGGTTGGACCTCGACAGCTGAGCACGGCACTTCTCGCCAATGACAACGAGGTCGGAAGAACCCTCCTCGGCAAAGAGCTTGCGGATGCGACGAGAGAGACCAGAGTGAATACCACCGCAGAGACCACGGTCGGACGAGCAGACGATGATGAGGGACTTCTTCTCCTCAGCCTCGGGGACCTTGGTCTCGGCGGCCTCAAAAACCTCCTGCGAGGTCTCGCCGTACTTGCGCGACTCCTCCATGGCACGGCTAGCGCGAGTGAGCTTGGTGGAGGCGACGACCTTCATGGTGTTGGTGATCTTCTTCATGTTGTTCATCGACTTGAGGCGGTCGTTAATCTCGCGGAGAGTCGCGTAGCCAGCGACACCGGCGGGAGCAGCAGCGGCCCTGGAAACACGTCCATCAGCATTGTTCCTACTCAGCCGTTCCGAATTTGCCCTGATCCTGAATGCGCGGTCGCAGTTCCTCCTGTTGGTCGGTCGCATCTGACTCGGCAAGCAAATTCTTGTCCGTCCGACTTACCGAGTGGGCACCGCAGCCGCAGCGCGGAGAGCTGGACGAGCCGTGCGGGACAGCATGGTGGCGTTTGTAGAGATGAGGTGGAAGAAAATCGAGCCTCTGCCAGCGGTGGCTCAATTGATACGCGAGATCAATTGATGGGAGTGACGTTTCGTAAGGTGAGGATGGTGCTGCTGTCCCCGGTCGCTAGAGGTGGTTTTCCTGAGGTGCCATTTTCCCGGGAAATTCCCGGGTTGCTCAGGATCACGTGAGGCGTCTCTTTGCGAGGCGCTCCCAAAGGCGGCTCCGATCTGGGCCGCGTATGAGCTGGGGCATGAGGATCCTACTCGCGCGTGCTGCGGACAGCACAATCCATTTTGGTTCATGATTACGGACTTTCGCTACCAGATTACTCTGCCTACATGTTTCTAAATAATTCCATTTTGAGAGCCGCCATCGAAGCACCCATCAAAATGGCTGCAGCTCTTCCTTTGTCCTGTCATGATGGAACTGAATCGGACACGGGCCCACAGCTTGGAGGTCGCAGCCAATCCTGCGGCGTAGGCAGATTCGTGCTGAGTGGCCCCTTCCCTCGGAAGCACGCGCCGTCTAAAAGGGTAGCCTCACCCAAGATTCCAGATTATTAGAACCTCTGCCTCGCCCGCTGTGCCTTAATTCTCCGGCCCATTTCAGATCTTCCCTCATTATTATTATTCTTTTGCGACCTACATAGGCAAGCAACTCACACGAGATTCCAACGCTGGCCCCAACGAGGTGGTTCATCCACCTCTTGACCATTAGCAGATCTCTCAGCATCTCCAACTTGCCGCTACGACTGCGCATCCAACTACGAACTCCATTCGCTGCCGTTCACACGTCATTTCAACCACCTTTCGCTCCGATCTCTACTTTCACGACGCTACAGTCACCACGAGTAGCGAAGATGTCGTCTGCCTACTCAGATGATGACCAGCCTCTGGTGAAGAGCAATGGGCACTGTAAGTCCTGCATTGCGCCTCTTGTCACTCGTCAGCATGTCTTGCGCGCTCCTGTCTGCGAATGTGAGGAACGCGTTAGGATAGACTCCAGACGGTCACCCAAAAGCTTGGCCCACCCAAAGTCTCAACCGCATCTTTTTTTTCCCTACTAGCTCTTGTTACACACCGAAGCTTTCATCATTCCTTATTATCTCAAAAATTCTTGGGGCGCATCCTGCATGAGATTTGAACGTCGACTGATTCGCCCTCGCAATCTAGTGTCGAATGAGAAAATTTCCCCCGCCGAGGACGCACGCCTTGACAAGTCTTTGCCTAACGATAAGGCCATGGCGCCTGGCATCTCCATACGGAATGGGCCAGTGGAGGATGCGATGGACGTCGACGAGCCGGTGACAAATGGCCACAAGCGCAAGTCGCGGCCCTCGATCTCCAAGCCCACGTACAAGGATGACTCAGGGAGCGAAGATGATCAGCCTCTGGTACGTTTTGAAGATGCAACAAGATTGTCGTCGCAACTATGTACTCAGACCAGTGTTAGGCGAAGCGGACCAAGACCAATGGCAACAACAACGCCGCATCGGACTCCGACGATGCGCCCTTGAAGAGCAAGAAGATGCCACCCTCGTACAAAGAGACGGCTCTTCCCGATACCTCCTCTGACGACGACACTCCCCTCAATGTCAAGCTGTCGAAGAAGAAGAGCGCCATCGAGAAGGCTGCTGCGAAGGAAGCCCAGCAAATCCGAGCGAAGGATGCGAAAACCAAAGCCAAGAAGGTTGTCAAGGATGAATCCGATGACGACGACAAGCCGATCGCCAAGAGCCGTCCGTCCAACGGCGCCGCATCCCATGCAAAACGCAAGTCCAACGGTGTGAAGAAGGAAGAGTCCGATTCAGATGCACCGATAAAGAAGACCAAGGCTGCGCCCAAGAAAGCCAAGGCAACCACTGCGTCCAACAAGAAGGTTAAGGCCAAGACCGAAACTCCAGACGTCGAGGATGAAGAGAAGTTTGCTTGGTGGAACGCCGAGAGCATGGGCGATGGTTCCATCAAGTGGCATACGCTTGAACACAACGGTGTCATTTTCCCTCCCGAGTACGAGCCGATGCCAAAGCATGTCAAGATGCGCTACGACGGAGAGCCCATTGATCTCAGCATCGAAGCGGAAGAAGTCGCTAGCTTCTGGGTTCATTTGATCATCACTAATTCTGTGGACAATTTGAACAAACCGCAGTTCCGGGAGAACTTCTTCAACGACTTCAAAGACTACGTCAAGAAATATGGTGCTACAACTAAAGATGGGAAGAAGGTTACCTTTACCAGCCTCGAAAAGTGCGACTTCCAGCCCATGGTCGACTACCTGGGCCCTCTGCACGAGGCCCGGAAGAACAAGTCGAAAGAAGAGAAGGCCGCCATCAAGAAAGCAAAGGACGAGGCGGAGGCGCCCTACCTTCACTGCATCTGGGACGGTCGGAAAGAATTGCTTGGCAACCCTCGTGTCGAACCTCCTGGCTTGTTTCGAGGCCGTGGCGAGCACCCCAAGACCGGTAAGGTCAAGACTCGAGTCTATCCCGAGCAAGTCACAATCAACATCGGCAAGGACGCAAAGGTTCCCACTCCACCGGCTGGTCACAAATGGGGCAAGGTCGTTCACGAACAAGGAGCAACGTGGGTCGCCATGTGGAAAGAAAACATCAACGGTGCTCACAAGTATGTGATGCTTGCTGCCAACAGCGCCATCAAAGGCATGAGCGACATGAAGAAGTTTGAGAAGGCGCGTGAGCTCAAGAAGCACATCGACAAGATTCGGAAGGATTATACCAAGGATCTCAAGTCGGAGCTCAGCGCTGATCGCCAACGGGCGACTGCCATGTACTTCATCGACAAGCTTGCTCTCAGAGCAGGCAACGAGAAGGACGCTGAAAACGAGGCGGAGACTGTCGGTTGCTGCTCTCTCAAGTTTGAGCACATCACCTTAACGCCACCCAACAAGGTGACCTTTGATTTCCTGGGCAAAGACAGTATCCGCTACCACGAGACCTCCGAGGTGGATCCGCAGATCTTCAAGAATCTTAAGATCTTCAAGAAACCGCCAAAGGGGGAGGGCGACGATATTTTTGACCGGTTGAGCGTAAGTCCGTCCTACCCTTGTGCCTTTGTGGCTTACTGACCAATTCGCAGACGACCCAACTCAACAAGCATTTGACAAGTTACATGCCGGGTTTGACCGCAAAGGTCTTCCGTACCTACAATGCGTCCTACACCATGTCTCAGGAACTTAAGAAGCTTGATAAGGATCCCCGTGCACGGGGTACTATTGCGGAGAAGGTGAAACTCTACAACGATGCCAACCGAGAGGTCGCAATTCTTTGCAACCACAAGAGAAGTGTCGGTGCTGCCCATGAGTCGCAGATGGCCAAGCTTGGCGACAAGATCAAGGGTATTAAGTATCAGAACTGGCGCATGAAGAAGATGATTCTTGATCTTGACAAGACCCAGCGCAAGAAACTGGGTGCTGCCTTTTTCGAGCGCGATGAAGATTTGACCGACGAGTGGATTAAGGAACATCAAGAATGGCTAGTAGAGCAGGAGCGCGTCAAGATTACCAAGAAATTCGAAAAGGAGAACGAGAAGCGGAAGGCAGACAAGGAGAAGCCCCATCCCGAGAAGGAGCTCAAAGAGCGTCTCCGGGCTTTGAAAGACCTCGAGGCCAAGTTCAAGAAGGAGAACAAGGACAACAAAGTCGAGGCTGAAGGCCGAAGCCCGACTGTCGAAAAATTCATTGCCAGCATCGAGAAGAACGAGGACCGCATCAAGACGATAGAATTGCAGGCTGCGGATCGTGATGGGAACAAGGAAGTTGCCTTGGGAACATCCAAAATCGTGAGTCAACTTACCCGATCAAATGAAGATGGAGACTAACATGGCACAGAACTATATCGACCCTCGATTGTCCGTGGTCTTCTGCAAGAAATTCGACGTCCCTATCGAGAAGATCTTTTCCAAGACCTTGCGGGACAAGTTCAACTGGGCGATCCAAACCGTTGAGGATAACGAAGATTGGGAGTTCTAGATTTTGGCCATCGGACAGGCGACTTGCATAGGATCGCTTCCAAACGAAAGGCATGCATCGAGCTTAGCATGGACAAGATGCAATCTATTCCCGACGTGGTATCGGTTTACACTGTGGGCGCGCGTGGGTGATGTCGTGGGACGGCTGCATCATATATCAGGAGCATGGGAAGCGCAACGAGTATCGTAGAGTTGGGTGAGCAAGAGTAGACCCGGGCAAGACTTGATTTTGGATGGAAGCACCGTGAAGCTGGTATTTGAACCGCGAGGCTTGCCAGAGACATATACAATATAACAATCTGAGCTTTGATGATATTGTTTACACAAGGTTGGCCGGTATGCAGGCGACGTGTGCGAGGCAAAGTATGCAACAAGATCCAGCAGTGGACTTGTCTTCATTAATATCAACAATGATTCTCGTGCTGCCCATCCATATCCTTATATATACACCTTGCAGAATGTGCAGCAGGCACCTCAACTCTATTATATATATGTGTAACATGCCGCCAATCCGTAAATGCTGATCAATGAGTCCGAATCCCAGATGCGCCAAAACCATGCCATGCAACCTTGCCAAATGCAGTAAAAGCAAATCCGAGCAACCAGAGTTCTTGGGTCCCTGTTGTGGCCCAGAATATTGCCATCGCTCCCTAAGCTGAAATCCCTCCATTCCACCATACGCCACGTTTTCTTATTGATGATTTGTTGTGCAGCTCAGATGCCGTGCCAGCTCGCAGGTCGCGGCAGTCATTGCGCCACGACAAAGGCGCCCAGCAGGGCCGCGAGGAGAAGCATCGCCGTCTGGGGCGCCTGTATCCTCGGCGAGCTACTGGGGAGCAGCTTGCCTTCGTCGGTCATAACCCAACCCTCTGGGATGGCGCTATCGGTAGGGCTCGAGCTCCCATCCCAAGGCCATCCCGTCTGCGTGGCCGTCGCCGAGCTGCCGTCATCGGCGATACCCCCGACGGGGACGGAGGCGTCCTCGGTCATGGCCGATCCCTCGGCGGTGGCTGTGACGGTGATGGCGTCCTTGTTGTCAATGTTGCCGTTGACCTCGCCGTCCTCGGCCTCGATGGACTGCCAGGACCCCGAGTTGTCGGTGTACTTGTACTTCTTCCCCGTGGAGTAGTCGGTGATGGAGAGCTTCTGGACGCTCATGGTAAAGGGGCCCTGGCTGTAGTCGGTCGGGCCGCCCGCCCACTTGACGGTGCCGGAGGGGTTGTGGTTGGGGTCACCGCCGGCCCAGGCGCCGAACTTGACCTGCATGGGCGTCTGCGGGTACTGGTTGTCCTCGGCGTCGTCGTAGCCTAGCTGGCGAACGACGGTGCCGTCGACCATCCACACGATGCGCTCGTTCGTCCAGTCGATGGTGTAGGTGATCCAGTCGGACTGCGTGTTCTTGACGTCGTGGAACTGCCCGCGGTTGTAGGTTGTCGTCTGGCCCTTGCCAAAGTAGTTGCTCTGCATCTCGTCTGGCGAACCGCCCAGCCATTCGATATCAATCTCGTCCAGGGTGTCGGATTCCAGTACCAGCGAGGAGACAATACCCGCGCCGGGCGCTGCCTTCATTGTGATTTCGACGCGGCCAAACATTATGGTGAAGAGTGATCCCAGTTGCGGCGCGTCGCCTCCTTGCGCGACTGTGAATTGTGCGCCATCTTGGTCGTCGTACGTCGGTGAGCCGGATGCGGCGAAGGAGTTGACCTCGCCTTTGGTGAAGTCGACGTTGATGGTCATGCCGAGGGCGATGTCGGCTGGACACTCGGCTACCATGGGTCAGTCGTGATCGCACATGATCGACGGTGGAAGGACTCACTGTTCAAGGGATTGCAGTCTGTCCATGTCTGGGCAGTTACTGTGCTAGCCAGCAGGCCACCCAGTACACCAAGCCCGCTTCGCCAGAGATTCCGCATTGTGGTATGTGGTGGATATAGTACTGTGTTGGCTGGTTGCTGGTCTGGGAGCCACAGTACTGTGTCTTGGGGAAGGCAGAGAGAGACTGTGTGTGTATCCGTACGTGCTTCGATCAGAAGAGGAGCGGCAAGTGTGTGTCTTTGAGAGGAACGTGGAAGATTGGGCCTCGAAGTGGCTGGTTGGGTATATCAATCAACCACGATCCCAGCCACCTCATGCAGATGCCTCTCGACGCTCTCGACATTGGTCGTCATTGACGTGGCTTCGCAGGTCCGCATGACTCCGAAATCTGGGCGCGCCAAACTCAAAGTGGAGCTTAACCAGGGTCAACATCGAATTGCCCAGGAATACGCTGGAAAACAATACTTTTTAGCAAGGCTTTTGCTGTGTCGGGCCTAGGCCTAGCACTGGCATAGGGGAGGTTGGGGCTTGTGGCGTAAAAACATGTGGCTGGGAATGGGAGCATCAGTCTGATACCTACCCTAGACATACAAATGCTCTATCTTGCTGTAGCATTTGTACATTGTCGGCTCATGCTGCCCTCACTCCATTGCAGTTGAACTTTTGGTTTTTATTTCGACTTCCAATTTATACATCGTCCAGACACAAAAGAGGGTCGTTGAATACCACCTCAGCTCTTTGGTTGTGTGGGCGATGCAGACGTCCACCAAACCACCACTGCTCTTATCAGGCGCAAACTCACCTAGGTTGGGCATTGACCAACAGTAGAAACACAGTGTCTCTACTTGCCTACAAGTATTGATCATACGACCGACTGTGGTGTCCTAGCGACACCAGAGGGTTTTCGCCATGGCATTGCCAACCGCATGGGCTTACATATGCGGTGCTTGGTCACGACGTAAGGGCGGGATAGTAGTATGGCCATCGCACTTCATAGGCGTACAGCCGTCATAGCAACGAATCCATCGTGTAGTAGCGTCCGCTGCATATACCCTGTGGTGACGCCTCGACACTCGGCAGCCTCCATTTGTCTCCCAGTACTTGTGGCCTTGACCACCAGCCTGAGCAAACCGCTTTTCGTTGATCCAGTGGCGAAGCGGCAGGCATGAGAGAAGGGTTTGGAGCATACCTGCAAGAAACAAAAGTGGCATGCACCACTGAAGGGCGCCCCGTGCATGAAGACGTGCAGACAACTTTCCTCTGAGCTGAGGGTGTCTAGATCATCAGTGCTGTACGGGCAGGCGACGTAGGCTGACCAGTGACGAAGGCCAATGGCTTGTATGCGAGAGGCCCTCATCATAGACGGTGACAGCAAGTATGTTGCCCTACGTCCGCCTTCACGCAGGTTCGTGTCCGATGGAAGCGATCACAGGTGGCAGAGCTGCTTGTCGTAGGGTCTGAACTCATGTCTCAGACACGCCCTACATCCGCGGCTAAGAACCTCCCCCACAGCCTCGTCATCTTAGACATGATGTGCCGCCGGCGATCTGGATTTCGTCCGCTTCATTCCCATGCCACTGTTTCGGATCATAACGCATTGCCGTCAAGGACGCGCGGAGAAGGGCTGGGGCCCAAGCAACGCATCGCTTCAAGTTGGTGCGATGGCAGCTTCGCCGAGCGAATGGTCCGTGCCAAACCTCGGCCTCGAAGTCAAGCTCAACGAAAGTTACTCTGCAGCCGCCAGTGACAAACATCGACTTGCCGCACGATCCCAATGATCTTAGGCGTCAAGGGCCCGACTCGGCTTGGGCTCTCCAGCGTCGACAGCCATATATGAGCCGCGTAGCTCAAGGACTGCTGCTCGCCGACAGCTGCGAGGATGGGGTAGGTCGGCGAGTGAGTACTGTACAGAGTTTGCTCGCTGCCAACGCCTTCCGTGAGCCGTCTGTTCCAGAAGAGTTGAACCCGAAAATGCGAGATTTTCACTCATGTTGCCACCACATGAGGGACGTACAAGCGTACCGCCAAAGCAAAGGACTTCGGTTCCGAAGGCTGCGCTGATGCAAGCCACGATGATGTCGTTGGTCGTGCTTACTTTCGCCGTGGCCTACGGAGTACAGCACGTGCCTATACTTGGTACGATACCTACCAAGTACGTATTGTATGCATGCCTGAGGCCCAGGTTTCAGAAGCTTCGGTCCCTTTGAAACTTTCTGGAAGGTCCACGACCCCACGAGGGCAAGGATGCGCGAACCGCTTGCTGGTCCAATTGGTCCAACAGACGACAAGCCCGCTTCCGAGTTCCTGCGCTAGTTCGGGAATCGTCTCAACCGTCATGCGGCCGCGACAAGGGCCGGTGGTGGGCGCCGCAGTCCACCCCAACCTCGGTCTGTGCGATAATATTAGCGGCCAGGCTGCAGAACGGGCCAAGACTGGGCGAGAATGCAAGACCCCAGAACGAGTGACGGAAAGCTGTGGAAGTTTGCCCGCGCATCTGGGCCCGGGGAGGCGAGTGAAATACCATGGATGGAGGTGCTCGAGGGTAATGGAGCACCGAGCACTCGCTCGGCCGATTAGTCTGTAATTAGATAGGTAGTTGCCAACGTCAGGCTACGGTGGTCCGAGCCAGCGGAATGGCCCCGGGAACCAGGGTACTATCTCCCAAGGACCAGGACAGGCCAATTGCAGCCTTCCTCACGGTCCTTACCACAGATCGAAGCAACTGAATTCTGATTGCCATGAGTGAAATACTGGCATGTCGTTGTGGACTTGTGGTCTGCCAGCAGCCGAGAGACAAAGCACGTGCATCGACAAGAGCCGGCACAGGAACTTGAAGTGGTTGAGTGTGGCACGCTGCCCTAATACGGCCACTGAAAGCAGCCGACGTTGGGCGAGCCGGCGAGGTCAACGTGCGCAACAGAAGTGTAATAGCTTTCCGATGACTTGCGCCAAGCTCTACTTCGAGGGTTCAGTGGCGATTTCTGTTATCGGCGCGAATGGAGACACCCATGAATCTGGGGGAGATCAGGGTCGGAAACGAGACCTTCTTTGGGTGGCCTACTCCGCTCTTGCTGGTACGGTGCCTGCGGAGCCATCCAAGTCCTCAGACGGAGAGACTGAGAGAGAGACCTCTGGGCTCTGATAAACTGTCATTGCCTTTCTGGGAAGCGAGGTCACATTGCGGAC